GGGGGGGGGGGGGGGTGTTGTAATTTCCGGGGAGTATTAATGCAGGCCAGGTTGTTCGTGTCATGTGACGTCACGAGCGTTCAATAAGAAACATATGTATCGATACGAAATATCCTATCGTTTCGTTTAAGTCATCCTGAACGTTATAAATGAATATATTCACCCATTGTTTTCATCCTTGAAGAAATTGTACAATAGACACCTCACATAATAAAAAGAATATACAGGGTGCTTCGTAATTGCCATACACGGGAGGTCAATACTGGTTCAGGGCGGCCCCCTGAGTAAGAATCCGTAATTCGTTTGGTCCTACGTTCAGTAGTTTTTCTACAAATTGAGTTTTAATTCGGCCAGTTTTAATATATACTTCATGCCTGGAAACAATTAATATTTCATTTACTCATACGTATATTTGAAATCTGTATCAAACTATTGGGATAGTTCATTTTACCTTCTCGATATTGTCCCCTAGTGCTAAATAAAATGGACGCTGTTTTGCAATATCTCATACTGTTGTATTTGACGTAGCACAAGGGTCTCCGGTTATTATTTCCAATAGAGATTTTCCCTGGCGTTGGCAGTGTCGGATAATTATTAAAGCTGCCTATCATGAGCGGAATTGATTTCACGCTCCTATTTGTTTACGTCTCAGAACTAACTAATTAAATGTCATCCCTTTTCGATTATACCCACGCTAGATATGCATATAAACGCCCAGCACATAGATCTCTAACGTACGTCGGTTATTCTAGTGAAATAAATTGGCGTGATTACTCGGACGGTAATCTTTCTCAAACTATTATTATCGACTGTTGGTATTCGTGTAAGAAATTGAGGGTGAAACCATTACCTTTTATTTAGGTATATGCGTGGGTATATGTACCCCTTACTTCGATCGTTTTATAAATTCCAGACGTTTTTACTATGCTTTATACATATGCCATAAATGATTGTTCTCGTAACAATGGAAATAAGGAAAATCACTCACCAAAACAAAGCGTTGCTCTGATATGTGCTGATTTTGTCGCAACCAGAATATTAGGGATTAGGATGTTGAATATCGTACGACGGTGTATTAATTCGTATTTGAAATATGAAACTTTGTTGATTATGATTAACAATAATGAGAGCATAGGATTATCTGACATATTCTCCTGGATTATAAAATAAGTTACAATTAGACTATACTATCTATGTATCGATCTGTGGATATACAGTATAAATAATAAAATGAAATTATTGCAATAGAAGAATCATTGTAGATCGATATCAAAGGGACGACGTGTTTCTTTTTCGTACTTCGATCAAATAACCATTACATCAATATGTTTTATATAATTCCTGTATTATTGTAATTTCAATTTACGTTGTGCAAAAACTATTTACCTAAACTTTCAGAGTAATATAATTTTCTTTCATAATATTTAACGATAAAGTGCAAATTGCCGTTAAATGCACCATGGTTAAATGTGCCCAGAATGATCCAGAATGCGTTTCGCAAAAGTTTTAGGTAGCACTGACGGATAAACTTAGTTATAATATATTGGATGATTTCCAATTGCACGACTTGTGTGTACATATGTTCTCAAATGTTAGAGCAAGACTTCTAACGAAAAATGAAACAGCAGATGTACTAAAATCGTTAAGCATGTAAGGAATTTATACCTTACTGTTTTCACTACTGTAGATTGTGCACGCAGCGATGTATCAATAAATTTTCAAGTAATATATTTAAGAAGAATAGATTATATATGTTATATATATACATATTAGATAAATATAATATATTTAAAAAATAGAAAAAAATATTTAGGCAATATCTGATGAGCGGCCTCGTTCTAAGGGTTGCTCTTGGAACCAGCGGTAAGTTGCGGAGAACCTCTGCCGGCTAGGCTGCACATTCGTGATCACGTCTAGCTCGGCTACGACGGGATATGCATTATCGACGGAGGCGATAATCACAAAATCTTACTCTCGGACTCGGCGCTCCGATTTAGCTCCATATTTTGGTATTGCCTAAAACCGTAGTGTTGTGCATCTCCCTATCCATCTCTAGTCTCGACGTACCGAGTTGCCCGGCAGAAAAGAGTACCCGACGGAGACGTCTCCACGGACTGGCAGAAGCCTGGGTGAAATACCGGCACCGAACTGGAGAGAGGCCACAGTGATATTTCAATTGGAAAGCACCTATTGGCTATATTGCACTGGTGGATGGACACTCTCACACCAGTGAACGGCAATATCGGACAATTTGTCCAAAATGATGGAAACGAACCTTTAAGTACATGTACGTGGCGTGGTGGATTTTCAATGTTTCTAGGAACACTTTCAGTTATTAGCTAACAAGACAGAAGTATGTGAATGCATTCAGCTAGTAAAAGACTACGTATATAAAAAAAAGTATTAGTGTGCGTATTACCTTTTTGAACTTCGTGTTCAAACGAATCTATAGGCGCATTCCTAACTCTGCAATTTGGAAGTGGAACGGAGCAGCACAAAAATCTGAAACTCGTTCAAACCGGAATGAACGTCATTTTCTAAGTTGCGCTTCATTCTTGAAGATAAAATTAATTTGTTATAGAAAAACGGATGTGCTCTGATGTATGTATTCCCGAGAATGTAATTGTTTTATCGTACCGTTGGTTGTAACGTGAAATCTATGAGCACCTGTGACCAAAAGTGGTATGCAGCATATGGTTTCGTATCCAATTTACGACATCTTTGAGGTGTCTTCCCAAGTCAGTCGGACTGATCGTATTTGTCGGAAAATTCGACTCATAATTGGTCAAAACTTTTTGATGCAGATTTTTAGCCAATCAGCGATCTGTATTTTTAGTCGTATCGTTGACGAGTTAGGCACCTGCAGACCAATCATTTCTATACTGTGAGTTCAAGATGGAGTTGGTAACACTGCCTTCGTTCGTGTTCCTACCCCCACTTTTTTTGCGTGGATAAGTCACACAAATTTTTAGAGCCACGAAAGTTATTTGCGTTTGCAGAGTGTTTTTAGCGTGAGCTACGCTCGAGGAGCGTTTTGTGTGAATAGCCACAGCGAAAAACATGACACAGTTTTTACCGCCGAACTTGCTAGCACTATTTGCTCCACGCGAACCTATACCATATCTACCACCGGCCAGCAAACTACCGCACGAGAAGAAGAATGGAGGGTACACCGGCGTTGGGGAATTCCTCAAATTCTTCGAAGTGAGTATAAAGACTCTTTGATGTTTACTAAAAGAGAATTGAGTGGATGGATTAGACTTTATTATCCATTGTGAGAAAGGTACTTCTATATGGGAGTAACCGTGCTAAAATTTCGAGAAGAAACTGGCTAAACATACATACTTGACTATATTCACTAGCAGTAATAAATTCAATTAATTGCTATACTTTTTGATTGGCTTAAAAATATTATAATTATTGTATTTTATGAAAAAATAATCGGAATGTTATTTATAACAACCAGAAACGCCTTCGGTGTACAAAAACTATGTCAACTACAGAAAGAGGATGTCTGCGTCAAAGTATAGCATTGTCGATGTATAATTGTTTCATATGTTAAATTAATGAAATTATAACGTGTGACCAAGTACATGAATATTGTATTGTGTTTAATATTATACACGTACCTATCGTGTTGTATGCATATATAGATATTATTATATGTCTGTAGAGTCAAAACATCTACCTGTTACCCACTTGTAGAATGTACATATCTTTGTTGAACAATATTTCTTGTATGAAAATGATTGCGGTCAATAGCAGTTGGTACTATACTTATATATTTTATTTCATATGATTAATCAATTAATATTTAAAAATTGTTAATGTTGAGTAATTTCTTATTGAATATTACTTTGTGGGTTCTGTACCAAAGGGTGTAATTAAGAGTGAGACTTTACAGTTTCTCTTCCTGTGCGAGGATGTGATATTGAATATAGAATTTTTGTTGAATTGTGATAAACTGGTTTTATAATTGTTATGCAGGAAGTCATATTTATTCTTTGTTTGTTTTTAGAAATGTTCTTGTTGTGATACAATAAGAAATTGTTTTATTCTTCTGTAGGATCCAAAAGATACACCACCACCAGTACGAGTGGAAACCCGTGAAGAACGTCTTGAGAGACGTAGGCGGGAACGTGCTGAACAGGTGGCATATAAACTTGAACAAGAAATAGCAGTGTGGGATCCTGCTGGCATTCCAAATGTCACAGCAGATCCTTTTAAAACTCTTTTTGTAGCTCGCATAGTAAGTATACTTTCTATTCTTATTTTCATGAATAGGTTGCAAGAAAAGCAAAGTGATATGCTCCTGTATTACAGAACTATGACACTTCGGAATCAAAATTACGGAGAGAATTTGAAGTATATGGACCTGTTAAAAAGGTCAGTTTCTAGAATACAATAAAGTAGTGTAAGATTATGTAAATTCTATCATATTAAAACATTAATTTATCTCCTTTATAGATTGTTGTTATCCATAACACGATCAATGGCAAGCCTAGGGGTTATGCATTCATTGAGTATGAGCACGAGAGAGATATGCACTGTAAGTAAAAGCACGAAAAAGTGAAATTTCTTAAAATATCCCCACCGACCCATAGTTTGAATCTCCATCTTACTTAGCGTCACTTCCAGATAGATATAGTGGGGCTGGGTTATAGTCAGTCTACCTATTTTCATTGGTACTAAACCAGAGGTATTTGGGGGGGAGGGGGTCCCAACCTACACCCATGCAGGAATACCATACTGTAAATGCATATGTGGTAAACGAATCAAACAAAAAAGAGAATATTGGCTATCTTGATTAATGCAGTTTTTATCTTGTTCTTGGTACAGCGTGGTGGCCGCTGCCGGCAACTAGTGCCGTTCACTATTCCATGCAAAATCCCTGAACCTGCCTGATATGATAGGTTTGTATGTGTGGTAAGATCCAACATACAACGACGTTTGTTAGAGTCTATGCTTACCCTGTTTACCCTCTCCGGTTCTGTTTTCACTTATGATCTGAATAAGCCAATTGGGGACATACAAATATTTGGCGATGCTCTTATAAATCGTTGGGACTTAGGTACAGTCACTTTTCGGTTGAGGCTTCTATTTTTGTCGAAAAAATTGGTTCACGAAAGTTAGCATTCTACATTGAAATTGATTTGAGGGCCTTGAGGAGAGAAAAGGTTCAGGGACGACGTTCTTGGAAAATACGTCTTTCATTAGTTCGCATCGCACGTTAATGAGTCGAAGCAATTAAAAGAAATACCGCAGGGCATAAAATATTAATTTGCACGCTCTTTGCTATTCGAAAATACGTTGCTTCAAATTTTATGCGTTGCGCCTGCGCACAATTGTCCACACAGGTTCTGATACCGCCACCCGCATTAAGATTACGATTCTCATTTGAATTGTGTTCGGCTAAATTGAGGCACTCTAATCTCTTGTTACCTATTTGCTGATCGTGTATGAATGATAATGTAGTGTGGTCTCCTTAAGCACAACAGAAAAGAAGTAACGCTATTCTCTATCCAGTTTTCTGGCACCATTCATAATCATATCGTACATCCACCTCTTATCTAACCACAATATTAGACTATTAGACAGCCTTTCAACGCATCTCGCAATTAATCTGAATCACTCACGTCATAGACACATGTTATAAATAAGAACAAATTTATTTCATTCACGCGTCCTTGAACGTATCAATTTCGATATAGAATACTAATTTATTCCATGCCAGATTTTCTTCAATAAAAACATTACGTTTGTCCGAGTGTGTTCGAAAGGCGGACGTATGTACGATCAAATCATGAATTTTTCAAAAACAAGTGTAATTTCTCTTGAGAAAAAACGAAAAAGATATTAATTTAGAAAAAGAGACGGCCGAACATTATTTGTATCATATACATATATATATAAATATATATTATTTATATATATATATATATATATATATATATATATCAGAATCGATTTTAAAGTAAATCATGAAACATACTTTTAAAAAGTACTATAAATTGCGCACGGTCTGGTCGTAAGTAATAATAAAAAGTGAAGTAAGAAAATAAGCGCACCAGGTAAATGCAATGTAATATTTCATCGGAGATTGAACGAACATACGAAGACTGGGCACCTTCCGAATGAATAGCGTACGCGCTGGCCTACTACTCTATCCCCGCGTGTCAATTACGAGTTCGTTTCACGATTAAAAGTACCTCTAAGCTTTGTGTTAACTTCCGTACGTAAGTAGCCGCGGTAGGTATTTTTTGTATCTGCTATACTTTTTCAACATTAAAATATTAGAATTAAGGTACTGCGATGTCCTGTGCATTTGATTGTCGTATGACTTGTACGGATTATAACGTTGACTTATAATTTTATAGAGCAAAAATCAAACGGGCAGCATTCGTCGCACGTTATCTGTGTCATCTACTCGTGACTCTAGCTGAAACGATAAAGAAAAGGCAAATGAGCACATGGTTGTACTAGGCTCCTTATTTTTTGCTTGTCGATGTTCCTAATCTCCACGTAAAATTCAAGTTTATTCAATAAACTCTGATTGTTTTAAATGCGTAATAACTTATCTGTATTCTTGTATTAGGTAACGTTATCGATGTTTACGCGATACTGGTAATTAATTATTGAGTAAAATGACTGTGTGGATATTTAAAATTAATCTCCTTTGTCAATTTCTGCTTAGGATAATAGGGTGTCGTGTATTAAGATCCGCAGTTTTCTTAAATTCCATAATTTCCTCTGGAGAAATTTGTATCAGCTTCTTTATCTCGGTGCGTCTAGGCTTTCGTTTTTCATAACTTCCTTAAGCCTTTGTGTGTATGTGTATATATATATCATGTGGATGTGGCGAAGAGTCGATAGTTGTAAGGGTGTCTCATTTTGCTTTATAATATTATAAGAGTTATAAATCTTACTACACGTGTTGTCAACGATCAAATGTTCAGGCGTCTTGCCACCGTAAATATTGATGAGCGTTCATGAGAATAGTCATTGGGTAAGATGACTGAATTGCAAAGAGATATCGATTTATAGAGAGAGAGAGAGAGAGAGAGAGAGAGAGAAAGACAGACAGACAGAATCAAAAACGATATATAGTGGAGAAAATGTATATATTTCCAGCACCCCATTTCTACGTAGGTATTTCGCGAACGTGCAATTATTATTACCTGAGTCGGGACACGATGTTATTAGTAAAAAAAAAATGATATAACCTATAATATACTCCCATCTTCTCTAATTGAAATATTTCATACATAATTAAATTGCAGCGTTCCAATAGATTATAATCTTACTTTTTCTAATTTTGTAGTACTAACAATCTTAGTGGCACCTATAAATGTCTCAGCAGTACTTAAAGTCACTCCTGTAGTTTATTCTTGTAAATTTTGATTTTATGTAAACATGTCCCCACTCAGGTACGTGGCCCGGTTCAAAACCAAAATTCTAATTGAACACTGGTCATTTTAGCTGCGTATAAGCATGCAGATGGTAAGAAAATAGATGGTCGGAGAGTATTGGTTGATGTGGAACGCGCCCGAACGGTAAAAGGATGGCTTCCTCGAAGACTTGGTGGCGGTCTAGGCGGTACGCGACGAGGAGGACCTGACGTCAACATAAAGCACTCCGGCAGGGAAGACAACGAACGCGAACGCGAACGATATCGTCTGGAGCGTGAAAGGGAAGCCTGCGGTCGGGGTCTTGATAGAGACAGGTCAGTAGAAATAAATCTTTTACCGACGTCATCCACAGGAAATGCAACTTCTGTAATTTGTACAACGTTACCATTACCTTCTCCAGCTTAATCTTACTTCATATAATTTCTTGTTCATGATCAGGGATCGTGATCGAATGGACCGTGAGCGTAGAAGATCTCGAGATCGCAAGAGACGCTCGAGAAGCCGATCACGTGATCGTAAGCGTAGACGCAGCCGCGAGCGTCTCCCGGATCCTGATATAGAAGAGATCGAACGGGAGGAGAGACCTCGTGAAAGGCGGGATCGTGATCGTGATCGTGAGCGCGATCGTAAGCGCAGACGCTCCAGGAGTAAAGAGCGCGAACGCGACAGGGGGGAACGTAAGCGTGATCGACGCGATCGTGATCGTGAACGACGAGACCGAAAAGATCGTGGTGATCGAGAAGAGGAAGACGTCAAGGAGGTTCGCATTAAGGAGGAGCCTCTTGATGGTGAGTGGTCTTCATTGGTGATCGTAAAAAGGAATAAATGCAAAGTGTTCCCAGGTCCTTTGAACCCTTAAGTATTAATGACGACGCTAAAGATTGCTATGGTCAATAATGTTTCTCTTTAATGGAGAATAGCTACCTTACCGTGAATTTGTAATATTATTCTGTCGCTTTTGTTTCTACAGATTATCCCGACTACAGCAACACCTTCTCTGCTTCAACTTCGTACTTTACTTCCGTGAAGTATGAGGACGACAACGAGCACGAAGTCGAAGAGAAGTACAGAATTCCTGACGGCGACAGCAACGGTCGTCCTGATCAACCACCGTACAATAATTATGATTCTGTCCCTGATTATTGAAAGACCCATTTATCAATGGCTTATTTCCTTTATCTTTCTCCGCACGGCGAGTTCATACAATAATTAGAAAACAGTGTTGTATTTCATAATGTTTACTAGTATAACTGAAATCATGTTGCAACCTTGAGCATTGGGTTATATTACAATGCGTCCATTGCGACAGGCTTATCGCGCTGCTCGGGCTACATTATCCCTCATGGAAACGAGACACGATGCTTTGAGGAACTGTCATGCAATTAAGTCCATGTGCCAGAATCGTTAACATGCGTGGTAATGGACACCAGGAAGACGCGCACGAGTCTGTTGCTTTCATAGCAAACACTTGACAAACAATTAATACAATTAAAGTTATAATTACAGCAGTCTTATCAAGGAATCCATCGTATATAACCCTTAGGAAGCAAATTGACAGAGCTTACGTTGTAACAAACAATTCTGTACATAGAAGTACGTTCATTCTGCACAGAACATTGACTGCTGTATGTATATTTATACATATAGAAAATAAATGATGTGATTGGTAGCAGTTTTTCCACTTGTAGTCCAATCACCTGATATCCACTCTTTACCATAACTGCCTTTTTGCTTTTCATCTTCACTGCATAACCACCAAGGATGGATTCTATTAGTCTTACTGGCCAAATACATTGATCACGCACCTATTCTTAACTCGGTACAAATAAATGGAAGTTACTCAGCTGCATTCAAATGCCGGAATTGGAAAGAGGTGTGTCGAGATTCGAAAGTAAGGGCGAAGAATCGAAGTTAGAGGGCATCTCAGTCGGGCGGCCGGGTGTCCGCGTGTTGCCACATCAGCACCACCATCACCGTTGCCGCCACCGTTGCTGTAAATGAAAGTTCAGTAATCTCCGTGTGTAGATCGCGCTCGCGCCGACTCCGATAGACGTGGTAGACGCGAATCACTACTGGAAACGGTGCAATATGCTAAATTCTTCTTGAACGCATCGCGTTAGTACCCTGTGGAGGTTCTACGCACGAGGAAAAACTTGGCGCTGTGTAAATCATACATTGAATATTTTATCGTCGAACCACTTGCTGATTGAAGGAACATCACTATGAGTGCTCCTCCACAAGTACAAAAGAAGTGTGGGACCGTCAAGGAGGTAAGTTTATCGATTCTTAATGGACTAATTCATTATGAATTATTCTGTTACTCTTTTATTGTTATTTATTTATCTGGCTATTCGACGCACGATGTGCCTCTTATGGGTAGCCTCATGAAATTCGCCGGCCAGCTGATAACTAAACACGCCGCAATCTTACGGACATATGGTCAATCGATCTGGAGTTTCACCTTCCACGTTGTAGCTTCGGCTTAACTGTATTTCTCTTGTATATTATGAATTTGAACACATGGAAAAGCTCCTGATTGATTTTGAAGAGCTTCCTTTGACATCAAATGAGGTTTTATGTCAGATTATCTTCGAGTTTGGTATTGGGAATGAATATCTCTTGTTGTTCTCATAATAGACCAATTATCTTTAAGTTGAAATGCATCGCGCATGAAAAATTTATAAGAGGATTTTGAATTTTCTTAATTTGCTCCAAAACCCTTCATATCTTGAACTTTACCCTTGGGCATACTGTTGATAAGAAGAATTGTCTATGCTTTCCTATTTCAGGTCAAGTCTGGTGATACCATTATTATCAGAGGTCCAGTCATTGATGGTCCACCACCTGAGATTCAACTTAAACTGTCTAACATTACTGCTCCGAAAGTAGCTCGTGCTGCTACTAAAAATAAAAAGTAAATAACTTTGACGTTCTAAATATATTACACTATTTTTAAATGTATGTTATTCAAGTATGTCATGTTATTCTTCATTTTCAGTATTCCTGAAACTAAAGATGAACCATATGGTTGGGAAGCTAGGGAATTCCTCCGTAAGAAACTCATTGGGCAGAATGTGTTTTTTACACATGAGAACCCTCCAAAGTCTACTGTAAACTATGGAACAGTGTGGCTGGCAAAAGGTATGTAAAAAAACCAAACAGAAATAGTCCTAAATATTAATGATGCACATAAGAAGTATGTATTTATATCTTTATACAGGTAACATAGCTGGCGAGAATGTTACTGAATCATTAGTGTCTGAAGGTCTAGTGTTTGTAAGAGGAGATGTTCGCAATGTTACTCCAGAATTGGCTCGTTTGCAAGAGTTAGAAGAAATGGCCAAAGCTGCTGGCAAGGGCAGATTCTCATCTGACCCACCATCCAATCACGTGCGTGATGTAAAATGGGTTGTGGAGGATCAACGTGCCCTGTTTGACAAGTTTGGCGGAAAACCCATTAAAGCAATCATTGAGAAAGTCCGAGACGGCTCATCCGTATACGCATTCCTTTTACCCGATTTCTACAACATCACCTTAATGATTTCTGGCATCCGATGTCCTGAATTCAAGCAAAACAAAGATGAAATCATTGATGAGCCTTACGGTCGAGAAGCACAGTTCTTTGTTGAGTTTCGCCTCCTGCAGAGAGACGTGGAAATAGTACTAGAGTCCGTCGAGAATAATGCCTTCATTGGTAGTATCCTCCACCCTAGAGGTAAATAAAAGCTTGCAAAATACCTAACTGGAATTCTAAATTCTGCTTACGCATTGCAGTTTCGTAAATACTGTTATTCGTTCACGCACCATTGGTTACTTTCTACGTGCAATAACATATTATACCTGGAACTCTTTTTTACCAGGTAACATCGCCGAACAACTTCTGGAGCAAGGTTTTGCAAAATGCGTTGATTGGTCTATGAATAATTGTACAAAATCCGTCGTGGAGAAGATGCATCTCGCGGAAAAACGTGCAAAAGAGCAGCGATTACGTAGATGGAAGGACAACTATGTACCATCCGGTCCACAAATATCGAATAAAGATCGGGAATTTACTGGTATTGTCACTGAAATTGCTAATAACGCAGAATCGCTTATAGTGAAGCTGCCAAATGGCGATACCAAGAAGATATTTTTGAGCAGTATTCGACCGCCAAGAGAAAAGAGGCCTCCAGGCGAAGAGGGTAAAATTACTCCGAGATCAAAGGACTTCCGTCCTCTCTACGACATCCCGTGGATGCTTGAGGCGCGCGAATTTTTGCGCAAAAAACTCGTGAGAAAACCTGTCAAAGTTGTCGTTGATTATATTCAGCCAGCTAAGGATAAAATGCCTGAGAAAGTTTGCTGTACCGTTACCATTGGCAAAGTGTAAGTCAAGTTTGACATTTTCCCTACTTGAACTTTAAAATGAACTCCTTATTCATTTCCCATGCTGACGCATTTAAAATTGTCAGTCTTGTAGATAGATATTTCCGTTGCTCTATTTCAATTTCCTAAAATTGTTTTCTACAGTAACATTGCAGAAGCTATGGTATCCAAGGGTCTTGCTACCGTCGTGAAGTATAAACAGAATAACGATCAGCGTTCTTCGCATTACAATGACCTTCTCGCTGCTGAAAGCAAAGCTGAAAAATCTCAATACGGCGTACATGCAAAGAAGGATAATCCAATTCATCGTGTAACAGATCTCTCTGGAAATCCCACCAAAGCCAAATCCCACTTGGCTTCTTTGAAACGTGCACGTGGCACGAAAGCCGTTGTGGAATTCGTGACGAGCGGTTCCCGTGTGAAACTTTATCTCTACAAGGAGTCTCTTCTCATCACATTCTTACTAGCTGGTGTTAAAGCACCAAGAGGACCTCGACCATCCCCAGGAGGCGGTGGTACCATCCCTGGAGAACCCTACAGCGAGGAAGCCCTATTATTCACTACGGAGCATTGCCTACAACGTGAAGTAGAAATTAATGTCGAAGGCATGGACTCCAAGGGAAGTAATTTCATCGGATGGTTATTCGTTGATGGAGTAAACTTGTCCGTCGCCCTTGTCGAGGAAGGTCTCGCCGAGGTACCTAGTTTCGGTGCTCTTGGTGAACACATTAATACTCTTAAAGCAGCCGAGGAGCGTGCCAAGTCTAAGAATCTTAACGTAAGTTTTAATAATATATGATATTTAAATCTAGTTCTTACATTGCTAATCGTTCGGTCTACCTTTTGCAGATTTGGAAAGACCGCATCGACGTTGAAGAGGAAACGAAGAAAGTCGACGAAGAGCGCGAGGTCGTTAAAAGAAAGATCGATTACCGTGAAGTCAGAATCTCTGAAGTGACGGAAGAGCTCCACTTCTATGCTCAGAATGTAGACCAGGGCGATCAATTGGAAGAACTCTTATCACGGTTACGCCAAGAACTGACAGCCAACCCTCCACTTCCTGGTGCATACAATCCTAAGAGAGGCGAACTAGCCGCTGCGAAATTTACCTGCGATGACCAGTGGTATCGTGTCAAAATTGAAAAGGTCACTGGCACGAAGATCAGCGTCTTCTACATCGATTATGGTAACCGAGAGACACTTGACGTCACGAGGGTCGCATCTCTGCCTGCTGAATTCGCATCCGCTGGTTCATTCGCAACCGAATACGCTCTCGCGTGCGTCGCCTTGCCTCCTGACGTAAGTGATTCTCATCTTGATCCACCGATTCCTATACAGTACTCCCTCAACGTCGACCTAATATTCTAAATATTTTTACTCTGCTAACAGAACGATGATAAGAAGGCAGCTTACGAAGCACTTCTTCAAGACATAGTGGATAGAACTCTAAAATTGAATGTCGAATACAAAGTAGCTGGTTTGCCACATGCTACTCTAGTGGATCCAGAAACCAACGATGACATCGGTCTGGCTCTTGTTCAAGATGGCTACGTACTAGTGGCAAACATTCAGGAGAGAAGGCTCGAGGAACTGGTACGTGTTACATTACATTTAAAAGTATATAAAAAAAAGAATATTATACGATAAAACTTACATTCTAGATTAAGGAATACAAGACAGCAGAAGATAAGGTGAAGGCAGAACACCGTAACATTTGGCAGTACGGTGACATTAGAGAAGATCCTAAAGAATTCAGTGGTACTCGTTAATCGGTATTTCATGTCGCTCAGGAATATAAAAAGACACAAGAACAACAAAACAAAGGGGATATTAAAAGAAAAAGAAATATAAGATACCAAGGAAAAGGCATAATATTATAGATTCTACAATAAATACATATTGATTCATAATAATAGATTTACAAAAGAATGTGCGACAGTATGGAGATTTTGGATGTTCCATCAGGTTGTGATTCAATTATGTTCGAATAGATACAAAGAAAGAGAAAGAAAGACAAATTATAAATTGTAAATAATATTCTTCATACGACCGAGAAGAACTAATAACATAAAGGTGAACGAAAATTAATGTGAATGGTCCCTTGCCCATCATCATCATCATCATCATCATCATCATTACTTTCCTGTCCAATGAGACTGCTGTCATTGATGTCATGTATACTTACATACAATGTCAGATTAACTTTTTTTTTTATATATACCTCTATCATTTTATCTTGTCAATGCTCTCCCAATCGCCCACGGCCCACAATGATGCCAGGTATATAATGAGGCTCAAAACCAATTAAACATGAATTGTATAAAAGGAAATAATAATTCGCCACTTTATACATGGCTCACGTTCAATTCTATATTACTTTCTATCAAGATACGATCAACGTCACGGAGTCTCGGTCGTCCTTTAGATTAAACTTTATGTTGTATATTAATAATAACAATCCGGTATCGCAACGACTGTTTTTTAAATGTTAACACAGAACTCGAAATTCATACAACACAATTCTAATTGTTCGTGATATTATCTTTATACGTCTCTATAAACGATAATCAAAGACGTTAATTAATTTAAATGAAAATCTATTGTAGCAACATGTAAACTTTCACGAACGTTATCAGGTGTTGTGTGACGGATTTGTCATAAGTATTTTAGATTTATAAATTTCAATAATAACAATTATCTCTGTTTCGTTTGACTGAAGGAATGAGACTCCAATCATACATTGCGGTATAGATTATAAGTACTACAGAAAGTGATTTCTCTTGATTATATTTGCAAATGACAAATATTCTTTACTATTTTGCTTCTTTGCACTGTATTGCATGACTCTTATTAAATCATGTAACACTGCACCAATCGCTGGCAAGAATCTAATTGTATGATATTGTACAATAGATTCAAGATAGTGCAACATTATAAAGATTCTTGATCGAGAGGCAACCCCTTGTAACATACAGTCACTCAAGAACAGAAAGGATTTTATTAACGATCTTAATAATAATGTCTGCACGTCTTCTTCACACAATCTTCTTGATACTTTTGCGTTTATTTAATCGTCTGTACGCAAAAACTTTCTCCTATAATACTCGAGCAGTTGATGTATTAATTAATTAATTGCGATATAAGAAATTTTTGAAAAATTTTGGCGAGCCATATGTATTTAAAAAAAGATACATTCCACATATTTATATAACAATAAGGGAAGCGCATGACAAATAAAGGTGCGAGACCACAATATATATTGTACAAGTTTAAAACAATTTATACGTACCATACGTGAGTGTAATTCAGGAATTTTTCAGAAAGTAATATTTACTGATAAATAATAACGTTGCATGTCAATATTATTATTAATATTATCATTAATACCGAACATCGTTCTAACGCAGTATCTATAATAGCGTGTAGCGTTGTTACGTATTCATGAAACAATCGCGGAATTGAGATTTGCGTACGAACACAAAGCTTGGATTCAATATTTAGAATTGGTCAAATGAAATAGACAAATAGTAATTTTTTCAAGCAAATATATTGCAGTCTCTTCATCGTTTACTTATTCGTTTTTTAACAATTAAGGGACCTATCGAATATTTGCGACATGATATTATGAAATGGGTAAAGATTAATCGTTGAATGATATCCTTTCTCATATGGATTGATATATTTATGTATTTATGTAACACCGCGTGGACTTACCATTTGTAAAATCTTAAGGTGTAGAAAGGATTCTTTAATCTTGCATACGATTATTGTGGTCAATCTTTTTTCTCTGTACTCTGTATAATTATACTGTCTACATGTTAACACGTGGATAACGAATGGAACCTGGGTTTATAGTGATCGCTATCATATATAGGTATGAAATAAATTTGTTGAATCAACTTTTCCTAAATTTGCTGATTTGTATTATTTTGATATATCCTTTTGGGTTTAGGGAATTAGGAGTAATGCATTATTTTGAATTGTGGTATACTAAAGCTATTGAATTGTTTGGTAAAAGTTGAGGACATTTATTAATATCATTTGTATAAATATATTTAATCAACGATTCAATATGATTTATAAAGTATTTGTACAATTAGTATTGATATAAATATTGAGAGAAACTGAAAGAATAACTTATTCATTGTAACACGATTAAAAAGGCACGTGATTACAAAGAATGTTCATCTGTCAAATTACTTTGTATAGTAAGTCCATGTAATATATGAACATTCAAGCATATTGTATTAAAAAAGATAAAACCAAATAAAACATGCATCCCTCTTGGCAGCTTAGTGTCTTCTAATTGATATACTCTTTGGTTAGTAAAGTCAATGTCACGCTTGTGTAAGATAACAGTAAGGTTAAACAATTTTAACAACTTCAAAAATACTAGATATATGTTTTTAAGGCTCATATAGGTTGTCTCACTACACATTGTAAGATAACCATTGTTATAGGCAAGTATGATTTATCTCGACAATTAAAAGCGTGATTAATTAATTCCCTTGTACTTAGTAAAGAGATTATATAGAACACGGAGTGTTGATTTGAGATCCAAGTTGACAATATCTGTAAATGTAAGGAATAATTTCCAAAACTCCTATTAGTTTCACAATCTTATAAAATTATTCAATAATCTTTCAGATGTGTGTAAACTTACCTTCAGGTCTGGCTTTGGGTTTTGGTAGACCGACGTCCTGCATAAGATCGAATGCGAAAGATACGTTGTGCACTTTATGATCATGAGTTTTTGGTGTCAGGTGGAACATGCTTAATGGCACAAAGAAACCTTCAAGTAGACCCAGTAAGAGAGTCAAGAAAACACCATCGTGAAATTGACTGTCTAAGTCTGTCACTTCCAAGTGTACTTTGCTCAAGTGCTTATTAACGAAGGATACCAGCGACTATTTAAAATAATGGTAGAAATAAAGAAATGATTCTAAGCTTATTTTTACTATAACACTGGAAATTGGGAATACTTTACCTTTTTGACAACAGCAAGCTTGTCAGGTGCATGGTCGAACAGAGTGTCAAATGCATCGCGCTCACAGCGCATTCCTAGATCATCATACGTAGATGTAATTTCTTCTCGTACAGTTCTGTGATTCAACTGACCATCTTTCTTGCGTACAATTACTACTTGAATGGCAACTCTTTCAGGTAGTCTGACAGGTGCACGGAATTGACGCGCTAATTCAACAAGTAGATATAGAATTGCTACAATATTTCTGGAATGGACTGATTCTACACTCCACTTATATGGCGGATATCGTCCTAACACACGATTTGCTGCTGACAGCACTACAGCTAGCTTTTGTTTTTGCCCCTCCTCAGATTGTGTCACTTCAGGCACATCAAGTTTTCCTCCAGTTAACTTCTCTGTAATACCAAAAAACAAAACATTACTAATTAATCCTATATAGAAGCTAAAACTAGCTATAAGCAGCTTTTAAAACTATAAAACCTACCAAGTAATTTCTGGAGTACTTGTCCATCGTAAAGATCTTCCACAATGTCTTTAACAATAATTCTCTGATCCGCAAGTTCATCATTAATCCATTCAATCAAGACAAAAATAAGCTCCTGCAATTTTGGATCCTCCAAAGATCTTGGTTCAATCATAGACCGTTCTTCATTCTCATCAAGGGTATACTCCTCCAAAGACATATTAGTGTTTGCTGCATATCCAGGAGAGTCGATGGCATGTTTTCCTTCTTCCTGAACTTCTTGTACTATAAACAACAAAAGCTACTATATAACTTAACTTAAAAAAATACCTATATCGCCTGAAAATATTGACAAAATTGTTTACTCCAATACAGATAGTATCCAGTCCTAATAAGGATGTCATTTCACGTAACACCCACGAGAACAAAATTTCACTGCATCTCAATAATTAAACAAGTGAAACACGTCCTACCTTCCTTTATACGTTTCTTACGACCAAGTGTTCCAATTTTATCCCAAAAACTTTCTTCCTTCTCGTCTTTCTTGCCCGAAATTGGCGGACGTGGTGATTTCGGCCGAGGAGACGCCATCGTTAACGATTCTACGGGACACACCAAGAAACGTCACCATTAAGAATAAACTGGCCTCCCACGAATACAGGGAAATATCTGTACGCTCACATGATCATTCAGGAACATCAGTGAGTAGCTACAGCTGATTTGTAACTCACTAATGGATAATGGATTACAAAACTGATCGTTTTAAAAAAACGTTCAAGAACCGCGAAATTTCGAACACGCAGTTATTCATTTATACGTCACCCCTTTCTTCTTTCTCTCATTGTCCATAAAAAGACTCACCTGCTTTTAATCCCACAGACTTCTTTAGATCTACGCCTACAACAATTGGTTTCTCAGGAACCACTGCAGGAAATATAGGTTTAACACTCTTATATAAATCATCATCAGAATCCGAATCCGAGGGTATAGAAGCAACTATATGAGTTTCAATCGATGATTGTCGAAAAAGATTTCTCGCAATAGGATGCTGAACTTCGTCCTCCATTCTTGACCTACAATTGATCTCAAAATTATGCTCTATAATGCAAATTTAGAATCACCTTACCTTTATCTAATGAATTCCTTAGTTGAAATGTCTATTGGCGAATCAGAATAAATGCTTTGTAGTTATAATTTTTTAATTCTACAAATGCCCTGCTCAACAATTGAATACTGTAGCGATGACTAAACGTGTATGTTGAACTAGTTTTTAGAGCGTTTAAAAGCCACATAAGTTTTCAGGAGGAAATACAACATCCGCATCAGATAAGAAATGTCGCAAGTACTGCACCTATAATTTCTTATTTTTTAAGAAGTTATCCCCAGCTAAACTGGTCGACATATATATCATGTTGACTTTAGAAATGTTGACGGGAAAAATACACTAACTTTCGACTTTTAAAAATTCAACAGAAAGTTGACTTGACCGTTATAGTTAATTTTGGAAAAACCCAATGAGGAGTCAACGCAAACTATACGAAAATGAGTAACTTCGTAAGTTAAGCGTCAATCGTCGATAATTTTGCATTGTGCCATCATTAACATCTTGCACATATTCCTGGCATTTAATATAAATTAATATGAGTTGCATAGGTTTCACTGGATCTTTTATATCAGTTTAGGATTATTTAAAACGTATTCAGAATTTATTATTTGACATAAGTATCGATAAACATTATCTTTGTCCTTTTTAAAACATTGCGCCACATTAGAGGAAGTTAATAGTGTCGTTCATGTGAAAACTCAGTAGATGACTCGTGCGATACTTACATGATAGAGTCCCAGTCTAGAGGTACTCTATTACATGAGAATATAGATTAGTGCCGACGAGCAATTCGAAAAACAAGGTTATTATATATTATACAGGACCGTTCTATGTGAGAATAATGTCATTATTTATTAGATTATGTGAGAAAAACACTCGAATTATTCTTACAAAGATTCCAAATGTAACTGCATCATTTGCGACGACAGCGAAACCAGTAGATATTGAATCCAGTTAGTTTGTTATTAACCTATTATAATATTTGTAAGTAAGCCTGGTATTCTTATTGTATATAATATTATTGCAGCTGAATTTCGTGTGTTAAATTTGAAGTCGAAGAAAGTAGAAAATACGCGTAAGAAAACAAGAAGGGTTGAGGTACCACCTCCCAGAGCAAACCAAATGGCCGTTGATCAGGATTGGCCATCGGTTTGGCCTGGTCCTAAAACTTTTCATCCAGCTGTTGTTCCAATTCCTATACGTCAAGGATATAGTCTGAGAGATCAACCGCCTCCAGATAAATATGGCAACACAGAATTAATGAAAATTCCAAATTTTCTGCATCTATCGCCTCCTGCTGTCCAAAGGCATTGCGAAGCACTTAAAAAATTTTGTACCGAATGGCCTGTAGGGCTAGAGACTGAAGATAAGTGTAGGAAACATTTTCCACTTGAAGTTATTACATCGGATTATTGTTATTCTTCTCCTACAATAAGAGAGCCACTGTCACGTATTGTTACTTTGAGAGTAAAATTATCCTCCTTGTCATTGAATGCTCATGCAAAGGATAAAATTCTAAGATTGGTGAAAGATAAATACAGTCCTGAGACAGATTTCATAACTATCACAGCAGACAGATGTCCGACAAAGAAACAAAATTTGGAATATGCTGAATATCTCCTCACTGCATTATTCCATGAATCATGGGTAAGTTTATAATTCCCAATCATCCATTTTTTTCCAATATTTAGTCACATTACAATCCATACTAATAATTTTTCAGCGAGTGGAAGACTGGGAATCTGAAAAGGCAGAAGCTGACATGGAATATTATGACTGGGACAAGAATAAAAGTCGAACGAATTTATTAACTCTTCACGCTTGGCCAAATTCTCCAACTGACACAGACTGGGAATGCATCCCACATGTTGAAGAATATAAAATCGCTGTTTCAGACTTGTTTAATACCGGCGAAGATCTGCACACAGTGAATAAATATAAGGAAGCTGTGAAAAATGTGCTGAACTTAAAATGCGAGGCATAACAGTGATAATAAAACAATAGTAATATTCACGCACTAGATGAAAATACAAGAAATTCATTTCTTTGCCAAATATTTAGTATTCTTAACATTTAAGTACCTCTCACAGTAAAACCACATGCGCATTCAGTCACGCTTCACGCCATAATCGCGCGTCTCACGAAGTATCCCGTACAATGGAGACCTCGTGAAGAGATTGCTGCTACAGCTAGCAGTTAATCAATTGCGTATGGCCACCTTGATCATTATTCTGTCATTCTAAGTAAACATTAGCTAGAGAATGAGCCTAGAATATTCGTCACAGAGGAAGCATCCAAATTATAATAAACAGAGCTACGATCGAAACTCTGACACCATGACGAAGAAGTGGAGCATGTTAACGATACAAGTCACGCAATACCTATATAAGCAACAGCAATTTCAAGAATTCTATCGTATTCTAAATCCGAAGACGAGAGTGAGAGCACGATTTTTTATACTATGGAGATTTTCTGTACACTTTTATACGCGTGAATTATATAGTAGCTCTCTTTAAACTATTATTGGAATAAAATGCTTCGTGCTTTTCTCATCGCATCATTACTTTTCCTGATATCAAGTCTGATCGAGGCAGAAGAATCATATTCCGTAAAGAACACAAAAAGCAGTGACTTGTTCTCAATGTTCTTGACAGCACTAAAGGATTTACCGGTTTGCAAGAGTTTCTCTCTCTGTCAGCTGGTAGGACGCTTAGGAACAATCTCAGAAAATACATTGTCTCAATCAATTGATAATACTATAGAATATCAAGAAAGATCAAGAAAAAGTAGTAGTAGCCAAGCAAGAAGTTATTACAGTGGCTACGGAGCAGCTCCTGCTGCTCCAACATATTATCCGTAAGTATTTATTTTATTAAGATAATAGACCTGTGAATATAAAATATACTTCTTCTTTCTTACCCTTATAGGACATTCGACCCTATTAGTATCTTAGCTTCTTTGGCTTTTCTTGCATTCCTCTTGCAATCCTTTGCTTCCTTGTTCGATCGCTCAAGATCAATAATTCCTACGATCGTCAGCAGTCGTGGATCCGGGAGTTCTCAAGTGCCAGACGTTCCTACGCGTATTCTACGTGCTTTGGATGAATATGTATGTATATCAGAATTATCATTATTACAATTATTAGACTAAATAGTTCATGTGGGTAATTGAAACCTGTTCATTTATAGGAAGCAATTAATAAAAATTCAATAACTGATTCCAACGATGATAACGATAGGATTCCTTACTCGTAAAATGCAGAATAAGAGATTATAACTGATAGAAACTTAATACAACGTAAATATAATTAAAATACTTTACCTAACAGACTGCCTGAAATCTCATATATATATATATATTTCTTTGCAACACAATCGATAGTTTTCGTTATACAATTTAAACGCTACTTAGTGTATACACTGGGTATTTATAAAATGAATGTTAATATAAATAATATAAGTTATATTCAATAGTACTAATATCATGTGCACTTCACTAAATATCATTATTAATCTAAATAGGACTCATGTATTAGTAGATATACATTCTCAAAAGGGTGGTTTTTGAAACAGCAATAGCATAGCTAATAGAATAGAGTAATCCGTAAATTATCTGAATTTACAAAATGTATGCTAAAATATATTTGTTATTCTTCTTATGTTCTTAAACACCTTATTTTTTGTATTTAAAAGTCTTTATCTAAAATGGTCATTTTTACCACGGAACTCTACTGGAAGGTGGTGCTGCAGGATATCTGTGAATGAAAAATTGAAATGTGTGCTTCAATGAAAATTAATCTTTAATCATAAGTAAATCATGTAAACATTAATTAAAATAGGATATACGTGCCCCAGGTACAGTTATACGCACATGTACATATGTATAATAATTAGGTCACACGTTTATAGATACAGAAAAAAAATAAATTAATACAACATTTCTTTCACAGAGTTATTTAAAATCATAAGTTTAACTCGTCATAGTACAAAATTTCTCGAGTTATCTCACGCAATTCAATTTTATATATATTTGCCAAAGAAAAATAAACTTACTTTGACTTTGTATTTGGTCTCTGATAAGGATGCGTCGCAACTAATCCTCGTCTTTCCTTATCACGAACTACTTTTAATGTTCCCGCCGATGATTCCGCGGGAGCGACGGTCTTCATAGTTGATAAGGGGAAGCCACTTTGTTTATTTTTTAACTTATTTAATATGGCGATACTCTTGCTACTCATCACCGTCATGGTTTTATTCTCCTTGCCTGTCGAGTTAGTTGCTTTTGGTGAAGACTTTGGTTTTCCATTAGTAATCAACTTCTTGGCATGCTTGGCAGATGGCTGTTTAATATCTTCCTGATTTTTCTCAGAGAGCATACGCTTCTTACCCTTGTGGTCGTCACAGGAAAACGTGTTATTTAATTTCTCAGGATTTATGAAACCTGCTTCCGTTGTTTCATTGTCATCACATTCTGGCATTTCAAGTTTCATTTCATCATCATACGTTATTGTGAGATTTTGAGGCTCAGAGCCTGTTAAAGATGATGATTTAGCTGATTCCATTAATTTGTTTTCTACGACTTCACTGTTATTTTCATCATCATCGGAAGGAAATACCGAAAATATTGGAAAATCGTTATTAATAGGATCTGATAAAACGTCAATGCTTAGGCATGTCATACTGTAAAAATCTTCATCCTTATCCGTAGTATTTGAATCAGCCCATTTGATGTTCCTGACTCCTTCTAAAGATTTAACAAGTTGCTTGAATTCATTCTTCATTTTATCAGTCATAGTACCATAACCATTCATCATGTTATAGTAATTTTGTAAAGTAGTACTCATGGTTTTGACCATAGTAGAAAGAGACTGCATTTCGCATTGCTGCAGGCTGCTGATCTTCTTCACGTGATCGTATTGTTGTTGGACAACAGACCGTCTTATCTCTGAAGCTTGCAGTGCGACTTTGTCCGCATATTTACTAGCAAAGGCCTTAGAATGAATATGCGAATTCAATTCACGTAGTTCTATCTCAAGATTCCTCAATTCATTCCACAACGAATCTATTTGATTCCTGATTGCATCTCGTTGTTTTTTGAAATAATGCATTGACTTATTCACACGTAACTTACCACTGGCATTTTGCTCTTCTGGTAGCAAAGCATCAATGGCAGATGTTAAATTACACAATCTTGAGTCTGCTGCTTTTTTATATTGAATCCTACAGCATAAGATTTTGTCACTGCTCTCAAGAGATAAAACTTTTTCATATAGTGACTTCTTGTTCTCAAGAAGATTCAGTAATCGATTCCCCAATTCAGAGATATGCTTATTCTGTTCTTCCTTAACAGTTACAGTCTCTTTTCGCAATGGCGATACTTCTATGGCACCACTTTCATATGTCAATAATTTTTGTTTCAGTAGATCAATCTCTTTCTTTTGCTCTTCAACCATTTTTATATAGCCTGTGACATGCATCTGGCAGGAGACAATATTCTTCTTGATGTTACTCTTAATCTTCTTTGTTCTGTTTGCATATTTCAGAGTGTTGTATGTATCTTCATAACTAAGACTCGATGGACTGACGTTCGCGATCATTATTGTTTGACAATTACCGCCCAGTGAATCCTTCAGAAGTCGTGTCAGCTTGGAATCTCTGAAAGGTATATGTTTTATACCATCGGCTAAGTTGTTGATGCAATTACCCAGTGCCAGAAGGGATTTATTAATATTGGCACCTTCCTTGAATCTAGCACCTTTGCAACCGGTTGCTGATGCACGCTCAGACCCAGCCAAATCAATCATAGACAATTTTACCCGCTTCACTTGACCATCTAGTTTATTAATTATATTAATATAAACTTGAAAGACAGCGTGACTACGACTGCTCTCTTGATTTGCGTCGGTGGGATGTTGCGTACGACTTTTATTCCCTTTGGCCAGCAAAGCTAATAACTCATCTGCACTTTGAATGGCCATCACTTTAAGTCCAGCAACAATGATACCAGATCTTCCATCATCGCGTATTTGTAAGGGGTTACCTTTCTGAAGTAAGTCCTGTACATTTTCATTATATATTTCTAAATAAGACACACCCAGTGTAAAATCACGTTGATCTTTCTGAGCATTTATTTGCATAAATAGTTCAGCCATTGTACGATATGTTATACCAAGATCATCCTCTTTTCCCAGCATTGTATGTGTCTTTCCAGCACCAGTAGCACCATACGCAAACACTGAACAATTATACCCATCAAGTAAACCATTAATAAGCTCTTTAGTGCTACCTTCAAATATATCAGTATTTGAAGCAGTCTCATCAAAAACACGATCAAAAATAAATTGCAGCTCCTTGTTTTGTTTCTTCAACAAGTCTCGTCCTTTCTGTGCAACACCACGATAAAAAAATGGATTCTCCTCTTCTTTCGGATCAAATATCAACATTTTATCATCAATAACTTTGACAACAGTTCTAAAATTGTCTTGCTGTTCGCGTTCATTGTGAGGACGTACACGAACGATTACCCTGACTGCAGTTGGGGATCCAGTTTCAGCATGGACAGCCGGAGTAGTACTTCCACTAGTGCTTGGTCTGGATGTGGCAATTGTTCCAGAATGTCTTCTTCGTCCAAGTTTTTTAACTTTATATGGAGAAAACGTTCTTACTGCATCTTTTTTATTGAAAACCATTTTGCTGGAAGATGTTTGATCCTGGGTACCAAACAGTAAAAAAATCTCATATATGACAGGTAAGCGATCACGCAAAGATAAACATGCAGAATTACATACCAGATTGTTTATCGTCTATTATACTTACAAAATATTTGTAGCCACACCAGGCAATACTTTCGTGCGTTACAAAGAGAGTTTTCTCTATAAAATATCATTCACTTCTCGTCAAATAAACGCCGGGCGAAAGGAGCGTTAACTTCACAAACCGTTGGCATTACACTTAACTTGAAATTCAAATTATAGTTCGATAGATGACTACAAACAGGCGCTGTAAGCATCCGGTTGTGTTCCATAAAAAGATGAAATTAGGTCAAGGAATGTTAAGAAGTGTTTGATCTATATTTATTGCAACTGGAATTTATCTGAGGAAAATAAAGTAACAGCACAATTGTCTGTTGCCAATCAATCATTAACAACGTATTAAACGCAATAAACAGATATCATGTTAATAAAATCTTTACATATATGAGAATTAGCCGTTAGGTTCTGTCGACCGGTCTGTTGAGGAACGAACGGAGTATCTCCCGAACTAGGCAACAAATCAATGTAGTTTTTCCTTTCCGATTGTGAAAAAGGTAAGATTTGTCAATTTATTAATTATTACTATTCAATAAACGTTTTGATTGATGATTTTTTCATACGTAGTCATAATGACATAAGAGGAATCAAGCAATATCGTCGTATTGTTGATAAACTAAACAATTGTTGATACTGATATCATTTTTCTAACCTACGGAGAATGTAAAAATGTGCTGGAAAAGTGGCGGACGATATGAAAATTAATTATTGAAGTTTGACCGTCAAAGTTCAGGCTTTTTTGACAATAGGATGGTTTTACGTGGCGGCACCTGCCGCTTGGTTAAAAGGTGCACTAACGTTGGCATTAGGCATGTCAGAACGTTACCACGTTTAACTCCACAAGAGGTAAATTTATATTTAAAAGTAGATCACATAAATTATCAGCCTATGTTTTCTTTAAGCTATAACATGAAATAGAATATCAAATATTTATTCAAGACTAATATTGGAGTATCGAATAAAAGTAATATCTATATGAAATATTTTTTATTCAGATACATCAATTTTTTGTAGGTCACGTCAATTTTACAAGCTAATGAATATACCAAAGATTTCGAAGGTCCTGGGTCAATTAAGAGCTATGATTCCAATCAGCTTGCTTCTAATAACCCTATTGAAGATACAAGATCTGAAGCACAATGTCTTCTAACTAAAGGTAAACTCAATGTTTGTTGCATGTAAATTTATATTCAGTTGTAGTGTATGTCTTAAGTGCATAAAGTAAAATCAATGTATTGTTTAACTGCTCTATGTACGAATTGCAAATATATATGTATCCAAAATAATTAATAGTATTAATTTTATATTGCTCCTATTGTGTATCAGTTATACAAAATATCGCTTCACAGAAACATTCCATGCTTTTATTAAATAAATAAAATACTGTGCTCATCTATTACATGGACAATCTGTAAAAACAGTTTAAATACAACTTTCACCTGCACAGGCATGTTATTGGGAGTGTTTGATGGTCATGGAGGTGGTGCCTGTGCTCAGGTCATTTCAAAAAGACTGTTCAACTACATCTCAGCATGTTTACTTCCTCCGGAAATACTGCAACAATACTTAGACTCCATAAAAACAAATAGAAATCTAGAGCTGATCAAAACGTTCAATGACAAAGTTGAATTTGTCGCTGAAATCAAGGAACTGTACAGGTCCAGCTTCCTAACGTTCGTTAAAGAACTTATAAAAAGTGGCTCACCAAAGGAATTTCAAATGGAAACAGCACTGGAGAATGCTTTCCTAAGATTAGACAATGACTTATCTACAGAGGCGTTGATAAAGTCAAGCAAAAAAGAAGCAGCACGAACACTAGCAGTGGCTATGTCTGGTGCTGTAGCAGCTATAGCTCATATTGACGGCCCTCATTTACACGTAGCTGGTGTCGGCGATTGCCAAGTAGTCCTAGGAGTACTCTCAGGTAAAAATGCGAAATTCCTAACTGTATTCACTCCCCAGATAAAAAATATTAATTGAACACATGTTTTTCAGAGAGTGATGGGTGGTCCACAAAGATGATGACAGTTGAGCACAACAGCGATAATCGTGATGAAGTAAAGAGGATATTATCTGAGCATCCTCCTAACGAGAAGTCCACTGTCATAAAAATGGAGCGTCTCTTGGGTCAATTAGCACCGCTGCGTGCACTCGGAGATTTCCGGTACAAATGGAGTAAAGACATAATGAGACAGGTGGTGGTACCGTTCTTGGGCGAAACAGCCATACCACCAAATTACTATACTCCGCCTTATTTAACGGCAAAGCCCGAGGTCAAATATCACAGGTTAACTCCTAGAGATAAATTTATAATAATTGGAAGTGACGGTCTTTGGGATTTAATATCGCCATTACAAGCCGTACGACTGGTAGGCGAACACATGAGCGGAAAAGTAACACTTAGTCCGCTCAGGTTACCTCGCAAAAATATGAAACTCTCAGATATCAATGAGATGCTATTACAACGTAAGGAAGGTTTGAAGAAGAAACCTTTGGACGGAAACGCGGCGACTCACTTATTAAGAAATGCACTAGGTGGTACAGAGTATGGGATTGATCACGGAAAGTTATCCCAGTTATTAACCTTGCCAAGTGAAGTAGTGCGGGTTTTTCGTGATGACATAACAATAACTGTGGTATATTTTGACTCTGAATTTCTAAGGCACTGCCCTCCTTGATGGAACAAATATCCCTAATGTGATATTTTTACAGTGTGCAGACTTTTATTTTGTTTTGGATGTCAATTGTAAATTCTCCAATTTACTACAGTGTATAGCTTGTTATTTATTTAGTTAACAATAAAAACAATTTACATAAGAGCGGTATTGTTATCAATAACACATACATATACATCGCGTAATACACGTTTCCGTAGTTTTATTTACTTCAGTGAAACTCGTAATAAGCCTGCTTATTCGTTATTCATTCCCGGTAATTCTATCTACGCGCTGGACGTAGCTTAAGTATTTTTTTTTGGAAGGCCCTTAGAAGATTGAAAGAAATTGGAAAACGGAAATATGTATAAAAATTATACGAAGAAGCTATCCACGATGAAATGCACTTTTTTAACAGCTACTGGTCGTTTGACATATTCAGTGAGCTTTGATTGTTTTGTATCAAGTGACACCATCATCTATTAATGAAAAGAAAGAGAGTAACCCGTACTAAAAAGCTTGGACTTTAAATTTCTTTTTTATCCGAAAATATAGATCTTTCTATGATTTATCTTATGATTCTTGCCAGTATAAAGCAGAAAGCTTATTTAATTGAAGAAAAATATATTGCAAGCGTGCAGCATTTCATCCTTATAAGGAATTAATGAAAATTCTGTTTTAAGTTACTTTATACAAACACTGTAGAGAGTCGTATCCGAGAAAGGAATAAGGCAAGCGTGTATAACTGTGTTTTAGTTTCAGGATGTGGAAAATTCATTTATTTTTTCTTCTTCTATTACTTATTTTTTGCTGTAGCAAATCAAGATCAACCCTCCTGACCGAAATCTTCCTTAAACTTCTCTAACTTTGCCATATCGTCCTCATTTACAGTTGGACGCGTAGTAGCTAGAGACTTCCTCATGTCTTTCTGTAATTAAAAACGGCAACGCGCGCGATTGATAAAAATTCAAATATTACCGCAGATCCAATTTCGATGATCTTTATACAGCATATTTTTGAATTAAGTTAAATACTAAACTATAGAAAAAGTTTGAGATTATTGAATTAATTTACCATGGTAACTGGTGGTTCAAAGAGTTTATCCCCGTCAACATCCATCCAAGTCATCTCGATAGCTCCTGGAGACCCTGGTGAGCATGGGGTAAGTAGATCATCTACGATTACGTTTGGATCCTTTGGTGAGGGTCCTCTCACTTTTTTGAAGTGAGTGGCAGTTTGAACTTGTCTAACCGGCTGCATCAAGGCATCACGTACTATGATACTTATATCAGCCCCAGAATAGCCTTCGGTGGATGCAGCTAATTCTTTAAAATCGTCTTCTGTCAAGCAATGAGCAGTATTGCCCAGATGAAGCTTGAACATAATTACGCGAGCATGTTCTTCAGGTAGGGGGATGTAGATTCGCTTTTCGAATCTTCTTCTAATGGCAGAATCCAATACCCAGGGGATGTTAGTAGCTCCCAGTACCAGAATACCCTCGTTATCAGTACCCACGCCTGAAAGTTTATGAAACTATTTATTCTGATACTATATGTCTTATCATATTCTTCATTACGAACTTATCAGACAGTCTTATTTAATGTAGAATTTGTTTCAATGTACGTTACGAGCTCACCTTGCATTTGAACTAAGAATTCTGTTTTTATTCTCCTTGCAGATTCCGATTCATTGTCAGAACGCGATGAGCAAAGAGAATCTACTTCATCAATGAATATTATGCTTGGTTTATGCTGACGAGCTAATTCGAATAAATTCTTCACAAGTTTTTCTGATTCACCTAGCCACTTGCTTACCAAATCAGACGATGACACCGAGAAAAATGTGGAATTGTTCGCTTCCGTAGCGACTGCTTTTGCTAGGTAAGATTTACCAGTACCTGGTGGCTATAATGTTCATTTAAAAAAATTAGCCATTAGTGATATTATGGAAAAGTTAATAAATGACTTTGGTGTTACATTTATTATTTTCAATGACTATTAATAGAAACTTACTCCAAAAAGCAGAATACCCTTCCAGGGAATACGTTTTCCTGTGAAAAGGTGAGGAAAACGAATAGGTAAGATCACGGCTTCTTTCAATGCTTCCTTAGCCCCATCCAATCCAGCAACATCGCTCCATTTAACTTTTGGTTTCTCAATGACAATAGCTCCTTCTAATTTGCTTTGTAGTTTCTTCTTCTCCGGATCATTGTCACTGTCGCTATCCCCACTATCACTTTTTTTATCATCACTCTTAGATTCACTTTCTCCTGCTTTTACCGGTTTCTTTTTACCCTTCTTTAAGTACTCCTTCAGCTTTTCAGCTCTATCCAAGTACTGCATACATTTCGATCTTATACTTTCCTTTGCTCTCTCTCCTTGGGCCTCATCTAGATTAACGTAACATAAGTCCCAATAGATTTTTAATGAGATGCTTTACTTTTACTTTATGATATCATCAAATACTCGGATATCGGTATACGCACACTTCATGGAATGCAGGAAGTATTCCACAGCATGTTGATAAAGTTTCAAAGCTTCCTCATAGTTTTTGTTACGGTCTTCTTCAGTCGCTTTGGTTACCAAATCTATAGCTTTCTGTAAATTTTAATATTGACCTTTTATCAATTACATTCCTTAATGGATTATCACGCTGGTATAAATTTACCTGCAATGTTGTTAACGCTGCCATCTTATTGTCAAAAGACTCCTCCCTAACCTTCTACTGCGAGTACAGAAGGTAGTTTTATAGAAAAATTCTACAACGGTGAAACACTTATAGGTCCATCCGAAGTAATGTTACAAGTCACACTTTACACAATTATAAAAATATATTGACATGTAGAATGATTCGCGTCGGAAACAGCTAATACACTTTTACTGGCGCTGTCAAATTGTAACCTTCAAAATTTAACTTTTGACGTCATAGATGACATATTTTTATCCGAAGTTTCAACCAGAGAATGCTGACATAAGTCCACGCGATGTGCAATAGGACCAATCGGACTAACTAAAGTCTCGTTCACAGGCATGCACAATTACTCATTTCCGAAAAATAATTTAAAAAGTTTCTTTATTAATCTAAGATAAATTATACAATTATTTCATTGACGTTTAATCGAATCTATTTATGATTGCATAAGAAAAGTTAATTTATAAGAATCCATTTTCAAATAAAAAAAATAAAAATGGAACTTTATGTACTCGTAACGTGCAAAACAATATGCAGGTTGTTTGTTGCTGTACATGCATTTTTGTTTAATATTTTACAAATCATAATCCTGTAACGTGTGCATTCACAATTATTGCTGATAAAAGTTTGTGCAATATCTGCTTACCAAATGAAAATTGTAAAGATAGCCTGAGTTAGCATATACTTCTTGGGGATGCACCTTGCTATCTGGTGAACGCATGTGCACACGAGCTCCCAACAAACCACGGAGTCCGGAGAGAACAACCTCGGGCTGCCGATGGATCTTTTGCTGTGTTTATACTTGTCTCTTGTTTTTGTTTGCTCATTCGTGCAGGCCTAATCTTTTGACAAAATTATCTTTGTCTTACTGCAATCAAATTAAAAACTCCGACACACGAGAAATGCATGCCACGCGGAGTTGATAGAAAGTTAATTGGTTCTCCGTATATAGCTGGGTCTTCGGGGCACTGGATTTACGCCAAGGAAGGCAGAGAAGAAAATCATTCGACCAAGTACAAATTGTTTTATACTATTTGTTTTATCTCCTACGAATTTACGTTCCATTATCGTATCGTCTAGTGCATCAGTATGGGGTGTGGCTCACCGGTCCTTTGTTGTAAACCTATTATAGGCTATGTCCGAAATAGCAAGTGCAGTCGGTCGATTTTCAAGGTTAGGGTTTCGGTGAAATTCAATTTGTCGTATATAGCATACCCACCTGATCGGGTGTGCTGCGCGATATTATTGCGAATTACGAAATCAAAAGGGTGTGTTTTGTAGGTGCTGTGTTCTCATTATTCAGTACTCTTTTTGAAGCTAATGCACTTGCAACACTGTATAATTGATCGTTTTGTTTGAAATTATTTAATCTTTCTTTAATCCTTAATATTATTTTCATTTGTGCAACTCTTTATCTGTGGCTTTGGATGGGTCTAAGACACAGTGGGATACTATGTTTGCATTTATCACAATTGATTATTAATTCTGGATACTTATTTTGTTATCATTGAGATGTTCTTAACAATCACACGAACAGGGAGGATCTTGTGTTTATGGAGAAAAATTATTTGCAAACAGACTTAGTTATTTATTACTTTTCTGTAGTTCAATTACAATACATGGTATTGTTTCTATAAGTATAAAGTGATCTGATATGTATATTTGCAAGTTAATTTTTCTGTGTGTATTATGCATGAAGTTGATAATTTTAATAGAAGTATATACAGTGAATAAAAAGTTTTAGTAATCTGATTCTTAACATTGTAAAATCTTAAAAAAAATACTTCCTTACTTATAAACTTATATTAGTAATGAAGAATGCTCCAATAGAACTTAACAGTTAATTGTATTATATAGACAATGAGAAATTTGTCAATGGTGATATTTTAATTTAATAATTTCTACTCAGTATTGTTCCAAAATTTGTATAGACAGACGTAATCACTATTAAATTGTAATAAATAGCCACTATTTCCTCCTTTGCAGATAACATAGGACGTGCAACTTAGGCCAGTAATGTCCGTCCCTTCCTCATCCACTAAAGGGATAAGTGGAGAGAAGCCAGGAGGAACAAGTCCTAGCCCAATTGAAGGTGTAGATGGTGTACCAGGACCAAGTTCATTGGATCCCATGCATTCAGCATTGCCACAAGACGGAGAATCGGAAGATTACGGAGAAGAAGCTGAAGAAGACGAGGATGATAGTAGTGAGGAGGAAAGCGAGGTAAATTTAACGTGAACATGATTGCACTGTTTAGATAGTTAAATTTGGCATTTAAACTAATACAAATGTAACAATGTATTAAGAAGGAGGAAATCCTTGATACAATCTCTACATTCTATCGTTTGCTGCTGATAAAATAGGTTAGTGATGCTGGTTTATTCTGTGATGCCGAGTGCGGGGAAGAAAATGACGGTAGCGACAGTCACTCCCCAGTGTTAGACCTCCAACCGCCATTACCACAGCGAGTTCAGAGTCCCATTTTACATACTTGTGTTCCCCTGGACGTCGTACAGCCACAGAGGAAACGCAAAAGCGAAACGGAATCCAGTTTACCTTGCAAAAAGCTTAATCCAGAGGATAAGACTCATACGTAAGTATATTTTAGTTCGCTAGAAATTGACTATAATAAATGTATAACTAGAAAATTATACGATTTATCCATAGTTTGTTTTTGCAATACTTGAAACACATGCGTATATATTTTGTTATTTCTCTGTGACAGGATTGTTAAAAAGTTGGACTATAAGGGAAAGCATGTAAGATGCGTTATACCAACAAGGGATAATCCGCCGCCTGAAATGAGTAGTTGGTTATTACAATTTCAGGTATGTTCAGTCTTGATGAATAATATTAAAAGGGTCATAAATATTTCATTGTAATTAAACTCCTAATGTCAAAGTAAATCTACGAATAATTATCCACTTGTTGTAGCGATGGTCAAATGCAGAAAGGATGTTGGCTATAGACGAATTAATAGAACGGTGCGAACCTACGCAAGTGCGCCACATGATGCAAGTGATAGAACCCCAGTTTCAAAGGGACTTCATTTCCTTACTTCCCAAGGAACTTGCCTTATCGGTTTTAGCCTTCCTAGAGCCTCGTGACCTTTTACGCGCGGCACAGACATGTCGGAATTGGCGGTTCCTCGCGGACGACAATTTACTTTGGAAAGAAAAGTGCAGAGCCGCGGGTATAGACGACCTGAAGGACTTGCCATTGTCGAAGCGTAAGAACTGTCGAAATTCCGGCAATTGTTCGTCACCCTGGAAGCAGGCATACATGCGGCAGCATAATATTAAAATGAATTGGAGAACAAAGCCAATTCGACCACCGAAAGTTCTTAAGGGTCACGATGACCACGTTATCACTTGCCTTCAGTTCTCCGGTAACCGGATAGTCAGTGGATCGGATGACAATACTTTAAAAGTATGGTCGGCGGTTACGGGGAAGGTAAGTACAAAAAAAAAGGATCCTCTATCCTGTTACATGCTATTGACAGACTTTCAAGTATCTTGTTCGCTCGACAGTCTGTTACCACGTCTCAGAATTCTCCATGATTATTCTATCCTTATGAATAATGTTACAGTGCTTGAGAACATTGGTCGGTCACACGGGTGGTGTTTGGTCCTCGCAGATGTCTGGCACAACAGTGATCAGTGGTAGTACCGACCGTACTTTAAAAGTGTGGAATGCAGAGACTGGCCAATGCATTCACACCCTATATGGACATACGTCGACAGTGAGGTGTATGCACTTGTATGGAAATAAGGTCGTCAGTGGTAGCAGGGATGCCACGCTGCGAGTATGGCAAGTGGACACTGGTGAATGTTTACACGTGCTAGTAGGACATTTGGCAGCAGTAAGGTGCGTGCAGTATGATGGGAAGCTAGTGGTCAGTGGAGCTTATGATTACATGGTCAAAGTATGGAATCCTGAACGGGAAGAATGTCTTCATACGTTACAGGGACACACGAATCGCGTTTATTCTCTTCAAGTAAGTATGCGACGATCTTTCAAAAGAATTACATTCTGTAGGAGAGTAATGTGAATTTTACGAATTTCTTGTCAGTTTGATGGTGTTCATGTGGTGAGTGGATCCTTGGATACAAGTATAAGGGTCTGGGAGGTGGAGACTGGGGCTTGTCGGCACACCCTGATGGGTCATCAGTCTCTGACGTCGGGAATGGAACTGCGTAATAATATTTTGGTATCTGGTAACGCGGATTCGACTGTCAAAGTCTGGGATATTGTCAGCGGTCACTGTCTACAAACACTTTCCGGTCCTAATAAACATCAATCGGCAGTAACTTGTCTGCAATTCAACAGCCATTTTGTAATTACCTCGTCCGACGATGGTACCGTCAAATTATGGGATGTAAAAACCGGTTAGTATTCTTGTTATACATATTAATATATTTCTTTTCCATTCTATTGACATACTGCTATAAGGGGATCCTTGTATCATCTGACACAAAATATTTTTTATAATTCATGATCTTATTCTAGGTGACTTTATAAGGAACCTAGTGGCTCTGGAAAGTGGTGGAAGCGGAGGTGTCGTGTGGAGAATTCGTGCAAGCGACACGAAGCTAGTGTGCGCGGTGGGCAGTCGCAATGGTACCGAGGAGACTAAACTCCTGGTGCTCGACTTCGACGTCGAAGTGAAATAGTCTATCTTCTTGTGGGTGGGACCGCTCCACTATGTGACTTCTGTACATACTCTAATTAGGTAGCGTAACCAATCTACTGTACAATGTTTCATGTATTACATGGTGTGATTGTGATAAGACTGCATGTGAAAAAGAAATTCCGAGAGACCAAGGAACGCGACAGTGGGAATGTCATGTGCCGCTCGCGATCTCCGAAGATGAGGAGTCTGATGACGATGGCATTAATTATATTAGCTATGGGATGTACCTATTGCGGTGTACAAATATGAGATTCAAAAGACTCGAAACAAACTATGGTGAATAAGGAGCTTATCAGTTTAATTACTGAATTATCGCGCTGTTACTCGATTCGACGATATCGTTAGTATTATAGATGATGCAATTTCTCGCGAACATTATAATGTCGCAGTTCGTATGGGCGTTTAAGTAGAGCATTTGTTAAATAATTAAATTTAACAAATGCAAAGGACGTACTTACTGTGCTGTCGGAATCCAAAGTGAAGATGCCTCGTTTCGGTACTCCTATGCTCATTATAAAATCTAATCGAACAGAAATTCAAGAAAATAGAGTTCAATGATCTTGGAGCACTTTGACGAGAGCAGAGGTCGACATTTTTTTATCACTGTTAGCGATGTTCTTGTGAAGTAACATCTTTTTCTTCCTAGAGGACGGGGGGGGGTCGCTTCTGTCAATTTTGTAGAATCTTTGTTCCCTTGAGCTGTTCGAGACTGAAACTGAAATAATCCTTACTTTTTTGATTCTGATCATCCAGGTAACTCAATCATTGAATTCAATCGGAAGTCATGTTTCCTTGTACAAATTATTTCCGCCCTATTACCATATTCTTTTGGATGATAGCAACGTTTAATAATTTTTATTCTTAGTAATGGTCGTATAGAATGTTAGTTGCCCATCGTATAACGTAATGGAGATTGCTGAAATTCTATGGGGTAATAAAAAGAACTGTATTTTTTGATGAAAAATCGTAGAATCAAGTAGAGTATAGTTTTATCTAGCGTACAAACAATTACGACTGGGACACAATATAGTAAATTAGTTCCTGCATTGTTTTAATGAAAGCTGTAAAAACTTGAATTGTAAATCATATTATAAGTATTTTATACTTTCTTTTATGTTATACCTTTTCTTTAATTTGTTATTGACTAAAGAGATCTATGTGAGCAGGAAATATTTGATGCTTTATAATCGCAGACCATTAGCCGTGAGGTTCGTCTAGGATTCATATGTTTATGTAAAATCATACAGCAAGATAAAAGCTGAGGAATATTGTATATGGCGACATGACTCCGGCTTGATACATTCGTGCTATCAAGAGTAACGAACATAATCGAGTTGCACCGTATCAGATAATCAGCGACAGTGTGCGTTTAAATAAAAATTGTTAAGCTGTTCAAGCGTAGTAAAGACGAAAAAAAAAGAAATCACGAATGAATTATTAGGGCATTATTATTTTTTGAATTACAAGTTTCGTTTTCATTATTTTTATGAATGTACTATTTATTTCTGTTAAATTAATACACAAATGGGACATAGGTATGAATTATTGCCAAATATTAAATCATTTATTGCCGACGTTCTTTCGGTAGAATTTTAATAATTTGCAAGGAGCAGAATTACTATTTTCGTTGGGAAAAAAAGATTAAGAGAGAATGCATGTCGAGAAATGGTATTGTCGCATAAATCCGGCCTATGATTATTAATGTGACATCGAAGAAACGATTCTTCACATCTGGCTCGATTTTTTATAGAAATTTGCCATGAATCATTTGTTATATACTTTTCATTTCGTGCTAGGAATTTATGAAGGGATACTGTACAATATATATCATATCTAAACACTGCACTAATCGTTCTGGAAACTCATCACTTCAGACTATGTTATCAGAACTATCATTGTCGTGCTGAATCATGTGCTCTTTTGTATTAATTAGTCGGTTCATACATTGTCCATAATATTCAATAGCGTAGTCCAACAACACCGTTGATATCTCACATTATAAACACACATTCTACACAAAAATTTTGTAGATACTGCAATCAAGGTGAAAACAGTTGGTTTACTATTCTCATATTCAAGCATAAAATCATAACATATTATGTGCCTACCAAAGCCGATAACATTTTAAAAAGAAACATTGTAATGCAGCAACTTTTATTGGGTGAGCACAATGTTGATTATATATTAGAGCGCTTAGTTCCTGGTCATAATGGTATAGCGTTACTAATAAAAATATTTTTATTATCAGCCACAAGGCTTTCGATGTATCAAATAAGTATAACAGATTTAATTTCCAATTGGTATAATCAATATTAGTTTATATTATTTTGCCTTGCATCTTTCAATTTCTATATACGATCCCTACCGGCATTTGTTATTAATAATAATAATACTGTTAATTTCACTGTTATTGTGTACAGGAAAGATGTCATACATGGAGCATTCTTACGTGCCATAGTCCAGTGTCCATCGATAGGAATTCAATAGTAATCATTTAAAAAGTGTCTTGAACTGCATACAGTATATAGCTCAGAGTTACATCCAACTGCGTTAACAATACCAGTGACAATCAAAGGAACCAGGTGCAACACTCTTTTGTCCCTTTGTTTATATACTGTATATATCACCACAAATCATCATGTAACAGTTAAAAACCTATAAGAATACCACTTTTTGTATTTCTACATTTGCAAAACAGAAAAAAGAGGAAAGAGTGTACAAATGTAAAAGATATTGTGCTCATTCAGGAGGTAACTCGTGGCTTTTTTGTGAAATCACACGAGGGTGCATATAGTTCAAGCATTTACCGAAATTTGTGCCTATTTCCCAGAACTCAAAAATGATCTTTACAAAGGAAGAGAGAAAAACATGTAATTAAGTGAGAAAATCAGCGACGGGGCAATTCGAAAGGTATAATTAAATTGTAGCGTTTAATTAATTTTAGTCGTGAAATTTACAGAATATAAGGATTACTTAATGTTTATCAGTTAAAAATTTACTCTTGTATCATTTATACAACGTAAAGTATTGCGTCTCTCGACAGGCAGGTAAACGAAGTATGTCGTAATGTATACCCAGCAAACACAATATTACAAATAATGCACATGCTAGTTGGAATGTGTAGCGTTACATGTAACATTGTATTTACTGGGAATGATAAGCCAATGCATGACGACCTGCTACGCAGTATCCTGAAGTATCGAATTCTTTAATTGAACAATCTCGTGCAATGCATTCAGCTTATTGCGATAAATACTTTTAATTAATTTGTATATTTTATTATCTCCCAGCAATGATGGTTCGCGAACGTCTTTACTTCAATTCTTTCCTTTTTTTTAGCATTAATCACTCGAAGGAAATTAAAGAAGAGACACAATAATTATCATTGAAACAAATCTCCTACGGAACCAAACGACATCCGTTCATTACTTCTAATTGTAATTAATAATAATGACCCTCATACATTGAGTAAAGGTGTATATAGCCTACTAGTATTTTGCATTGTACTTTGTAATGTAATAGTTTATGCGACATTAGGCATATCCGAACTGCATTGTGCATGTGATATGTATTCTTCGGGAGTCACGACGTTACTCTCGTGGAGGACTGTCCTTGTGTAATTCCCCTTATTTATAAATTCATGTTGTAATTAGGCAACTATTGTAAAAAGTTTCACACAATGAAAAATCAAAGTGAACTAACTGTTGAGTCGATATCAATAATTGCTTATCATTTTTTGGATTGATCAAAGCTGAATTGGGAATCTGTAGCGTCGATCAAGCGATAATCATTGGTTTTTAAGATCCGTATATATATATATAAAAAATAAAAAGATCTGGTTCCCCGTAGCACAATAATGAAAGTTGCGTTAATTAGTTTTTGTGCAATACAACACGCAGCTCGTTCTCCTAACAAGTTTTACGTTTAACCACGTATAGATTATCCTGACTCGACGATTAATTAAGGATGTCGATTCAAATAAAACTGATACTGCCTATTGACAGCGATCAATGGGAATATTTGTCGGCATTGTTATAATTATTATCATGGTGCGCTAATGGATACTCTTGGATCATGCGTGTAACATTGCCGGGACGTAATCCCTGTAAATGCATCTTTCTTTATTGGACCATGGCCATTCTAAGGATCGTGTTTTATTTGTATATTGCTCAATAGTTTATATTATAAGAATGTGTTATCTGTTGTATCATTTTTTTTATAAGAAATAGAAAATGTTGCTGCATTTTATATTCTCTGCGTTTCTTTGGCATTACTGCTTTTCTCTGAGGATCCAAGTAATCCATAAGAATCGAATTAATTCAATAAAATCCTTAGCGCATTTTTAATAATATTTTAACTTTTCTTCACTCCTTTTATTTATTTTAAACGATGTTCCGTTTAATTTTCAGAATTATACAGTCAATTCGATGGAAGTTTCATGTTTAGCTTATAATATTTTGTACAAGGATTATAACGATATAAGGAAGCATTATATTAAGCAATTATGTCTCAATAATGATGACAAAAGTGCACTCCTGACAAGGAATATGAAGCTCATTGTTTTTCTCTTCTAAGTCTTCCTTATGTACTACATAATTACTTCCACACCTGCACTGATAAGTCATGAACTCTTTATCTTCTGTGACATTCAATTCTTTTGATGTTATCCTTGAATATACAAGAATATTCTCCCTCTCTAATTCTGCCTGCCTGCATTCTGCATCGTACTCCGCTTTGGATTCGCTGTCCTTTAAAATCCTCCAAGCTTCTTCAATCTGTTGAAACTTTTCTGTACTCACTTCTCCATTAATTATCTTATCAGGATGAAATTGCAGTGCGAGCTTATGATATGCTCGTCTGATTTCTTCCACTGAGGCTGTTTTGGAGCACTCAAGAATAGTGTAGTACTCGTATGGATCCATAACTTATTATTTTCATTATTTATTCTTAAAGATATTTAAATATTACCTTTCATCTTAGCAAATGACGTATATCATCAGTAATGATAGAATAACTTGTATGCAAATGGTTCGTAGTGTACTATCATACAATATAAATACAAAATAGTAAATATGCGATACAAATACGCACGTGGCACTATTCGTCTACAGGTCTGTTTAGATCAACAGAAATACAAATTTAAAATTATTATCTGCGCAACAATTAATTAGGGTGTACGGCAAGTATTTAATTCGAACACCCAACAAAACCATATCGTTTTTTGAATTCGATCCTAATGCAAGTCAAATTCGATATTTAATTATCAATTTGAAAGCTATGAATTCTAACGTGAAATAAATACCGCGCAAAAGATGAAACTTGTTCAAAAAAACACTGTCTACGTCTCAATCTAATGATGTGGTAATTGGTGATGAAATTCGGAGTTGTTTGCCATCTTGAAATTTCGTCTGGATTCTTTGCTTAAAAAGATAAGGAATTAACAAATCGTAGACATTTCTACTTGTTAGAAATATTCGGGATTGGTCAATTCCTTTAGATGAGTATTAACAAAACCGATAAAGACCGTGGTGTAAACGTAGTCATAGAGTGCAGTGATATAAATCTTGACTCACATTTCTCGTCGGCACTAAAAACCAGTTAAACATTGTTTACCTATAAAATATTTGGACAGATTAATACGAGATCAACTTGTTCCAAAAACCAATGAAACTTACTCACATTCACGTTGTTCTTCCGTGTAAACAAATCTACCTACTGTTCACTCTCTACATATTAATTGTGCATCTAAGGCTACAAGCAACAAATATTTTTGTGGATGACGTTTGGTCGCAGAAGTTTCATTTCGGTGATTATTAATCGTTGGATAGTTTTTATTCCTTTTAATTCTTTTCGAAGTTTCATTCACAATGGAGTGCGTATTTCATGAGAAGGTAAGAATATGCTTCACTTAGTGCAGGTAGTGATTCTTATTAAGTAGGTTGGTTGGGATTATGACAGAAGTCACTTTGGTTACAGCAAGAAGGATATTTATGTGCTCAGCATTGCTTAAATGCTCTCCTCCAGGGGCCTTATTTTAATGCAGTGGATCTTGCTAATCTTGCTCACCAAATGGATGAGGAAGAACGTATTAGAATGGCAGAAAGTGGAATTGACAGTGAAGATTACAAGCTATTCTTAGAGGTGGAAACTGCTTTGGCACATATTTCTATTAACAAATGATTAGACTTAACAGTGCGACTCCTATCATCAATAAATGGTTGCATTTTTGTGTTTAGCAACCATCTGGTAATATGGATGACAGTGGATACTTTTCAGTACAAGTTATTAGCAGTGCATTAAAAGTTTGGGGCCTTGAGCTTATACCATACAACAGCACTGAACCCACAGCACTGATGGCTCAAAAAGATCCTTCGTAGGTTATTACGTAATAATTGTTTCAAGAAGCATGCCATGATCTGTATTGAGATCGAAAGTTTTTTAATATTTTTGCCTGACTACATTTTACAAAATAATTGTACTTTGCTTTTAGACAAATGAATGCATATATCTGTAATTACAAAGGGCATTGGTTTACTATACGGAAACTGGGACATCAGTGGTTCAATTTAAATTCAATGCTGAGTGGGCCCCAGCTTATATCAGATACATACCTTGCTATGTACTTGGCTCAGTTGCTACAAGAAGGTATGTCAAATGCACTTTTAGTACGTACTGTATTCATACAAAAAGATAATATTTTTAGGCTACTCAATCTTTGTTGTCATTGGCACATTTCCACAATGCCCTGCTGATGATGTACTTCTGCGCAATCCCATAGTAACAACACTGAAAGCCAAGTCAAATGCTGAAACTGCAGCAAAACCCATTTATACAGGATATCGATTGGGTACTAACGATGAAGAAGAAGCAAAAATCCTCAAAACTGCAATGGCTTTTGGACAGGTCCAAGTTCCATATTCAGCCAACAGTTTGGCAAGTTCATCCATACCAGGGCCGTCTCATACTCAAAATACATTATCAAGAAGTAACATCACAAGAACTAATACAGATCCAGTGATGGAGAGGCCTCGAGAACGCATAATACCTATAAAAGTAGAAGGTCGTGATCCTGAGGATGATGATGAGGATGCAGAATTGCAAAGAGCTTTACAGCTGAGCTTGCAGGATGGTAGTGATGATATTGGCAAGTCTCTTAAACTGAGATTGGATCTAGATACTGATGAACAAAATCCACACATACCCAATGCATCAGAATCTGCCGATGAGGATGATGAGTTAAGAAAAGCCCTGCAATTGAGCCTTGAATGCGTAACAGCTCCATCCACTCCAGATCCAGATGATCTACGTTGGCGTCGATTGGCTTATTTAGGTGTACACAACAGAGCATCAAATAGTGAACCATCACCAAAATTGAATACGTAACAGTAATTATTTTATTCTTATCAACATTGATATTAAAACGAATTTAAACTGTACATTGTATTTAACCAGTTATTAAGGGGGAAGAATGTTATTTTATATACTAATATTATTCATCTATGTTCTTAATAAAAGTCTAATTCACTTCGTGCTTAGTTCGTCGTGAGACTTGTACTCGTTCATAATTTAATTCTAGTCAGAGTGACAACAAAATAATGTGAACCAGTATATTGTACTGGTCGCGCAATTTCATTGTTATGATGCCCTGGGCATTCTGTACTGTTGTTCTGTCAATATTATTCTGTGAACTTTTTCGCGCATATTGTACTTGCTACAAGAAATATTCCGTTTTTGAATTTCATATGACACTGCACAAATGTTCAATACAATATATATACGACGTTGTTGTTACTTAAGAATTGTATAATAAATTATGATGGTTTAAGGGGTTACGTCACCCTGGACGCCCAAAGTGGAAGCGGAATTCAACAATTTTATTTTAACTCGGGAATAAACGGAAGAAGTTTCATCTTTGGCACAATTTTGGGTCATAGTGTTGCCTGGATAAAAAAAATCTAATAGTTTCCAAAATTTGGGAACATAGACTTTTTCTAATATAATGTTACGATGGGTACTCGTGGATGACGACGCTGACAACCCGTATGGTCCACAGTGGTCCACAGTCATGAAAAATTATTGACAAATTTGATGATGACATCGATTGAAAGTAGAGTCATTGGTTTTATTAAAAAAAGGTTGACATTAATATTCATTTCAAGAACCTACTTTTCAAGATCATACTTTATCGTAGATCACCAGTTCTGCATGTGTCACATACATTGAGTTTCAAATGTCGGCGTTCAGGGTCTGTTATCAGTATCATCTTGGTGTCACAATCTAAGTTCTGAGATAAAATTAAAAACCGGAAATCACCCAAAGAGGAAATGAGCGAAACGATAACGACAAAATTCGACTTTACGAACGCGCACAAAATTAATTTGGACCAAACCGACTTGGACATTTCGCCGTTATTTTATGTATATTATTTTGTATTATAAACAATATCAACAATTTTTTCTGTTGCGTTATACACGTTATTATGATATTTCTGTGCATTTATAATTTCTTTAATATCGCATTCTTGAACAAACTTTGAGTATTGTAACTTTTGAGGAATTTATTGAAAATAATTTGTACACCCGTGATATCTCAAGAAGGCTGTGAACAGAAATCTTGCCGCAGTTGCTCTTGTTTTGTATGCGAATGCTGAATGTTGACATTCAACATGGCGGCATGTCGTCAGTGCTGTGCTGTGTCGTGGTGAGTTTTCTAAAAGTTTATAATGCTGTACGATTGCGAGCTTTGTAATGAATTATGTATCATTAGAGGGATGCGGATCGTACGAGTTCACGATGTACTATTTCGTCATGTAGAAATAGAGTGCTAACAGTTAAGCTTTCCAATTAAAAGAGCTATCTCATAAAAAAATTAGATCCTCCTAACTGCCGTACCATGTAGAATACCTCGCGGCTATATTTCGAATGTATCTTTCTGCCTATCCTTCGTGAACTCTGTTATATTGCATGTTTTCTTTTATTTTTTCTTTAAGTTACCATCTACACGCTTTGGAATGTATTTCAAGAATTTTCTGGCATTTTGTATACTTGGCATTAAGTGGTCCAATTTTACATATCAAAAGTCTCCAATTTTTGTATAATCGACGACATTGGATTTTATTGTATTCGAATGATATTTAAGATATTTTTTTTACTTCATTTACCTTGGTACCTGTAACGTACTGCAAATGGAAAACATCTTAGCAAAACAGTAGGTGTCATGCTTTATGAAGTCAATGTCAAACTGTCAGTCGATTGCTTTTGGAGCTTTATTGTGGAAAATAATAAATGTATTGTGTGATAGCGTGTGACCTAAGGATGGCTTCCAAGAAACTCTTCTTAGCATGTGACTTTGATATAGTACAGTTAGCCATGGTTCACCTGTATGGCCTCATTCTTGTTGTGTCTAATACATATTAACAGAATATGATTTTATATCAAATAGACTATATTAACTTTGCTTTAATATTCATCTTTCACTATTTTTATTAATTACCATTTTTACACTTCGAGGTTATAATTGGAACAAATGCTATACTACTTTTTGGAACTGGTTGTTTATGGAATAATATTGTTTGCTTTTAGTACTAATTAGTTATTCTCGAAGTGTTATTTATGATTTGGAACATGTTTCCAATTTTGAATATACTACAAATTACTTTTTCACAAATCAATGGATGTATATTCAATTGTTTTATACTCATTTGAAAACTGTTATATGCCATTAAATAATATTTAAAATTGACTAACATATTTATTTTGAATACTGTCATTATAAAATGCCTTTAAAAATATATTTCATTAGGATGGTTGAGTCTGTAACACAGTACATGATCAATTACATATGTTATCACCTAATCTTTTCTATTTCTTGGCTTAATTTTTTGTATATTTATAATAAATGATAGCTGTATTTTGAGGTTTTTATAAAATTGCAATGTGTATGCAAGAGCTAATTTTGTAAAAGTTATTGTTGCAGTGTCATGTTAGTAAAACTACTCATAACCTTAACCATAAGCCGAAATGCAATAATACAATTTTTTATACTTACTCTGCTTTGTCTTTATTCTGTATAATAAATCTATATCCCATTATGTGAATACAATGCAATATAATATTTCATATGATATAAAATATTGCTATAATATTTATTATTATAGATTTCATTATATATGACAATGGCTGAAATCTAAGCATGCTGCTCATGATATGATCAAAATACTATTACCTTGTACTAAAAAAATATGCTTGTTTGATAATTGTAAAGATATACTACTTTATTGTCAATAAGATTATTTGGTTAATATTAATGTATTACATTCATACAAAAAGTATATTTGAATAGCTTACTGCACTTTGTTAGATTTCATTTTTTTAATCGTTAATTTTATAATGCATAATACTATGCATAAAAACCAGACAATCATTACTGTTATCATTTGTACAGTTATTACTTGTATACTTTATAAGTCATTGGTTGATTAAAAAATTTAAATAAACCAATTCCAATATACACATTATTATAACAGTCAAAAGATTCATTATTGATAACAAAGCTTGTAATATTAAAGGCAATTATTATGAATATGATATAACGTTCATGTAATAATTAAATATATATTTTTTTGATTTCAGCTTGTGTAATTGTTAGTTTAGGACATTTTTGAAACCAACGCTCACTGTAAATTCCACATTTAAAAGCTGAAGAAGAAAACGATAATATAGGATTATTGGAACGACACAACCACACTCAGCACGCATTGAAGACATCTGAGGATTTTCAAGCCAACACTTATCCTTTAAATCTCCAATGTTTTTGATTTATTCCTTTTATAAAGGATGACTGATGTTTAAGAAAAAAACACGGTTGTTCTCGGACACGCTAAATTGAGTAATTATCAAACAGTTGTTACGATATTATTAATGCATACGCGTATGGAAAGTATTGATGGTATATGATGTGCTAAGAATTTTCTACACATATTGATTCGTAATACCGATATTAACCGCATCGTTCGTTTTTATATTGTGTACGCGACACACTTCACGAGAAGGAGTTAGGTACACCGCATAAGTGAGCGTGATTGTGATTGCGGCTGAGATTGTGCTGCTTCGCTCGGTTGATGGGACACACGCATCCACATTCGGAGAGTGCCAAGTTCGCCCAGAGCAGCCCTGGTGCTTTTCGATAATAATTCACGATACTTATCAAAATACTTTTATCACCTTCCTTCCCACTTGCTGGTCACAACACAAAAACTTGAAAGAAAGAAAAAAAGAGTCTGCATTTCTGCAGCATTTCAAAGAGCCTTTCTCCCTCCTCACTAAGTTCTCGTAACGTTGTAATAGTAAACGAAGATATAAGGTACCAAGAACCATTCTGTGATATCTATGTTAACACTTAAATAATTGAAAAGACTAAAATTTCTAAATGTAAGTATATATATTGCGAAGAAGCATAAGCGAAGTTAAAAGGAATTATCTAATTGTTTCGACGAACAAGAATTAAAGAAGAAGACGACGAAAAGGAAGAAAAAGAAAAAAAAACTTATAAATTAAACAGCGCAAATTCGAAACGATGTCCAACAATCCTCAGTGGAAAACGTTCCAGCCGCCAATCATGAACTCTGACCCAGCAATACTTGACTACAAGTCCATGGCTATACCAACCCCCAAGGTTGTAGGAGGATCTCATCAATCGGCCACTAATTATCGAAATGGCACCAGCTACAGCGGAGATCACTTCATGGACTCTCCTCCAAAGTGTGGCAAAAACTCCACTACTCCCTACGGCAGTTATCCCGGTACACAAACATCACCGCGTAACGGAGCAGCTCGATTTCCAATTGGTACCTTTACGGGAATGGAAGGTGGTGTCGGCTACACGGGTGAACCGGCGACCAATAATTCCTCCTATCAGGATCAATCGAACAATCAAGGAACGCGTGAAACCGGCATTATTGAGAAATTATTGGTGAGTTTTAGTCATTCTTCGAGTCATCGATACCCACGTCCTTTCCAGTTTCTTCTTGTATAGTATAGCTACCCTTGTTAAAAAGTAATAAAATCAATGAACAAAATTTCTTTTTCAGCACTCTTACGGATTCATTCAATGCTGCGAAAGACAGGCGAGACTGTTCTTTCACTTCAGCCAATTTAGTGGCAATATAGAACATTTAAAAATTGGTGACCCCGTGGAATTTGAGATGACCTACGACCGTCGAACCGGAAAGCCCATTGCCAGTATCGTTAGTAAGATCGCACCAGAGGTGGTAAGTATGCGCTTTGTGATCTATTAAATGACAACAGCCTCTGGATATATTACGCGTGGTCCACGTGTTCACTATCATCATACAATGAGTGTAGGTACTGAGCGAAGAGAGGGTTACCGGTAACGTAACTACGGAGCTACACGCTAGTGGAGATTCCCAAGGGCGAATTAGCTACGAGAACAGAGGCGAGTGTTTCTTTCTACCTTATACCAAAGACGATGTCGAAGGAAACGTCACTTTGCATGCTGGAGATAAGGTGTCATTTCAAATAGCAACAAACCAGCGGTAAATAATTAATATATATATCATAATATATATACATAATTCTATCAAATTGTATCAATAATAATTTAATAGAATAATCGTATAAATAAATCACCTGTTCTAGTGGGAATTTAGGTGCTTGTCACGTAAGACTCGAAAATCCAGCACATCCCGTACGTTATCGTGGAGTGGTGTGCTCGATGAAAGAAAACTTTGGTTTCATCGAGCGTGCCGACGTTGTTAAGGAGATTTTCTTCCACTTTAGCGAAGCTAAATCAATGAAAGAGGAACTGAGACTCGGAGACGATGTCGAGTTCATAATACAGACAAGAAACGTAAGTAAAAGGAATTCAAAGCTTATCGACAACACCACGTCAAGTTTATTTATTAACGAACATTTAACATTTTTATCTTACCTTTCAAATTCATAGTTTAAGCTTTGATACACAATACTCTTGTAACACAATATTCTTATTTTCATTCAGAGAAAAGAAGTGGCGTGTAATATTACCAAACTGCCCCCTGGTTCTATCATCTTCGAAGAAGTCAGTAATGAAGTGGTTAAAGGACAAGTACTAAAACCATTGGAACGAGGAACTGCTGCACGTCATCAAAGTGATCCATTGCCAGGTCGTATTCGTTACAGAGCAGCTGATCACTCTGAAATCGAAGTGCCTTTCGGAGATAAGGATCAGAAGGGAGACTTCACATTAAGGTCAGAATCACCGCATTGCACGAATTAACACTTGTAATATATTTATAATATTAATCCTCTAATGCAATACTATCTTGAAATATAATAGGCACGGAGATTGGGTTCAATTTCGCATCGCTACGGACACGAGAGATCAATTGAAAAGAGCCACCGAAATATCGTTATTGCCCGAATCATTTACAGTGTCTGGCGAAAGGCGTGAGCAGGGCGTCATCGCGGCTCTGAAAGACGGCTTTGGATTCATCCGATGTGTTGATCGGGATGCTAGGCTGTTTTTTCATTTTAATGAAGTGCTGGATGTTGACAGGGAGATCAGTGTAACCGATGAAGTGGAATTCACGGTTATTCAAGTAAGGACTATGCATTTTATACGATACAGTAATTACTATATTCACTGTTTTATCTTCTACGAGATATATACTCTGCGACGGAATTATTTTATTGTTAATGTTTGTACTTCTGTACTGTCTTCTTTAAATATAATCTCTATTTCTCGTTTTTAGGATCCTTCCTCGTCATTCTCAAACACTCGACAAAGCGCGATCAGATTAAAACATCTGCCACCCGGTAGTGTTCAATTTGAGACTATAATAGAAGCGAATGTGCTGGGCAGTGTTATCCAAGATACTAATAACATCGAACCTGGTCTCATTGGTTACCTTAAGGACGGCCAGCAGAAAAGTATTATTTTCTTTAATAAAGATTGCGACTCGAAAAACATCCCACGACTTGGAGATAAGGTAAGATCTCTATTTTTGGCAATTATCGTTTTATCGTCATTAAGCTCTGTATCGTTATCTTATATGAATTATATATTTACCTTAGGTTCAGTTTAGTATCTGTCAAGTAAAGCGAAATAAAGAGCTCGTTGCTGTCGACATATCCTTAGTAAGTCCTAGCGGTGAAAAAACACAAAATGGAAATAAGAAGCCAACTGGTCCAGTCTGTCAAGGCTTCATCGCTGCTCTTAAAGATGGATTTGGTTTCATTGAAACCGTCAATCACGATAAGGAAATATTTTTTCACTTCAGGTAAGCGATGAGACAAATCAAAATACATAATAGTTAGCAGACCCCTTATAAAAAAAGTTCCCGTCAAATCAGCCATATCCTTCCTTCAGCAACTTCGACGGGGATGCTACCACTCTTGAATTAGGTGCCGACGTTGAGTGTACGATTAGCTCAGGAAACGGTCGCACCAATAATGGCGGTTGTACTGCTGCTGATTTCGTGCGTTCGGTACCTCGTGGTTCAATTCCGAGGCCGTCGGTGGTCGGTGAACTCCTGGACGGGACTGTTATCCGACCGCTACGTAGTGCGAATCCTGAGCAACTAGAGTACGCCGGTCTAATAAAAATCAGTCCCACGAGCGAGGACGAGGAGACCCCGGAATACGAATTCGGGATGATGGGCCTTGTTAATAAACGCGAACTGTTGCAAGTCGGCGATCCTGTTCAGCTACAGGTGGATTCCGCGGGTCATGCTTGCAACATTGTCGCCGTGCGCAAGAAGCGAAGAGCTACCGTGGATGCTGTTAAAGGACCCTTCGGATTTCTCACGTACGAGGTCGACGAAGGGAAGAAATTGTTCTTCCACATGAGCGAGGTCAAAGATCACGCAACTCTTCAGCCTGGTGATCAGGTTGAATTTGTCTTAGTGACAAATCAACGTACCGGAAAGTCATCCGCATGTAACGTGATGCGTTTGAGGTAACTTCTGTTTGCATAAATTGTAATGACCCTGGAATACTGTATTGGTATCACCAGGCGATAGTGATAGAAGTAACTAATGATATTGCCCCTTTGAATTTTGTGTTCTAGTGACGCGGTACAACAGCGACCTGAACGTTTAATAAGTCGGCTGCGTACCATATCTCTAGAGGAAACGGGCCCAAAACTTATGGTCGTACGGCAGCCAAAGGGGCCTGATGGAACGCGTGGATTTGGCCAGGAAAGAACCCAGCACACGCCTGGCGCCATCCAAGAGTAATATTGTATCATCTGATATGATCATTTATTCAAAATTGTATTTACATTACTTATTTTTAGTCCATGCACTTTCAATGCCGAGATTATTATTATAAGCATGAACATACAACATTTGCCAAAATCAAGACTAATGTGACAACAATAATAATAATAATCGGTAAATTGGACGATAAAATTAACGCGACGAACAACGAGCCATTTTATTATCTCTGAAAATGATAGTGGTCAAATCAAGTGGGGCGGGAAGGGTGGGAGGGGAACAGGAGAGCGGAGAGGGAGGGCAGTTAGTCCAAAAATCACGATTAACAATTAAAGGGAAAATCGACATCTGTCTCCATCGTAGTTGTTTTGTTGATTCATCTTTTTTTTCTCTTGTACATCTCCCCGAATACATGACCACTCGTTCAAATTATTCTTTTTTGATTGTAAAAAAAAACGTAGATACTATGAGGATTGCAATTTTTAATTATTAGGGGGTCTTGAATGATTTAGGCTTGTAAGTTAAATGAATAAATGTAAGACGAAAAAGGGAGAAAAGAGGGGAATTACAAAACGAATTGCAAAATAACTAGACGCTGGGCTATCGGCTAAACGGCCTGTCCGCATGTTCTGAGACAATGTCCTGTTTGTCTTTATAAAAATATACTTACATGTTGATACAATCTTTATTTATAATTAATTTCTTTGGACTATTTGTTCTACCCACAATATACACACACTATACGCAGACTAGATGTATAATAGGAGGAAGAAAAAGGGGAAAAACGATAAAAATATATAATAAATGAAAACAAGTCACAGAACACAGACACACGTTGTGTATGTGTATGATCGATTGATTGATCATCCTTTTGCTGGTGGGATGGGAAGAAATATAGTAGAAAACAAGGAAGAAGAATAAGAAGAAGATACGCGTGATGGATCGATAAAAATCTACAATGAAATTGCATAATGCCGAGGGTGAACGGATATGCGTCTTATTATATAAATTATTGTACCGCGTCACTCTCTGTCAATGAAAATGTCTATGATTTTGTAAAGAAATGAAAAAGAAAAAAGAAACCATGAAGTTAAAACTGGCCAACTGTTTGTCCTAGATAATATATTATATATATATATATATATATATAAATATATATATATATATGTCGTTCAGTTCCTGATGCAGTCTCGTGTTGTCAAATCAAATTAGTATTATGGATTCAGTGAAATGAAACGGTGAATTCAATGAATGAAATTATGAACTTATCTATATAAAGACATAAGAAATTGCATTTTATAAGTTGCCACCGATACTGTGAGCGGAAGTACACGTGGTATTATCTAGAAATAAACGTGAAAAAAGGAGTAACATAATCACATAATACGTAACACAAGCACGATACAAACTAAGCGCTTGTTCTAAGACCCATAGATCCAACAGATCATATGCATACATACTGTAAAATTATTGGTGAATAAACATTGGAAGCATCAGAAATTTTTTTCTAATTTTTCTTTTCATTATATTATTTAATTAATAATCAAAGGCTGTGTTAAGTCAATCAAGCTCTAAAAATTTGTAATGTGCTGCTAAATGCTCCAGTATCGCTTCAGTTTCATTAAAGACTTCAAATCGATTATGAAATCTTACACAGGAGATAAACAATTATATAAAAATAATTAGTGACAGGAGAAGAGTGAAACATGGATCATTAAATCTTCCAAAGAACATTTATTTCATTCACAAGTAATGACCTGTCATGATCTGCATATATTTACAAACTTTCTTTACTCTCATTCCCAAAGAGGATTATATTAGATAATGTTTAATGCTTTATACCATCTATAAATGTACTTGTTTTTGAATATACAAGCTGTAATTTATTCCTCTTCAGTTAGATTACAACACACTCATATGGAAATGGTCCTCGGAAACGTAGATTATTTGGTCCTGGACAGGCTGAAAAATGTAAGCAGATAATTATAAAAGATAGACTTCATTTTTCCATTATTTATGGTTCCAAGGTAAGAAGATAGATAAATATAACTGATAATTACATTTATCACATCGAATTCCATAAAATCCTGTTCCCTCGCAAAGACACTTGTACCCTGGATCTTGAGTAATTTGTAAACAGGAACCACCATGTAAGCAAGGCTTTCTGTGACATATATCATGACGTACACCTGCATTGAATAAAATTAAGTAAATCAGGGATTATCATTTGCATATAATAATTCAAATTGTAACTCTGAAGATATGCAAATACTGTACCTCTCAATGCCAATCTGCATTCTTCTACAGTTTCATATCTATACTCAGATTTGCATCCATATCCACAGTTACATTGGCCACTATTAATGCGACATCCACTTCGCATTTGATCCAGCTCACAGCTTCTTGATTTGGCAACTATGTTCATAACAAATGATATAACGAATTAAAAAAAATATAATTTGAAAATGTTTCTTTTGTAAAATATTCCACGCGATACACTACCTGTTTATAATGCATTTTTAAATATTTTGTGCGAATATAACAGCATGTTTTTAACTCAATCTTTCCAAAGGCGTTTCCTAATCTAACGAGACCCAATTCATCTACACAGTTCAGCCATACATAGAATTCGTTTGTATTCAAAATCCAAGTATTTTGATTGGCTAATCAAGCAGTTAACGAGTTTAAACAATAACCGGGTTGGAAGAATTGAACCTGAATGTATTTCATTCAAATGCAATCAGTAACGACGTGCATCATTAAAATTATAGCAAGAATGAGCCAAGGCAATTTTTTCGCAATTTTCTATCACTTGTTTTGTCATTATTATTGAACCGTAAAAAAATATAAAAAGAGAAACAAAGTCGCGTGTGTTTGAATGAAACTTGATACAATTTTGCAACAACGCCTGCGCGCAGATCTTGAACCACAATTCAAATATTAACGCACTTTAACACCATTATGTAAAAATATATTAAACAGTAACTCAGTTAATTCTAATCACTGAATTAAAATACTAATAAAAAGTCCAACATTCTTTTTGATAAATTAAAGTGATCGGGTTATTTAACAATTTGCATAAAATTCAAACAAGATTAAAATAAACCGAGGTGAACGCTCTTGTAAAATCTAATTTAACTGATCCAATAAACGTTGTCTGGTTAGTTATGTACGTATTTTTCTGGAATACTCTCAAAGTGATTATATTTTCTGAGATTATTTTTAATGAAAATTAAAGTGAATTAATCAAATCTAAGACAATTATCCTACCCAAAATCAAAAGAAAGAGTGCCACCGGCAGTAAGTTGATCCTCGTCATATTGCAAAGAAGAATAACCCAGGGTAAACGTCGACGGGTATGTATGCGGTTCTGCTGTTAAACTCCGTTAATCACTAAAACACAAAGGGCAGAGTCCGTGCCGTCAGTCTCGACTTAGACTTATTTAAAGACGGAGAAGAAGAATCAAGTCCGAACGGCGACTGACTGCTAAACGGACTACGGAGGCGTCGTTAACCACGATGGTAAAAGCATCGCGTGGGGTGCAAATGGTGAGAGTCAACTGTCGCTTGGTTTCTACATGATAAAATATAAATGCAGTCTTTACAAATACAAACAGAAAACACAGAATTTCGTGGCATTGCATTTATGCAGGCATTATTGTCGTGAACAATAATTTTCATAAATTGTTGGCAGGTCCCACATGTGTCCTTTGCATAATCATCATGGCATTCATGCTTTGTTCGCTGACTTTTTAATTTTATTTCTCTTTAGTTATTCGTAAAGACAATTTTTCTGTTATATAATTACCCAACTATGCTTCCTCTCTCACAAGTTCTTTGTTCTGAACGTCATTAACTCTTAGTCCGTGGACGAAGTGGGATCGAACAAAGAGTAGGCGTGCATTTTGCTGGCTTCCGGTGAATAATCGCGATGAAGAGTAGAACAGAGTCAAGAGATAATAAATTTCCTCGTCGGGTCATCATTAGGTATGATACGTTCTTGGGTTTTGGGTCATAATAATGATAACACTTGACACTTCGTGCATCCAGAAATCGATGGAATGTATGTCGACTTCGATGGACATTAAAAATTTTGCTTTTCCACTTGTACGCACGAGCTATGAAAGTTCAATTCCTTGGCTGGTACTTTGATTTTGTACGTTAGAAATTTAGAAGACTAATATACAAGTAGAGTGAGGAAATATAGTTGGACGACGTGTGTGGTGAGATCTATAATTGTGAAATATCAAATTTCTGGTTTAAATATAAAGATAATTTTAGAGTCTAGATTGACGTTTTAAGTTTCAAGGAAATTTTGATTGATCTATTCTTAGTACGTTTTTTGAAGTCTTTTTATCTTTATACCGTTTACTGAATAAGAAGCAATCTTGTGTATTTTATTTGACTCTGAAGATTATTGGACTGCTCTAAAATAGGAAATTCTGCGTAAAGAAGTGTACTACTATCTTTATCAGAGTTGAACCGGTCAAAGTAGATAAGGGGAGATAGATATATCTTCAGGATGTGTTCTGGCATAGAGAGAAGACCATGATTTTTATCAGAATTTTAGTACAGACAATTATTTATAGCTAGATATATTTTAATGGTTATATTAATTAAAATATTGAATAGTATGTTATTTAAATAATTTATTAATAAAACATTATAACAGTATAATTTCTGGACGGATTACAGGAATGATAATTTACCAGTGCTTTGGAGCAAGATTTTTCATAGCTAATAAATCAGAAATTTAGATTCGAGTTTTAGCTATAATTACCCAAGAGGGAAACCAATCTTATGGTTTTATATAAGCGTTAGAACTATATATATATTTTTGTAGCAAAATTAGTAATTGTATAAGTTTATAACAATTATTTTACAATAATAAAACAAAATTAATAACGTAAGAAAAATGATTACTAAAAAAAATAGAATTATCTTCAAGTTGATGTTTTTTCCTCCGTTCAGATTCTCCGACAATTGAAATTAGAAGACTCATTATTCTTTTTATTTCTGTCGCTTGCTCATTTATCAGCAGCCAGATATGAAATAAATATCCCTTCCTTACATTTTCAATGTTAGACCTTTTGTGGAATTATTTTTATTTTAACTATATTCTGAAAGAGAAATAAAAAATATGTTAACAAATGTTTAATGTTTTTTTAAAATAAATCTTTATATTAATTCGTAGTACCTTACATGAATGTCTGATCGTGCTGTTCATGAACCATCGTGGATCTTCGGGATTGTACCATTCCTTGCCTGTTATATAATTCTCGCACCAAACTATCTTTTTCCTGTTCCAACAAAGCTATTCGTTGACTTTTCTTGCTGACTTCCTGCAAGAGAATTTGTCACATGTAGAGCATTTTAGAAGTATCTTTGCATTTCCTTTGAATTTAACTGTAATACAATGCTAACTTCTGTTAATCTATGATTTTGTTGTTTGAGACGAGATAACATATCTTGATGTAACTGAGCTGATGTCGGGGTACTGAGAACGGCAAGGTTCATATGAAGTGGAAGTCCACCACGTTCCCAACTGCTTATCAAGGCTGCAAGATGTCGATTCACTTCAAGAACCCGAGCCCGTTGTAATTCGAGTCGCTCTTGTTGTGCTTCGGTCCATTGTTCCTGTTATTAATTATCAATAAGTATACCATTATGAAAAGTTTTATCTAAGAAATATTTTCTTTGTACCACATGGGAACCCATTCTTCCTAGATGCTTTATTTTTTCCTGAGCTGAAGAGATTTGTTTAAGGTACCATTCTCGGGCTTTATCAACTGCAGCCAATCCTTGTAGCAGAACATCTTTCTCTTGTTCAATTTGCTTCATTCTTTTCATCTACAATATTTATTTTATTAATTTAACGTCGGGTTAATATTAATGAAGTAAAGTTTGGTTCCCAACTACCCTATATTATATTAAAATCATCATACTGTGAATCTATTTCTTGCGTGAAAATTTTTAGTCGGGAACCCTAGACGAGAACATCCTTTACCATATTGTAATCAATACCGTTCTGCAACGTGTGTCTTCTTGGTTCTCTACGACGTCCTAGTAATTTCTTTTGTTGTAAGCCAAGCTGGTTGTTCTGTGTATCGACAGCTTTACCATCACCTAAAGCTCGTGCTGGTCTTAATAGAGTTTGAGAGTCAGTGCGATAATTTGCAGAAACTAATTGACGTTTATCTATACATTTGTCATCTCCCATCATTAAACCCATTTGCCAATTTTGGAGCACGGTGCGAATCTCAGATTTATCAAAGCTTCTATCAGAACTCAAAGCTCTCCCTTCTATAGCAGCACCAATCCTGGGTGGTTTTGGAGGCCCATAAGCTTTCATTAACTTTGGCTCTGAACAATTTCGTCCATCTACTGGCTCCAACTGCATACCATTTTCCTTACGTCCACTTAACAGCTGTGGCATACTCAAAGTACGCTGTTGTGATATGGCATTGTTAGGCCTTATTGTGGCTGTATTTGGAGAAGTCCAGGCAGTTTTATTTTGATTGTCAGCAATTAAAATTGGCGCAGAAGGTGGTCTATTAGGCTGACCTTCCTGCTTTTTAACATCACCATCAGATTTAATTTGGAATAAACTAATCTTTAAACCGGCACAAAACCGCTCAAAGGAGAGTAACCCATTCGGTGGTGTGACTTTCTTGAGACTCTCCAGGACTCCCTTTGGTAACCCTTGTGTACCATCATCTTGCCAACGTCCCTCAATATCAGAGTATTTGACAAAACCTGTGCCCTGGTCGTCCATTATATCAAAGAGCGTTCTCATGGCAGCAACAAAGTGTTTTGGCAGTCCATCAAGATTTGACGTTTGTATCTGAGCCATGCTTCCGTTTTGTTACTACAAATACAAAAATATGAGCGTATAAGTACCAGATATTCTGCAATTCGTGTAATATACTTTATTCGTTCTCCAGATGCAAAATGTAATTCATGGTTTCTTGTAATGGAAAATAAATTTTTTTAAAACGAACATTATACCCCACTGCAACACCGTCCAACGCAACTACTTAATTTATTTTTACTTTCCACCTGGATAATACAAAACAGTAGAGCGTATACTCACTGACCGATTTTAGAAAGTTCATTGGCAAGGTGGTAGATGTTGATTTCATTTCGTTCCACTAGATGGCTCAAAATCCTTAAAAGTGTATCGACCTTCGATCACAGCAGATCGCAGTTGATATATATATATACGTTTCTATCCTTTCCATACTAATAATTACACAGGAGGGAATATTGAATGTCGAATTCCATTAGACACAGAATCTATATTTTGTATACTACATTCAATTTACACATTGCTTAAAGTTTACTGATTCAATTAGTACTTCATGACCAGCGAATAATAGAGTTAAGTATACACGTACACTTTCGATCACAATACTTAGAATTGATGGATAATCAATACCTTTGGAATCTATCCAACATTTAACATTAACTTAACGCTGCCTAGTAAGTACATTAAGATCAGGACGAAACTGATCCTCATTCTCTCGATTATTTTCCATATTTCTCTGAGGTCCTTCAACGTTAGGACTCTTATCATTGTCATCGCTCTCCGAAGATGATAGATCTTGAGGTAAATCAATCCCCTGAGTCAGCAGACTGGTTATCCTCTCAACATCCACTGTATCATCCTGTTCATAAATCTTTTTCAGAGCATTGGAGACTATGCAAAGGTCACCACGTAGTTCGCTCACCAGGGCGGTAATTTTCTGAGCATCCGTAAGGACTTCAACAGATTGTGTGTAAGGATTATAACGCAGACCAAAAGGACGTTGAATTTGATTAGCAAAGGCTCTGAAAAAGAAATCATCAAAACATCAATCAATCAGGTAATAAATTCATTATAATCATCTATGTACATATAACATATACGAAATACTAATATATTACGTTGAAAAGTGAATTATTCGTGACTAGGAAATAATTACTATAATTATCTTAGCAACATCATTCACGGTAAAAGCCTCCATCTTGGAACGGTTTTGCTTTACTGATTATAAATACCAGTACTGGCTCTGACGGTCATTACTACTTCAATATATTAACCCAGACCTTCGGGTATGGATGAATTATCTTCGGTAAGGTAGATGCAATGAATTATAATACACTCTTGCACCGGTAGCAGCATATGTAATGTAATGAATTTAGAACTAGCCCAAGTCATTGAATTTTCTACCAGGGATTATCGATCAATATGAAAGTGTCTACAAGGGCGCGTAAATGCCGTAATTCACTGTTCTTCAGTATTACCGCATTTTCTCCTTTGCTTCTTCAATGCTGTCTGTATAATAGTATGCATTTTGGAATGACGTAATAATGCACTCTTGCTTGCAGGTAACATCAGGCTCGAATCGGAATGTTTTCTCCGGTGTGGAAACTGCGTGTCTTAATTCGGCTACTGATGAAAGAAGACCAGCGCCATATACACGGAGTATACCGTCTTGTTTGCAGAGTCCAAATTCAACAGTGAAGAAATATAACTGGAATAGTCAACACATTGATTATAGTAAATAAATCGATTTTAATGAATGAATTATAATCAGTATAGGAAATTTGTTTATTCTTAGAGAGGGCTTGAGGTCTATATATATAATAGCTGTGGGAGTGTCTCTTGTACTATGTAATATGTTATTAAGCGTTATCTAACAGTTTATAACGATTGCAATCGATTATGCTCTTGATAATTGTGCAATATCACGAGCACGTTTGTCATTTGTAATAGCGATCATTAATCATTGTTATTCATTGGTTTAATTATTGTTGAGATTTCAATTATAATTCTTAGCTGATTCATTGAAGGCTATATGGGGCTTATTAATATGTGGAAAATATTTAATGTAAAATTTACAAACTCACTGTAGCCAGTTTATCTATGTCCTCGTCCGAGGCGCCAAGAGAAGCCAGACCTAATTCTTGGGAAAATTGTGCGAAACTTGGATTCGCCAATAACGGCATATGGCCTAGGAGTTCATGGCAACAGTCACTAGGAGTAGAAAAACCCAGATGCTTCAATAACATAGATTAAAGAGAAATATTAAGAATCGAAGAAAAATCATATTGAAACTTACGGCTCAGGCGTGTAAAAGGGATCGGAGGAGTGTCTAATATATTGCGTGCAATGAAATACGCGAAAAGCCAGACCCGCTAAAAAATCTCTTGGCGATAGATATCCGGCAACTGGTCGTAACTGAAATCCAGTCATGCCTTTAAAAAAAAAATTCAATTAGCTATCGGATTATCTAATATAAAGAAGCATATCCGTTATTACTTACGTTTTAAGAAGACACTCACGTCTTGCAATTGCGGTATATTATCCTCTCTATAATATATTAAAAATATGTAGATTAATATTTAATTATTTATTATCAAACAATCATTAAGTATATTTCTTACCGGTAGCCGCAATATTTTACCAACTTAGGCCAATTGTCAAGATACTCGTTGCATGCGTGCTTCAGATACAGTTGATGTAGCTCACGGAAAACAACACCCCTGTAGAATTTATGATGATTAATTGGTAACAGTCGGAAAACAACTAACTAGATGAATTGTCAAAGTTCAATTATCCAATTATCCTTCCTTTTGTAGTACACAGAGATAACTGTTAAAAATTTCTACAAGTTTCTGCTCTGCTTTCTTGTAGGATAAGAAAATGGCATAGGAACTGAAATGACTTTGTAACAATTTTTTTTAGCAGGGATACAAACAAGTACGTTTATTCGAAGTTTCAAGAGTCTTTGATTTCAGATTAAACTCAGGATGCTGTATATCCGTCGCTTCTTGATTGAGAGAACGAATCGAATCAGGGCAATTAGATGGCATTCAATTCAACTCCCTTCAATTCTATCGCACCTAGAAGTCTCGCCTTAGGTAAACGGAGTTGAAATTGATGTGAGAATCTAGCTTGAACTTCCACGAAAACGAGACATGGTAGTTACGGAGGATTGAAAAAAAGAAAAAGAGAAGATATCCATGCGATTTCTTGATTGGTGTCGTTGCGCAGAAAACACGCTTCAAACTTCGCCAAAGGAGTAAAGTCTTGAAGAAATAGCGATATAATAAATCCAAAAAAATTATAAAAAAAATTCTGCTTGTAGTTGTTAAAAATAATTATATACAGATATATTTTTTTTCAGTTCACTCACCACGTCTTGATCTCCACCTGAGTATATTGAATTCTAGGAATAGGCTGTCCGCTGAAAGATTTATTACATTAATATATCTGCATACCGAACTCCTATATTATTATCTTTGTGATAAAGATAAATTGACAAAATTTTATTGCGCGGCTAAGATTTATGATTCAATGGACTTACTGTCTATAATTATTAGCAATGTCAGCGAACTGCTCACGTCGCTTACGGTATATGGGGTCCTTGAAACCCTGAAACGCAGTAGATCAAGCAAACAATAAAAGGAAATAAAATAGACCAGAGAAAAATCACATTCGCCAATTTCATTATAGCATAGTCTGATTCTATTGGTACTTGAGCAATTCACGGAAGCGATTCCGTTAACGGTATTTAAAAACATATGGTCAAAAGATGCCAACGATTTTTTAATATTTTAAAAGTTTATAATAGTCTGTGAAATAATAATTAAATGTTTATTAAATTTCAGGTTGAAAAACTCACTGGATGATCAGCATCCAATTCGAGCCCATACATGAGAACTTTCTGGGCCTGATCCAGATCAGCTATTTTCCTTGGGAACCAGGGCATGTTCACCTCACTGAAGTCTGCCGTAAATATTTATTTATTTAGTTTAACAATAAATTTACGTGTCCTTTAAAGAATTCATTTTTCTTCACTTCAAGGAAATATTCTCACCGAAACTTTGTGCTGCTGATAACGTCGGTGCATGGGGTACATTTCCGGTTTGTTCGTACTGGGCTAAATTAATGGCTGCCACTTCACGACTCAACATCCTCATCAACTGTTCCATCCTTTTGGAGTCACACTCTACGTCAACTAATATCTCGTACTCGGAACCGCGTCGCAATGATTTTCGTGATTCTATATGGACGACATTAACGCCCAAATCCTTTGGATAAAATCGATGTGAAATTAAATTAAGGGGATACAAATAGAACAACGTCGGTGTAATATAAAACTGCGTAGATATACAATTTAATATAGTACTATAAAGAACTGTAATATCTAGTATTGTTCTTAGTACTGGCTAACGCCACATGGTAATCTTAAATCATGATAAATGATCTTTATGCGTTTCTTATGAAATTCGTTAACTTTCATATAATTGTATTGACTTGGGAATTGAATAACGAGGGTCATGGTTTCATAATTCCAACGGTAAAAGGCGATTGGTAATGATTGTAGCCATATCGTAGTCCACTCACGAATATCTAGTAAAATTTAATCATATACAATCATAACTCTTACATAGTTGCGTTACCTCAAGGGCAACTGGTCCAGAGTGACAATTCTCGTAACGATACAAATTATGCTTAAGGCGTGTCAATAACTTTAGTATCAATTATAATAACGAATAACAGATGTCACGAAGCATTGATACATATAAAGTGCGCACAATTTTATTTTTTGTTAAAAAACCGAAAATTCATTCGACAGTAGAAAAAGAAATTGTGATAGCACCAGATCTCTCGAATAATTTGTGATATATTAAGAAAAGAGTGATGGTCATAAATTGATGGCTATTTTGAGAATCACAAATGAGTACGTTAATTTTGTAATATGCTCGGTTCCGTTACGTCACTCCTTATGTCACACGGGCACGCGTTGAGGTTGATGTTCAGGTAAGAACTGGCAAGGTAAAACAAGTCTCCAGGCGTAAGTCCATGGAGGCTCGTCAGCCATACCTCCACAATTTGCACTAGGTGGGGGATTAACGTATCCTAGCTCTATGCTATGATCCAATCTCAATACATATGTATACGCCTATATTACTTGAGATATAGGTCGCAATTTCTTTTTTCAATTTGATAATAATGATCTTATGCAATGCCAGATAGTGAAGAAATACCTGAAAAACCTGAAGAGCACGGGCCAAACCTCCTACTTGATTCTTCAAGGAAAATACCACGGAATTCTTATTATCACCGTTATCATTATTGTCACCAGCTTCCTTCTCCACTAGCGGAATCTGAGGATCATCAGATGATGTCTTCGCAATGGACCATAATGATCATCCTCGGTCAACGATCATTGTAATGAGTAACTTACGTCTCTTGCTTTATGAATTGGACTTCCTTCTTTTATCGCCCATTCTTTGCCTCTTCTGTACAGCCACATACCCAGGAGTCCTTTTCCTGATCCGCTCATGATGACCACTTGCTGAGGGGTCTAGGAATGTATGACGACGATGCTGACGATGTTGGAGATAATATGGACCGATGATGATATTGGGCTGATTGACTCTGGAGAACTTGCCGATTTCACGTTTTTCAATTTGGAACTGATGGTCTTACGCGATCTCTACCTCCTCTACGAGGGCTGCTACTGACAGTGTCCGTTTCTCGAGGGTTCCTGGTGCTCTTAAGCCTTCAACCCCTCCGCCAGATTGGTTCTTCAGTGACAATCTCATCGCGATTGGTCCGTTGCTCAAGAGAACCGTCTCCTCATTGGCGAGAAACCCTTTTCATGGGGGTTGCCATCCGGAGTCTCCAGTTTTCCGTAACGGTGCTACTAAACATTCTGTGACGTCACTGGGAACCCTTGCGTAGGTGCAAGAACTGATAACGAATGGAGGCATTCGAAAAGTGCAAACAGGACCCTTAGAGTATTGGATTTAACAAAATCAAGGTTACCTACAATACAAAACCAGGTCACCCAGTTAAGTATCCTAGATTTAATTAGACAAATTTTAAAACCAACGATATGAATCATTCTACAGGATACTGATTTATTTTTGTATACATTTTTAGAAAATCTTTACGAGTTTGGATTTCTCGCAGGAAGCTATAAAGTTATTGGGTCATGCAAATGAGTGATAACTTCAATGTCATACAAACAGGATTCCTGGAGTTTCATTCAAGAGCAACCATTATTGAACGTAACGCATCGTTAAGCTTTTCAAAAACACAGAAGCTCTGCTATTGGATAGAGAATCTTGTAAAGCCACTACAAGACTTTCGTTTCCACTAAAATCACTTTGTAATTAATTATACAGATTAATTGTTCTTCTGAAACGACTTGGTGACGGTTTTAAATCTACTACCGTTTACGTCGCATGGATTTTTCTTTTAAAAGAAATGGATACCTCTTCTACTTGCAATAGTCATGGATAACAAGGAAACCTCTCACAGAACAAAGACAATGTTTAATAAAAGCTCGAACGCCCCGAGCTTTCCACTTCTTGGCAAAGTAGATGCAGCACATTACCAGACCCCATCACTTACCACTATCAGCTATCACCTTGGGGCTACCCTAGGTGAATTATACTGGGTATTCTTTTGGCATTAAACGAATGAACTGGATCGAATTTTGGTAAGAAATCCACAGTGGGTTTTAACTAAAGGGGCCTTAAAAATATTCTGCAGACAGATGTAGAATAGTCAAAGAATTGAAAACCGAAATTATGTTTAAAAAATCGTGTTTTCTCAAGTAAAAATATTCTTAGATATTTTTCTATTTTCTAGTATATTCTTTGATCCTCCTTCATCATCGTCGAAACTGTTATAGGTACTGTCTTCTTTGATTGCTGAGTCTACTATGACGTCACTCTGTACGGCTTAGCTGTATCTTGGCGAATGTCTGTTTCACCTGTTTTCAATCACTTACTACCCGCATTGGGTTCTAGCAAAGCTCATTCACCAGAAAGTCGTGTGGGGATGAGATATCAGTCCCTCTTACAATGCGTTTTAGTTGTTTCAGATGCCCAAGGGATACTTCTAATGTCTGGGATCCTACTGCGATGTTATAATCGTCATGGAAGAGACAAATGAATGGGATTTTGTTATGAGAAGGAAAAAAATGTATAGCTACTCGATAAACACTGTATTGATGCAACGTCCATGTTAATTGTAATTTTCCACTCAGACACATAACGGCAATGTAACAGCGCTGTGATATTGACGTCATTAAGATGAATGGGAAATTATAAATAACAGGCATGTTACGTATAATCTTGTGTTTGTTGGGTATAGACTGTATTGCAAGATTAAAAATCAAATTTTTATATATTGGGCTCGAGCAATACTTATTTTCCTTCATTGGTTACTACCTGAAATGGAAGTTAAAGGTAGAAATGAATCTAAAATGAACTATTTTACATATCCTAGATAAATTTTCAGAAGCATTTAAAGTGATACTTGAAATAATTTCAGTGTCTTCGAGGAGGATGAAGTCTTCAGGATGAAGACTCAACGAAGAGAGCCGACTAGGTACAAGATGATGGGTATTCAGTGTCGGTAAACACGAAGATCCTCTCAGAGCGGGTTCTCAGCACGAATGAAGGGTTGCTGGTTGAAAGATGCCGAGTGACTGAGAGGTATCTTTTACATACTTTTTGACTGAGTCAAAGAAAGATGCGCGATACCTCATTTTTAGAATTCATTCTGTTCTTTAAATAAGTTGTTACCTACTCGACCAAGTTGTTACCCAATTAAGTACACAAGCCGGTGGTCTTACAGGATTTGGTCAATTGGAAGAAGGACTTAAATAGCTTTTGAATTTATGTACTATAGAAATTTGTTGGATCTGTATATAGATATTCAGTGTATGATATATATATTCATATTTCTAGACAACGTTAAATGTAAGGCAAGAGTCATTATATAAGAAAAGTATAAAAAATCCATAAATAATGTTACATAATTAGAGTTTTTGATGTTTCTTAAAAAATGTTTCAATCTAATTCGCTTGGATGACTACAACTTTTTCTATTGACAGTAAAAAGTCTTGCACTAAGTTGTACGTCAGCCTCTTCCTGTTCCCACGAAGGTCAACTTGTACATTCTAGTGTATAATTTATCCTGTTCTACTTGACTCTATTTGATTTTCAGAAAATTTTCAAAATCCTGATAAACATAAAAAAGAGCCTCGAGTTGAAACTCCCAATTAACATTACCATGAATTTCTCTCATGATTCATCATGTATGTACGAAATAATATTTCGCGAAAAAAGGTATATATAAATAGTCAATAAAACATTACACCAATGTGAACATGGGCAGACAGTCATGACTGAACTTGTAAAAAATTCAATTGGTACTCTTTCCTTTAGAGGTATAAACGTTCTTCCTGGCTCTGAGCGACTCCTCTCGGGGGATGACAAGAAAGACGTGTATGAGGGTGGTGCGCGCGACGGCTTCCTACGCAGGAATCAATAGCGTCCCGACGCTAGCGCCTTCAGGCCCGGTTATAGAAAGTGCCTCCGCCGTCGGCCGCCTCCAGGTCCGAGCCAGTAAGAATGGCTGACACAGAGTTTGAAGAATTTCGACATTTCTTTGAGCGATTGCCACAGCATCTAAAGGCACCAATTTCTAATTACACGTAAGTCATCATCATTTGGATATCACTCAATTGCTTTTGTCCTATAAATATTGGTTTGGAGACTGCATTTATTCAATTGAGTGCACGGTGCAACATGAATCGTAAACGAGCTTTGCACCGGTGAATGTCAATACCTTTATGATAATTGCAAAATGACATTCTACTACTGACGAAATTTTAACTTAAGATCTCAACGAGCAATTCTTAATATTTTTTATTAACTCATAAAAGCATAAAAGATGATATATATTACAAATTATAATGTTTCAAGTATTAATTGTCTTTTTATAAATTCTGCTCATTAATTATAGAACATAAAACCTCGTGTAATATCATATTGTTCATTAAAATGACGTCAATGCAAAATCGTAACTTGTTCATGTAGTCTGGTGCATTCGTACTACCCTGTCTATATATCTTCTATATAGTGTTCCATTGTCCCACTGACATTAAATGTCAAAAAGTATAGTTGTCCTAAACAGTGACATTTGTCTGGCAATTATGAATGGACCAATCCAGAGGGTACTGATCAGCGACGCAACACAAAATCAATACCCTCACATCTTCTACATCGCGTTATTTTCAAACTACTTGTTACCGCAGACTATCGCATTGATTTCTTTTCCGTAGAAATAAAGGAAAACGTTGAGAAATAATTACGGAGTGACCTTGTCCCCAATCAGCGGATGCACACCTGTAAAATTTGAATTGTCTTGCGAATCCCTAACAATTCTTCCAATTCACATTGGCACTTCTGCATTATCTGCTCATTGAATTCGCAATCATATTTATACAAGTATTATTGATCGCAATTATATTGGAGGAAAAAAACCACCTACAATTTAATTAGCTGTTCCTATTATAGGATAAAGGTTAAGGAATTAGTCAACATGTCAACGTGCGGTCGCAGTAAATATTGTCACTTGCCAGTCTGGCTTCGTTGTTCGCCATCAAACTGACTTTTGAAACTTTACGCGTAATCCACTTTACAGGATACTACTATAATCTATCTTAATACTTGAAACTTAATCTTATAAGTACAAAATTTTCGTTTGATTGTAAACTGTGAAAACTTATTAAATCTATTAGCTAAATACGATTTTTATAGGCTGAATGAGAATTTGTGCCTTTTGTCTTGAAGTAGCTTTGGATGGAGGGTGTTGCCAGACTCTCTTTACAACTTGCTTCGAGTATCCCACAAGAGTCTTTTGATCTAATATTCTTCTGAAGGGAGCAGCTACTTCAGTAATGATCTCACAAACGTGTTTATCAATATTGATATTTGAGTGGTTTCATGTTCTATCTAATCAATATGATTTTGTTCATCACATCTAATTTTAATTATAAAACTTCAAGTGGTATCATTTAAGATATTTTTACTGACACTGTCTATGAACATATTAATCTAATATGTTAGATATTTTAATAGAATTTGCTAATCTTCCTAGACTCGTGCACGATGTTATGGTGGATGATTCTCCGACGTCCTCGGAAGAGAGTACCGGGGACGTCGCCAGGGCTTGTAGAGGAGCTGCCAGAGATTCCGAGGATGAGGATGTACTGGTGTTACATGGAGCTGGGGCGCAGAGTGGTTACAGTTCAGCTGATGATAAGGAAGATGTCGAGCCTTATTGTTCCATCGTGGCTGACAGTGACTTCAGGTAAACTGTGGATTATAGTGCAGTTAGAAGATTAAACTATGATAATCTTTATAATAGGGATTCACGATTTTATTTATTTAATTCCAATGAAATACGTTTTGTAATATTCATACCTTAATGCCATACTGATTCTTTGAACGTGATCAATCGTCTGGCATAGACGTCTAGAAAGAAAATAAAAAAAATGAATAATGACGCATAATTAGATTAGAGGGTAATAACAATATTCTAGTTAGATATGATCAACACGTTAAGCGCCATGTCAGTCACCGGTGACTGACATTATACTTTTCGTTCGGACCGCGTCAGTAATCGGTGACTGACAGTTCACCGGCATATCGGTGAAAACGGATATTGTGGGCTAAACGGAAAGAAAGACAAAACAGATTTGGCGCTTAACATGTTAAGTAGCATGACAGTAGTGTAGCTGACCATGCACCCACCTTCAATGAAATTAGCTTGTTCGGTGGACTGAGCAGCAGGGGCCGATCTGGAGGCGGTGGCCCAGTATCCGGTGGCGGCAGTAGTGCAACCGGGCTCGGAAATGGAGGCAGAGATAGCGTCGTCAGCGATGTGGGGGATTCCTGCTCGAGTCTAAGTTCCTGGGCGACACCAGAACACGTTCCTGCAAATCGTCCAGGAAGTGGAGGTAACGAGCGACGTCGTAGAAGATTACCGGAAATTCCAAAGAGCAAGAAATGTAAGTATATATTTTTCGAATGATAAATATAAATAAACCAATGTTTTTTTGCATCTGGAAATCGCTATTCTTGTCACGACCTTTTATACATTTTTTAATGTACGTCACTATCGACAAAAATTCGATATCGTGTTACCCGAGAAGCCATATCGGATATACTTTTACCTGACTGTTACGAAACTCCGGAAGTCCGTTGGCAGACCTCCAGAAACTGAAACGACCTCTTCTTTTGAAGTAACTGGTCATATTGGCCAATCGCCAGTGTCAATAGCCATTACGTTACAACAAAAAGTTTTTGTTTAATCTTTCACTGGAAAATTTTATTTCATACTTTATTATTTGTCTGCTCAAACGAAATTGTACACAACGACGTATTTTTATTGAATATATTCTATTCCCCTTGCCTGGGATATCAAAGAACCAACCACAGAGGTTGTATACCACAAAGAAAATACATATACCGCAATCTAGTTATCCCAGGTGGATTTCTTTTGCCAGTCACAATTTTCCGTAGCGTAGCAGTACACACACATTGAGCAGTACCAAGAATAATGTTTAACACTAAGTTCGTTTTGAAAATTCTCTGTATCTTTCCATTTACTTAACAGCATTGCCCATGAACCAAATGTCTCTGCACTCTTCGTCGTCGTTAGCTGATGAACTCGGCGCTGCTGGTTCGGCGTCAGGACGACCTCATCTGGTCCTCCGGAAATGTTATCCAAGACTTCGACACGAAGACAGCTCACCAGATAGCGAAAGAATTGCTACGGATAGTGGTCACTCTACTGCTCATTCTCCAGACAACAATCTTAAAAGTGTCTCACCTATACCCTGTAATACTCTTCAAAATATGGACTCTTCATCATCTAGCAGTACACCAGGTGATTAAAAAAGTGGAGCTATAAATCGATAAAAATATTTAATTATTGTATCAATTATATAAAAGGAAGTGGAGGCGTACCCTTTACGCAATTGGAATTACTGGAGGCGACTCATAGAGGTTTGCATAAGTTTGTACCACGACACCTGGACGAGATTGACCTGGAGATCGGTGATCCTATCTACGTGCAGAAGGAAGCTGATGATCTGTGGTGCGAAGGTTTGTATTTAGAATAAAATTTTAGAACCATTAAAAAAAATTAGGATAAAATTATTTCTTAATTCTTCACCTTAAACAAGGTGTGAATCTTCGAACGGGACGTCAAGGTATCTTCCCGTCGGCATATGCAGTGGACATGGACTACAGTGATTTTGATCCATCCGCACCAAAGGTCAAGAGAGAACGATACCTTCTGGGGTATCTAGGCTCTGTAGAAACTCTAGCTCACAAAGGTACTGGAGTTGTCTGTCAAGCTGTACGTAGAATCGTAGGTAATGCATCCCAGGAGTCACCAACTTCTCAAAGTTGTATCCTCGAAGTGTCAGATCAAGGTCTTCGGATGGTTGACCGTAGTAAGCCGCAGGTAAGAGAAATAAACCGAACTATTACTCAAGTATTCAGTTTTCATTATAAAAACTTTTAATCAAATTTTGTATATTACAGAAAAATCAAGGTCCTTGTCACGATTATTTCTATTCCCTAAAAAACGTATCTTTCTGCGCGTTTCATCCACGTGACCATCGCTACCTCGGCTTCATCACGAAGCACCCCACCCTGCAGAGGTTCGCCTGCCATGTGTTCATCGGCCAGGAGTCGACGAGGCCAGTCGCTGAAGCCGTTGGGTAATTTTCATATCTATAATTAGAGAATTTATATTGTAATTAATTAGTATTTATATTTGTCAGATTTGCTTGACGTAATCCTGAGTTTCTTCGTCAAGTCAGTATTATCTTCTGTTGCAGGCGAGCCTTCCACCGATTCTACACCAAATTCATTGAGACTGCTTTCCCAATAGAGGACATCTACATTGAATAATTTTCAGCTGTCGTAATGGCCGGGAATACAAATTCTCACCTTCCCATTGTATATATTCCCTTAGCTGGTAGTTAATAAACGCGAATCAAACACCCAATACCAAGTAACTTCAGGAAATGTCACGGCCGATATTGAAAGTTTTATTTTATTCATTTAAACTGATAAACGGGAGTGGATATAAGGAATAATTTTTATCAATAGAATTTTCCAATGAATCGAATCTGTGTAATTCTTCAGGCATATCATTTTATTCGATATAATGTTTATGTCACTTTGTGGACAGTTATGGAAAATTATATTAGAATTGTTAATAACTTTGTTATTGTGTAAATCACGTATACGATACGTCTTTGCGAAGAGTTATAAACTCAGTTGTAACTTAGATTTTTATAATTATTTAAAATAGAGATTGCAAATCATTTTTTACAAGGATCATAATTGAATTATGCAAACGCACAATGGCCTACCGTAATCAACCATTCTCATAATACAGATATCAAGGAGTGATCAGGTTTTATTTAATTAGCATTTTATTATGATCATAATTAAAATTGTATGTCACTACCTTTACACAGCTATTTCTATATTCATGTCTAATGCTTTTCTTTCATTTTTCTGCTATATCTCCCAAACTTCACAGTGCCTTTGATTATTCGAAAATCGTGTCGGAACACCGTGCCTTTTTTAAATTCATTATTATTAATTTTATTTTCTTAATTAATACATTATTGAAAACAATTCAGTCACGTATGTCCATTTAATTTTCACGTTCAAGTTATTTATATTTTCTGCATAAGTATCTTTTTTAATGTCAATAGTCGACGAATAGAAAACATATTTTTCAACAGAAAAATTGCTATAAAGGATCGTTCGGTAATATTTCCAAAGAAATAAAACTGTTAAGCAACCGGAAGGATATGCCAAAAGCAATATTCAGGAATAATTTAATCAAGCTTGAAATAAGAATTAATTATCTGTAAGAATATAAAAATGTTGCTGTCTTGATATTTCTTGTGACGATGTTCCATTGGGCATTTGATTCAGCAAGATAAAAAGAAGTAAAAGATAAATATGAAATACGGACCACAGTAAAAATGTATTCCTTAAACAATGAACCCCGGATATAGACGAGTAAATGAGTAGCGATATAAATACTAAAAAAGATTCATTGATTTTTCGAAAGCTTTAAAAAGCGATCGAATGAACCTAGCTCATTAAAAAAAAGCACATAGAAAATGGTGGCTGCCGTATTTCGAAATTCTTCATTATTATCAGAACGTATTGAGTCTTACATATACCTCAAGAGAATAGTTTTTATTCCTCCAAAGTCGCAGTGAAATTATAAATACTCAATTTTTGTTAATTTTATTCGTTAGAACTGTACAAAACTGTGTATTGAATTCTACAGGCAATTTTCTGAATAACAAATAACGTTTCATACGCCTTTTCTCCTTATCTTAGAGCTAGAAGCGGAATCATTTAAAGACATAATTGCTAGTAGTACAGATCCAAAAGAAATTTTCTTGGATACAGCGGATCCGCGATTAATGAAACTATACAAAAAAGAACAAATTATAATTATAAACAGTAATGGAAATAACTTGAATAGATCCTTGAAAATGAATGAATAATCATCGAGTGATGGTACCACGTATTATAAGATGATGAATTTCTTTTTAATTAAAAATCCGTGGTTCAAATTAATACGTAATCTGTGGAGAAACGTGTCAAGGCTACATTCAAAATTGAAATGATTCGCTATAAAATACAAAAAAATCGATATACACGATATAATAAATTTGAGTAGTTGCTAGTAACAAATGAATTGTAGGACGAATGACAAAGATGAAATAATACAAGGGCATAAGTTTATAATTATATCAAATAGTTTGATAAGTCTTATGTTTATTTTTTTACGCGGGTCATAATCCCCCTGTATGATATATTATATTGATGGGTACCAAAAGAAATTATAGGTCTGTATTTATAGTCAGTGTTTGAGATGAAGCACAGTCTTAGGACCATAGTTATAGTAATAATAACACAATGGTAGGGGATGCCTTAAGATCGTGCTTAAAATGAATAACTAACTATGAATATGGGCCATAGTCTTAGAATTCGCTATATCGAGATCCTACAATTTTCACTCACAACACATGTAGCGACTGTTGTAATCAAATCCTGTAATCCTGTACTTATATGATAATGGCTTTACGGTTTAATCTATGGCTCTATTGGGCAATAAATAACATACGATTTGAGTCGCGTTCACTCGCGTCTTCTGTTTACAACGTTCTGTTAATATTGTTGTACTTTATTTGTGTTCAAATTATATTTTACTCAATTGAATATTTTCTGTAATAATGGGTAATTAGATAATTAAAATACTTTTTCAAGCAATTTTTGTTAAACTGAACTGTGGGTGAGGTTAATAATAATAATGTTGCATGTTTGAACTTTATCATTAGAAAAATTTGTCAAGTAGGATATTACGTAAGCATCAATTGGTAGTGCTGGGATTGCAAAAAGTAATGATTACAAGAAGAAGAAATGGGTATGTTCAGCAGAAACACCACTGAGGGAACAAGTACATTTGATTGGTCATTTGATCGTTAATCTTGAAACAGTTGTGAGATTTGACCAATCAAATGTATTTGCTCTCTCAGCGGTGTTTCTGCTGAACATACCCAATGTTACTTAGTGATTTGCTGAAAAATAACATATCCTTTCCTTTGTTTTAAAATAGTTTAATTTATTTGTAGGAATATATTATGAATTTGCTATACAAATATAAAGTACTAGTGAGATATCATTGCCTACCATATTTATGTAATCCATCACGTACGCAAGCATGGTTTACACCATTCCTTACTAGTATAGATAAAACTCCTACTTTTGTTAAATCGCGTATATTGCGGTCTTCATCGTCAAAGAATATCATATCCTTATAGTCCATGCCAGAATCCTTTTTTATTCTGAAATAGAAAGCAAATCTATTATTTCTGATTTTTAGTAAAGAAATGATACTGGATATTTATACAGTTGATAAAGGAAAAACAATGCCTACTTCGAAAAATGTGTCACCTTACAGCCTGGATATATTTCTTTATACTTAAAATATTTATCCCAGCCAAATAAGTTTAACAATTGATAGGCACCACGAATTTCTGATGTACGAGATGCTACACCCAATTCATATCCCTCGGTGTATAGTTCTTTCAGAACTTGAGGTACTTCTTTATAATATTTAATTACTTGTCCATGTGCATCAACTACTTCACTGCCTTTACTGAAATTACGAAAATAGTCTGAATCATAAATTCTTCAATTATCAATAATACATATATAAAAACTACTTCACCCTTTTCTGAAAGGCGGCGTTACATGCGTATCAACCCAGAATGGCCATAATGTATAATCTAGAAGAAAAAACTTATGTCATTAAAAGGTTCATTAATTTAATTAAATGAACTATTCATATAAAATATTTTCCTTAAAAGACAGGTTAACTTTAATCATGTCTAACCTAAATCAAAAACGATAATTCTCGGCTTTCCGTTACCCGACATTTTGCTCAATGTTACGTGAATATTGATTAACACAGTCGTAATTATGTAACTTTTTCCATAATAATTATTACAATCGTATACACATGTGATTATTACTTTAAAATTCTATAGGTCGACTGACATCTTTGAAAAAAAACGCGTAAATAAAAATTCAATATCATCCACATGAAGCCTTCATGTGTTACCGCAGCGAGGCGATTCTTTAATCCTTAAAACTGACTTGTAAATGCAGCTAAAGGAGTCAGTTAATGAAGATACACCTTAAATTCTGATTGTATGTAGGATACCGTAAAAATTTATTCTTTTCTGACGCATATTCGGAATCCGATCGAGGAAAGTGCTGTGGTTCGTTGTTAGGAAGTGGCGTGATGTGATAAAACAGTTATGGTTGTATATGGTTATGTCATGTTGGACAATAAGAATTATTCTGAAACCATACCATAGCCCAATTTAATTGTAAATAGTAAAGAAAGAAAAGGGCACGATGGACGACGCCAGAATTCCGACGAATGTTTCGCGGCAGTATTTAATGGTCGGTGCTGAACAAGAAACTTCTACAAGACAAATTAAAAGGACACCATCTGAGGAAGACAGGATAGTCTCTTACAGAGAATGGGCAACAGTCGGCGTCTTATGTTTCGTCAACCTAATCAACTATATGGATCGTTTTACAGTGGCTGGTGAGAATATTTTTTTTACACTTTGCATTCACAACACTTTTTGGTTTTTTTTATGATGGCTTGCTTTTTTTTCAAGTTTACTAAGTATATTTTCTTTTTATTCTTCTATGCGTGGGATTAGATATTCTGTCATCGCTTTATTAGCCTTGTGACGATATTTGTTAAATGTTTTATCTAATTCATAGTTTGAAGCAATCTCTACACTATGAAATGTATGTTTTCAGGTATCTTGTCCGATATAAAGACGGATTTTGGTATTGGAAATGACAAGTCTGGGTTATTACAAACAGCATTTATCATTAGCTATATGATATTTGCACCATTATTTGGATATCTTGGTGATAGATATAATCGAAAAATTATTATGAGCTTCGGAGTATTTCTCTGGTGCTTGACAACATTTATTGGCTCGTATATGAAAGTTAGTATCAGCAGAGAATTTCTTTTCTATTGAAATTCTTATGATCTCTTATTATTTTATAGACATATGAGTGGTTCCTGGTATTCAGAGCATTTGTTGGAATCGGAGAAGCCAGTTATTCGACAATTGCTCCAACAATTATTAGTGATCTATTTGTTAAAGACGTTCGTTCCAAAATGCTGGCACTGTTCTATTTTGCTATTCCTGTTGGAAGGTTAATCATCTTTTTAAATATTTTTAACAATGTAAAAATTATGATACTATTATACATTATTATTTTACAGTGGCTTAGGATATATAACAGGTAGTAAAACTGCTATTGCCACTGGAGCATGGCAATGGGGTTTAAGAGTTACCCCGGCACTGGGAATTATTGCTATTTTCCTATTGTTATTTGTTGTTCGGGATCCAATCCGCGGTGAGAAGGAGGGTGGAAAACATTTACATAGTACTTCATGGATCAACGACATTAAAGCACTCACAAAGAAGTTAGTTTTTATAATCTTCTTTCATAATTCTCAGTGTTATGAATTCATTTCTTAAAACTAATCAATTTCAGTCCGAGTTTTATGCTCTCTACTGCAGGATTTACTTGTGTAGCTTTCGTAGCAGGTGCTCTATCGTGGTGGGGAACAATCTTTATCCAGCTAGGATTGAAGTTGCAATCTGATGGCCAAGCCATTAATGATGAAGAGTAATTCTTATTTATTATCATTAATTCAACAGGGTAAACAAATTACGTCATTAATACTTTATTTTCTATTGTAGGGTATCCTACAAGTTCGGTCTCATTGGAATGGCGTCTGGTATAATCGGTGTTTTATTAGGATCTTTTATGGCAACAAAACTTCGAATTTCTTCACAACAAGCAGATCCATTAATTTGTGCAATTGGGCTATTAATTAGCGCGCCCATTATTTTCTTTGCAACACTTACTGCCAGCACGAATTCCATAGCCTGTTACACGCTTATATTCTTTGGCCAGGTGGCTCTTAATCTCAACTGGTCCATAGTAGCTGACATGTTGCTAGTAAATATTAATTATTATAAATTTGCGTGAAAAACAAAATGAATTAAAATCTAACAATTATTTCTTACAGTATGTAGTCATTCCAACAAGAAGATCGACTGCGGAAGCTTTTCAAATTCTAGTAGCACATGCTCTCGGTGATGCAGGAAGTCCTTACCTGATAGGAGTAGTAAGTTTAGTTATTCCGTTATTAACATTTTATACGAATTCATATTTGTTTCTATTTTAATCAAAGTTTTCTTCAATTAAAGATATCCGAACTTCTAAAGACAAGATTAGCACCTGATCTGACGACGAATCCTCATCAGAACCAAAACACTAGTCTTGATATCATCGTGAACGACCCGGTTGTCGAATTTCGAAGTCTTCAGTACGCAATCTTCCTGACGATCTTCGTCGAGGTTCTTGGCAGCCTTTTCTTCTTCCTCACAGCCCTTTACATACAAAGGGATAAAGCTCTCGCTGATCTCACCATCGCCGGTAAGTAGAAACTAAGATTTCGCATAACGGAACGTTAATTCATCTCACAAGGTCGTGAGAATCCGGGTAAGTCTGAGGAATCGGTGCTGAATGAATATAAGTCATAATATTTAATACAACTTTTTAAAACCCATTAGTCATCCTTAACACATTTTGATACTCCGTCAAAACTGCACCTAATTCATATTCCTGTTATCGCTGTTGTAATATCACAAAAGGTTTATCTTATTTATGGGTGAGAAATATAAAAATAACTTCTAATTCCTTTGTACAGTGGAATAGAGGTTGAAAGAGCATATGAGATACTGATAAATTTAATTACCTCACAAGAGATATGATACCTCGTCACAAATGTGTCCACAATAACATATTTAAATATTTCATTGACCATACTACCCAAACCCATCGCGCCGCAGCAATTTTTAAAAAATCCTGAAGTAACACCAGTCCTCTTTTTTTTTTTACATTTTGGGATAATTATTCTTTTTAGTTATTACAATTATTTTTATTCTAATCGTAACCGCCTAGCCAGCATGGGAACTGAACAGGGCTTTATACTAAATGAAATGTGTCGACCTTTAATGACCATTTTAATATCTAGGGAAGCCATTATTTTTGCACATCGCCGGCCCACAAGCGGATTACGAAATTAAGCGTTTACAAGTCTAATTCAACACCAATATGTTTTTGCACAGTGCATGAGTTGCTCTCAAGTTTGGAGGTAGAACCACAAAAATTGGGAACCAAAGTAAGGTAGTATATCCAAAGACAAAGGTTCCCCATATGTATTGGAATTTTATTTTCCTACAAGAAATATTTAGACACATTTTTTTCTCAAATTCAACTTGTCAAGTACTTTATCTCTGCCATTGTCAAACACTGGAATTCAAAATTCCAAAGCATGTAGTTTCATGATCACTCGCACTGATATAATTCACATTCATTGGAAATCATTTTGGACAAAGTCCAATTTCTAAAGATATGCTGCCAAATTCAAAGTATCTAAATATTCTAGTGTTCATATACATTGTTGTTGATACATACATTCAGTTTTATCTAAATTTGTATGCAACTTGTAAATGCTGTCACGCAGTAGATGAACAATTTATTAATATCGACCTAACACCAACCATTTATTAAAACTGCTTATATTTCAATTGATCGATTCCATCAAGTTTCAAGTAACAGATTTCAGAACTTATAATTTTTGGTGTGACAGATGGGTGAATATGAACAACTAAAGTATCATTAATTCTTTTTCACAATTCTTGGTACATGTCTAACGTATATTGTCTTTCACATTGTTACAACTCGTTGGGATCACACTGAAAAATTCACTGATTAACAATCTAATCAACTACGATTAAAGGACAATTTCATAAAACAAAAAGAACAAGCACTTCTGTTTTGAAAAATCATAAGTCCATTAGCATCTATAAAAAGTTTGATTAACCGTTCAGTCACACTGGTATGTAAAACTTTTAGTTAATATTTTTCGCTTTTATTTAACAAAGCAATCAGTGTCGTCATCTGGTATTTGGTAATGTCGGTACAAATTATCTGCATGGCAACACGAACATCAAGCATAGAACAACTACAGTAGATAATTGTATATTACACAGCATATCAACGACTTCTAAGAGGGATACAACTGTTTTAAAAATAAAATCTCTGAATTTAGTAGGCGTATGGTAAGCCGCCCATCGATATCTCTCCACTAATTACGTATCCAATTAACGAGAACCATTCGTTAACGTAATTATCGATGAAAAAGTCAAAATCAATGAGAAAGCAAAAATAATGAAAACGGTACGTGCATGATACATTCTCACATAACATTCGACATATCTTTCTTGCAGACAAATGTCTAGATACTAAGAATAACGGGCAGGCAGAATCAACGCGTTTATAGATCACCGGTGGGCACATCACCTGATAGCGCTGTACAATCCGGTACTTAATTTATTTTCATGATTTCATTATACATCCTTTTACCGCTTAACGTTCGATAATCAATTTAATTTATTACTTTCCTTATGTATACTACAAATTCTGTATAGCACTATGCGCGTGTTAATATTTCTAAATGTTTATAGTCCGTTTAACATTTAGATAATCCTCAAGTAGCGTACCGGACTACATAACCTCCAAAATTAAATTGATTATTCGTTCAAACGACTTTGTCTCCTTTCGTAGTGAACTTCTTATCAGTCTATTGTTATATTATCAGTATCAATATTATCCTTATTTGTGTTCACGGTTTATCGCGCATATAGGTACTCTCGTACTTTCAATTAATTGTATCTTTTTTATTTTTTTCTCCCTTTACTTAAACCTTGGGTTAACATCTCTCATACGTTGGATCGACAAACTGCATGGATCAGCGGAGAAACTGGGAGAAACTTCGATTTGTATGTTGCGACTATTTGAAAATGGATGTCGAATTATTTGCGTCAACTGTGGTATTTCTCTGGGATTATGCTTGTACCAATCATACGTGGTTTGTGTTGTGTGTGCTTCGCGCAGTGGGAATATCGTAAGAACTATTAACTATTCGTACATTTCTGTTCATCCTCTTTTATCTTTTGTGTGATTAACAGTTGGGGAAAGATATGTATACCTAAGATAATGGTAGATTGAAGGAAAAAATTGCTAGTGGGATAGCGGGAAGGAAAATAGAAATTTTGTTAAATTTAAATAAAATACGAATATGTTCCTTACTGTTTTCCCCAGTGCTCTCTCAAGCTTTTTTTCTTTTCATTTACTTTCTTTCTCTGTTTCTCCCTTCAATCCTTGCATCCCTCATTAAAAACGTGACGAGATTCTAATGTCTACTGCAACGGAGAACGTGACGTTCTCTAGAAGTTATTCGGTTTTATTATGATTCACAGATTCCTTCTCGTCGAATCTTATCTTCGAATTCACTGGAATTTCTACAGATCGTCGTTTCTGTCGTCAGCCGTATTTTCTTGGAAATTTTTGCTCAATTAATTTTTCTGTTATGTTTCAGGTGAAAACAACTCGGACACGTCACTATTGAGTGACGACGAAAACGAATCACAGAATTCAACGGTTAAGCCTTGACTGAACGCAATGTAATTCTTGCACTTAGATTAGTCATTAGATATTTTTCTTTTCCCTTGTCTGTAATCCTTTTTCTATTCTTAATTTTTCGATATAGTTTGGTTTCTTTTTAATTCTTTGCCACCTATGTACACCTTGGAGCTCGTGTAGAGATTATATTTAGACAATGGAGCCCAACAGGCGTTTTTTAGCCACCAGTATTTAAAAATTATTATCCTATGTAGGAAGTGGCTAAGAAAAAACTATCAATTATTTTTCTACTGTGACTCTCAAAGTGTCGTGTCATTGTTTCTGCATTTTTTCCACTGTTTGGTGACTTTGTTCTGTCTATCATTTAACACTCCTTGTAGTCGATTGAAAATTGTTAAGCACTTTGAGAATTGATCTAGGATCACCCTTGAAACAGTAAATTGTGTACAGGGCGAAAGTAGGGAAATAAAAAGTGAATTCAAAGTAGATTAAGAATTTTTTGAAATAAAGCGTCTCGAGCAGTTTATTGAACTTCTAATTATTTCATTTGAAATATGAAAATTTCGGGTACGACGCTGTTGCTCATGTAACTTAATTTGTTACTCGGATCAACCGGGTAATAGGGACTAGCAGTTAATAGTTTTTTTGCATTGCAATTATGAGTATCGTGTAATCATCGCGGATGATTGTATTTATACTGGTTGTGTTGTTGCACTGGGTTAATACGTCTACTTTCGGTGCGCATACTTAGCTAGACTGAAAGATTTATCTAGACTTTTGCCTTATCAAAATGTATTATAGATACTTGGTCGAAATTATTTATTACCATAAATTCGCTTTAAGATGGAAATTGTAACATTTTGGCCTTGTATCAAGGAAATAAACATATGAAGTTTTTTTTAACGTATAATGACTGCTAATATTCATCTCCTTCTGTCAGGACAAAATTTAGATACAAAAATCAAGTATATCGTGACTTCATTCTCCTTGGAGTACGAATGTATCCATTTTTAGTATAATCCAATTAGTTCCCTAAACCTTATTAATAGCAAAGAGATCAGTCCGCAGGCAAACTTAAATATTCAAGTTCCTTCAGTAACCATGTCAGAGTTAATTTGCCGCAAATCGAAAATATATCGTAAGTATTATTGTGGCTTTTCTACGATACCGATTGGTTCATGATAACGTTTGCGCGTGAAATTACCATGCGCATTTGACAGAATGACAGAAGTTTAGGTTAAACTGAATTCGATGATCTTGCTAATCAACGGACCTGATATTTCTACTATTTCGCTGTTATGAAATGTAGTGGATTGTGCTGCGCATTGCACGGAAGAAGACGAAAATTTCACGTTATACGTATACGTATATAAAAGCTATGCATTTATAGTAAAACTCGAAATGTCGCTGCCGACAATGGTTGGTGTTGGCGCTGGCGTTGATGCTGGCGCCAGTCGAATTTCATTGGCAAATTACATTCTCATCCATGGTTAGTAGTTTCTAGATAACTTATTCCATAACCTAAAGGACAACTCTGTTCGTAAATTAATATTAAACATATTGCATCACATGATTTGCTTGCATGTTACGAGTATAATGAATTGTGCTGTCAATAGTCAGGAACGTGATTTTAATTATTTTAATACAAATACAGTAGACTGACTCGAACTTACGATGCACAACAGATTGTTTCAAAGCAATGGGTTTTATGCTTTACCCACTGATTAACGAACTGTACTTTTACCTTTTTTAAGTTTTAATATGCTTCATTACATAGGCAATAAATTAAGCAAAATAAGCATTTTGAAATGACATTTTCTTACGAGGAAGGTAGAAGAGAACAATTTCTTATTTAAAAAGTTCATAACTTACTCAATCGTTAATTTAATCCACAAGTTTAGGATTTGACATTTATAAATTAAAATTCTTAAATCGTTTATGAGCTCTAAAGTTAATACAAAAAGTTTCATGCAATGCCGAGAGTGCTGCCACCTGTGAGTCCAAGCAGCTATTACTTCGTCGTTCCGGATAAACTGTGTTCCCTACTCATTTTTGGTAGTACAGTGACCGTCGGGAAGTTAGCGCCAAGAGAAAAAAGTTTATACGTTTATAATGCCTACAAAATAGCTTCTTAATTAAATGCTTATGTTTTCCTAACTTATCCGTTGTTATTATAAAATGATTAAAAAATACTCATTAAAACAGAAAAATATTTTTTTTAATTTTTTGTCACAATTTGTTTTTTATTTTATTTAAGCTTCTTTAAATAACAAGTAAAATTTCATTTTCTCTTTGCCCCATTGCAAACGTAATAATATGATACATTTTCGCACAGACCTATGACAGGTACGTTCGAAGATGACCCGAGAGTGCTGCGAGTGATATATCTGTATACAATAATTAAATTGATAAAATCGATCTGTAGGTATTCATGACTCCCAGGGTTCGCGTGACAGCATATCCCATAAGATATCCAGTCTACTTACCTCTTGAGTCGATGACATCCAAGTTCACCTGGCGTCAAACCCGAAAAGATGTTCTGTCTAATTTATCTTCCGTCAACAGTTCTGTAGATTGGCGTATAGACTTTTTTGAGAATACGAACAAAAATTCTCAAATACTGGCAATTCCCAAATAGCACAGAGATCCATAAAAAAGTAAAATTATTTATCAACTTTTATCGTGACAATGAAAAATCAATGAAAAATTATCAATGAAATCGTCAATGAAAAATTATTAATCCAATTATAAAGTAGGCGTTTGCAATCCATGCGACACTCCAACTCGATAGTTTTCACATGGTGAATAAAACCATAAAAATGCGACTATTCCCAGGTTAAAGAATAATATCAGCTCCCGTATTCCGAGATGCAGTAACCACTTTTTGATTATTATTTCTTCGTACCAGCAAATCATCATACACAGCTAACTGTACACTTAATTTCAATCAGTGTTCACTTGATTGTACAAATGCAAATTCAATGATTCATACGTGCTCGTATCGCGCGGAGAAAGCGTCGCTGTACATTTAAAAGGTCGAGTCATTTTTTTTCATCTCCATTTCGCTTCAATCCCTGGATCATCCAGGTCATCAGATGTATCGATTTACTCCACTTAAGTGTCATCCATACCGAGTACAATTTCTTTTTCTTTCCCAACGGTATCTCGTGCCGGGATCAGGTTAAAACGGCTGCCGATTTTTCGCAAGAATTAAACGAAAAAAAAAAAATGAGAAGAGTCTTATGACTCAAGGTGCATTGGTCAATGATCGAATGACGCAACCTGCACGATTTCTTATGAGAATCCTAAGGTGTCTAACCCTAATCATGTTCCTTACCTTTCCCATGAACACCGTCAGGTTAATCGTGCCTGATCGTGCCCATCCGGAGGACAGTGAAGATAGTTACGGATAAGAGGAATAAGAAGAACTAGTATGGACCACGTAGTGGATGGATGCTGGCAGATTGGACCTGACGCCATTGTCGCGTCTCATCCGTTAAATGCGGCTTCGCAAAAGTGAAAGCAACTCGCGCTGGCGTAATCAAAGGTCGACTCATCTCTGGGAATGGCCTCTATGTACTACATATATATGTATATACATATATAATTCCCTACTCTCGTTCGCATCTAATTATTCTTTACTTTGTATATCCTAAATATGTTTATCACTTATCCATAATATTGAGAATATCTCATAAAGAAAAATTTAAGCAATGTATTCAAGAGGATATACTATACTGATATATCTGATATGCATATTGATATATTTATAATAATAATAATTAGATATGCATCTGCAAAGTAAAATGCTGACTAACCCAGATCGTTTTACATTATGAATGGATCGTAATACAGGATATGACGTATGCAGATTATGCCTGGGGCAATGATCCTTTTTTTTCTCTAGCATTTTATTATACAATGATTCTATAGTTAGAATAGAGATACTTTATCATTTGAATTCTGTGAATGACTTGGCTCTTAAATTTACTATGAGTAAAAGTAGAATGAGGAAAATGTGTAAAGATGAATCAACAAGATGGGTACTATAAGTACTCATGATGGGAATAAACAATTAAACAACGTCACGATGTAATTGTTATCAAGCATGATATTTCTGTCCTTGAGGTTCTGCAAGCAATGTATTAACTGCTATTTGTAAAGGTAACTCCTGAGTATTCACACGGTATTATTTTACTATTTACGTTTAATCGAGTCTACACCTTGATTTGCACAATCGAATCTTTTTATTTAACGATGTCGATAAACTTTCCTTGTTATTTTATTATCTGATCCATTCTTGATTTTATATTGTGTCGAGCTTCTCAATGGGTAATAAATTCTTAGGTTTGCCATTGTTCTCTCAGCTGAAACATCTGTCAGTTGTATGTCAATTTAAGAAGCCGGAACTTCACGAAATTTAAATTTTTCTTAAGTCAATTCCTGAAGTCACAAACTGTTTATAATTAGAATTAATGGCTTCGCCTTAGCCACCGTCTAGTAATGCGCAGTGGTTAATCAAATATTTACAAGTAGCCAAACATACGACTTCTGGAAGTATGTTGTCATATGAAGAATTTTAACCGTATACGCAGTTTTTAATTCTAGCAAAGCTTCGCGACATGGTTTTCCATATTTTTGTTAAAACTCAAAAAGATATTCTCAAAAAATTCCTCTTATAACATCTGCAACAGTGGAAATTGTCAATTCGATGATAGGACAGATGAGAAGGTCCACATTTTAATTACCATTTCAAACTGACTTTTAATTACGCTCGCATCTTTGTGTACAATATATTTTTCATTCTGCAACTCTGTGCTGCTGCAAACAATAAAAAGTTGATAAAAACGCAACAAAAATTTTTGCCGATAGTCACTATTTTTAGTATATTATCCTTTCGCACCCGACTGTCACCTTTTAGGCGCCAAAATATATATAAAACGGAGGGGGGTGTCGAGTGCAAAGGGTTATATACAAATAGACCAGTATTATTATATATATATATATATATATTGCTGACCTTATAATATTATCAACGGGTTGAAATTAATATAACAGTTTTTCGCCTGCTTTTGTAAATATATTTTTTTTAAATGTCTTCGCAATTAATTCGTGGGAATCGTACTTCATCGCTGCAAGTCCTTGAAGTCACAATCCCACCTATGGAGACGACGTATCCAAACCTAGGTATTCGTGAATACGTACGTGTACTAAAACATGCTTATACGTCGTATCTCTTCTCGTCTTCTCGTAATTGTATATTGAATACGTCAACCTTTAGTCCTGAAAAATAATTCAGGTGAAAGGCTTTATGTGTTCAGTGCCATTTTACAGGAGAAAAACATTTATCAATAGGAAGAAGAACGACGAATGATGAGAGCTAACTATAAAGGGGGGAAATTCAAAATTCGTATCGATTTAATAACCCAAATTAAAATAATTGATAGCCTTTTGAGTAATATGTAAATCTTATGACATTGGATGGCCATAAATAACAATACTAAAAATTACCTCTTGCTGAAACCAAAACATTATTAGGTCATTCAGATATATTCAAAGATTTAGGACTCAATCCCTATAGCCCTCATGAAACAATTAAATCTATATGAATCATATAACATCAAGGCAAGTTACTGTAAAGTATAAATTGATAAAATCAAAAATATAAAATCAAATTAATTAGTATAAATGGTATTTAGAAAAAGGATAAACTTACCGATGCACTTTAAATGCCCAATGCTTCTTTATATTCTTACTCCTGTTTTTATAAGTTCCAACTCAGTGGGCCTTGGCTGGATTATAGGGATGATTATTTGTGTCAATCTACCCTCAATCAAGGGGGACGCGAGTAGAAGAAAATATACTTTCCCAGGTTATGTAAAAGGCTAGACTGGCCGTAGACGGCCGTCGGTATAAAGCCGCTCGTCCTCCCCAACGGCCAAGAGTTGCTCGCGAACTTTGCTGCAGCAACCATCATAGTGAATCCTCACGTGCCACGGACCATTCACCTGAAATTATATATTCATTCGGAGACCGTCCTACTTTTTATCCTTAATCATCTCACTCTTATTTTTAATATTAAAGAACTTGTTTGAATACAACAAGCTCGGCTCATCCGAAAGTGATGGGACACAACATGCGCGCTCTTGTGAGTAAACATAAAATTATAGATTTTTTGACATTTGGGATAATCCCTGTTACAAAGAAAAGTCTGAAATATAAATGAATTCCATAAACTAGAGTTCATAATACTTGTGCATGTAGTAATTTAAATTTGGATCAATGTTAAAATATTTCATACGATATTATCAACTGACTAATTACTAATTAAATAGACGTTACACCTGTCTGAAAAGTATATTATAAATTTTATAGGTTATGTACTTGTTGAAATCTTTGTTAATACTTGTTATGTAATTGCACGTTTGAAATTTCGTTCGTTACACCGGTAACAGGTAGAAAGTTTTATAAGATGATACGAAGCACATGACTTTTACAAGCACGCGGTGTAATACTTTAGATAATTGTCGAGAACACACATTACGTAATTCAAGTTATTGACACGTGCATATAATACTTAGTATACACAATAATGCAAGAATTATATCTAAATATTCAATATCAATTTTATGGATAATCCAATAAACGTAGAGACATATTAAATACATTGGTATTAATGTATTGCATAATAATAAACACTTGCGTAGTTTTTATCACGTATTATTGGATATCATTGATATATCATAAGTCTCATAAATCTGTCATATCGATCATTGCGCACATGGATTGTGACCAAACCACAGAATCTCCTATCTACGTATACATAATTAATAATGATGAACTTTTCAAAAATAATTCATACAAAATTTATCTTGTTTCAGTTAATAGTGGCCTTGGTGGGTCTGGTCAGGTCTCAGCAATATTTCCAAGAGCCTGAAAAAATCATAAGCGAAACTCGTAAGGTGGGCGACACGAGTGGTCATTATTCGTTCACTTACGAGACCGAGGGTGGAATCCTACAGAAGGAGGAGGGTAGTAGAAAATATGCTGGTACGCCTGAGGAGACTCAGCTGATTCAGGGATCAGTGCAATACAATGCACCTGACGGTACACCTATTGCACTTAGCTGGACTGCTGATGAATTTGGTACTCAAGTATCTGGAACGCACATTCCTACTCCGCCGCCAATTCCTCCAGCAATTCTGCGAGCTTTAGAATGGATCGCCAAGCAACCGTCAACCACCGAAGCACCTGAGGAACAGCCAAAATCATCATCAAGTCAAAACGCAATACCCGATCAGCAGTACAGATCATCACAAAATAAGAGATACTAAATATGTCGAAATAAATGATTATTTTTTATAAAAAGAAATGTTTTATTTTATTCCCTTTTTGATTATATGGAACAGTTGCAATTTTGTACTTGGGGATTGGTTGGTGTTTTTTAACAATGACAATTTACGGATAGAACATTTGCATTTAGGTGATTCAATATTAAGAATAGTTTTTTGTTGTACAAAATTGAATTTTATTAGGGGAATTACTTTGGTAAAAAAAGTTTGAGTAACTTTCATTTCTGTATATTATCGAATTTAGTTTTGTTTTTTAAGTTTTATTCACAACACTTTTTCTCTTTTGACACACAAATGGATGCGTACGTGCGTGAATGCATGTAAAGTATTAACAGAGAACATATATTAACGTTGTACGTGATAGTGCGTACTCGCTCGCATTAACGCATTTCTAATGTTTGGAATGATGGTGCGTTCTCGCTCATCTACGCGCCTGACAAGAAGACGGTTCGCTATGGTAAATATAGTTTGTATATGGGGCGTTCGACTCCAAATCGGGCAGTTTGAAAAGTCTTAATTTTTGATTCCGTCAACTTTTTGACATTTTTTACGCTCATAATGCTAAGTCCTCCACGTGAGCGATGAATGTGAAAAGACGCGCGATCATAGTAAGAGGCGAAACTAGTAATTTATCGGTGGGTTTGTTCACATCGATACAAGTAGCGCTCGCAGTGGCTGGGGTAACCACTAACCGATCATCCCAGCGTTTTGTGCCAAACCCTCCTACGCTTCCATATAATATATGTTCTCTGGTATTAAGCATGCGGTATTATTGATTAAGATATACCTATCAGAGTAAAAAATGGCCTGTCCGATTTGTCGTTTTGTATAACAATAAATATTTAAAGTGAACAATATGTTCTAATGAGAGAGAGAAAGATAGAGCTTGTAAATACATTAAACTCGCAGTTAATACCTACCGAATTATTTAAGTATGATTAAAAATCGATTAAAAATATATCCATCATTCAATTCAAATAGACGAGGTCGAATGTCGAAATATCGCGCGAAGACGTCGTGACATTACCTTGAACTTTCTTTCGCAATAAAAATCGACGCCGCACGATATCATAGATCAACGAATAACATCAAAAATGCTGGCAAGGGTTTTTTAATTATGAATAATAATTATATACGCACCATACTTCAAAAGCTTATCCTGTAAATTATAGCTTGTCACTTTTGCAACTGTAGTGGCCATCACTGATCAAATAAATGTGCGCATTTGAATCCATGTAAAACCTAACCTCCGCAGGCATCACGACGCAAGACGACACACATAAAAACAAATCTGAAAGGTACCTAGAATCAAAAATTGATATTGTAACCCTTTAACAGCATCAAGGTAACCAAAAGATGTCACAATCCATAAGCCATAAAATTCACAGACTGTAACATAATTCAAAGTCCCGCATTACGATGATCAAAGTCAAATTGCCACACAATCAAATCTTTTGATATTTGCCGCAGTTGTTTCAGGATCCTCGACCCTACACAGAAGATAAATACTTTCCTTCCTTTCCTCATGACTGTATCCCCAATGGAGCATGTCCCAGAAAAGAGAAAATACGTCTATTGTATCTGAGCTGACCTATGAATGCACGTGTGCGCTAACGGAGTGAATGGACAGGTAGCTATTTATTTTCGTGTAACACGACGTCTACGAAGGAACTTGCTTCGGTCTCTTCACGCGCATGCGCATGGAGGGGGTTTTCTCGGGTCTATGTAACGGCTTTTCGATGGTTTGAAGAGTGAAATGCGTGCGTATGGTTATTAATTATTAAAAGTGGAATAAATGAAATGGACCTGTTCATTTATTTAGTTTATATATGTGTGATAATATTATTATTAGCTGATTTAAATGTCTTTCAAATCTGCCTTGTGTATTGCATTTTATGACGATCAAAAAAAGGAACATACGTACATGTATTACGTATGTACTTGCATGCAATTGTGGACTACAATAGCGAGTTTCTCCTGCAATAATGTCCCGTCGAAAATTTATGGCGACAGGAACTGATTGCGGAATGAAATAAAGAAATTAAAAGAAACGTGCCGGTCACTGGAGATAAGCGGTAAATTTTGTCCACTGAATCCAATAATTTATAGGATAAAAAAAAGTCACGTAGCACGAGGCGATAATTTTTTGTTTATTATGAATATTATAAATATTCAAATTTTTTGTATTTAAGTTTTTGATTTTCACTCTATTAGTATTTCTATATTTATTTTAAATCGACTAATTGTAAGTAACGATTTTTTTTTCATCTTTCTTTAGTCCGTTTGATGTGGATTGCGACAGGAACGAGTCAACCGGTTTCATGTTTGTTCATCGTTCAGCTGTTACAATTTCAATACTAACTAGTGTTTGAAAGACAAGTATTCCATGATACTTTACCGACTAAGAGAAATCTAACGATACCGAGTGTTAGTTTCGCGAGTATTGCCGATTCGAAAATCGATTTAACAAATTTCTACTTTACCGATTGAGCGTCGTCAAGAGTTAGTGAAATTTCATAATTTTAAGATCGGTGAGATCCTTAAACAGATTTTTATGGAGTGATACGCTGTTTGATGCAAGTATTTCTATTTTTGATTTTTATGGCTGTATACGCTCCTTGAAAGTTTTATTTTTAGTAAAGCCTTTTTTGGAGGCTGTAAAGTAACAGTGAGCTATATTAACAATTCAATAGAGGAATCATTGGCGTACAGTGGACAATAATTTATTTACATTATATTTCTGCATAGAAAATAGTACATGTAGTTACAACGAGTATTTTGTTTCGGGAAAAAACGGCCATATTTGATGGCGACATCGAGTTCTTCGAAAGGTCGAAAAGATAAACCTATATTTCGACCTTGGAAGAAGTGCGTACTCCTCGTGCCGTGACTTTTCCGTGGGTTACGTGTTACGATTGGCCAGTCATCGGAATATCGTCAATATACCGATACGATAGACTCCGCTCAATACATATTGTCAATAAAAAAATCTTTGTTCAATTTGCATATTAAAATCAAAATAAAAAATCCCTCATTATCAAATTTCTCTTTCAAATCACTTGGCATCCAAAATTAGAGTCTATCGTATCGGATATCAATTGTTATCGATAAATCCGGTCAAATTGTATTATTACTGTTTAGGCGCGTCAATATCATTTTCTTCGGGATGAGCTCGGATGTACTCCAGTGCCTTAAGGATCTCCTCAGGGATTGGAGGGGGAGTTGGAAGATGAGCACCCTGAGGCTGGAAGCCGTTTTCGTCAGCGATATAAGTCAACTGGATTTGATTTCCTTCGGGATCGGTATAGCTGTAAGAACCCTGAGCTGAGATTCCTTCGTTTTCAGTTCCTGGATTCTTCAGGTATCCGTCTTCTTGCGCTTGGATGCCATTTCCGGTCTCGTAGAGCCAGCTATAAGAACCATCAGGATTGGGACCATCTATACTCTGGCGTAGAATTGGAACTGGCGTGGTTCCATCCAACGGGGCAGCCACAGCGACGGTCGCCAAAGCGAACAAAGCGATAATCTGCGTAAATAAGAAAAAAAAAATTTACTAAATTATTCAAAATATTGTTTATACAGTTTTTTGTAATTTTTGCTCAATCAGGAATTTCCGAGGATGTCATCGATTGATTTGTATTGGCTATCTGTATAATTTTTCAATGATTTCAGATGCTCGTTAAAGAGACAACTGCGTACTTGAATTTACATTCACGATTTCGACATCGAAACGACTAACATTTGGATACTAATACAGTAGATTTTTGTATCCGTTTTTCGTCTCTGTCTTACTCATCCTTTTTCTCCTTTTTTTTGTATTGTTTTTCACGACCGTATTTATTTCCATGTTTTAAATAAATCGACGAAGATGTCATTGACCCACAAGATCGGTTTGAAAAACTTTCCGAAATCTTCGATTAAGGTAATAAATTAAGATTTACGTCTCTTAAATTCGCTGGTATCGCCATTGAACGTCGCGACATGACTAATTTGTTATTCCTCGTGCGTCTTTCATTAGCGATTACTATTTTGAAAATTGAATCTTTCGATTTATACGGTTTTACGACATAGTGCTATTTCCTTAGGATGCGATGTTTAATTTTTTTCCCATTTTTCTTTTATTAAATATAATTCCCCTTCGTTACCACGAATATAGTTTTCACGATGTATTTAACACTTGGATTTTTCATAACTGACAAGACTTTCGGTTTTACTAAATTTTTTAACTTTGCATCTTTTTAGAGATCTTACAAATTTTTATCCAGAGCTTAACGAACCCAAAATATCTGTATACCCTTACTTTTAGTATTGAAAATTTCATACACGTTTTCAAATACCGTGCTAATACATGTTTTATTAAATATCATTTTGTCCCTGAATCGTTTCCTCATTCAGGTGTTAAGAGTTCGTTTAAATAGTAAATTCAAGTAAGATAATCATTCAACAGGATTTTACAGATGGTATCGGCTGGGTATCTCGAAAGTTAACTATCGATGCCATGCACGTGCATGAACATGAATGACACCTTTCTCGAAGTTGCAACTAATGAATAAATGCATTGGCACTCGTACAACCCATAGTAAAGTCATTCATTCAGAAATACCGCAATTGATAAAAAATTTCAAAAAATCAAATCAAACTCAAAATTGAAAAAAAAACAATAAAACGATATATATATATATATATATATATATATATATAAATCAATAAAATATTTTTGTAGTATAAAAAACATCAATAATCGGTCAGATAATCAATAACAAATATTTCCACGTTTATTAAATTTGACTGTCACTTATTTCTCTGAATTCTCATATCACTGGACTTACCAGACGGTTCATGTCGAATTGGATAACTAGCGATTGTCTCGTACGAGCTTCTCACTGCACTGACTTGAGAATCAAGCAAGCCTTCCGCTTTATATATCCTGACCGCAAGATTCACGGATCTTCAGTAAGGTAATGCCAAAGGCATATTCGTGAACCCCCACTTCGATAGGCAGCCATTTAATTCCAGTTCGTATAGCATCTCGTTCCATTCCGTTCCGTCCCGTTTCATCCCGTTGAGGTGCCCAGTGGCCCATGTTACCTCTCAGTCCTACCACCAGCGGGGGCCTCAAACAGAGGTCAAGCTTACTCCGCCAAAGGTCGTCGTTTCGAACTCCCAATACCTCCACCACCTTTTGCGCCTCCTTCTACCGATTTCTTATCCACTTCTTCTCTCTCCATTTTTCTTTCTATGCTTCTACTTTTGTTTACCACCACCAGTAATCAGCGTCGCTACTGCTTCTACTATTCTGCTTCTTCTCATTCATCGTAACCGCGAATCTTCTTCTGGAATCGTCATCATCATCACCATCACCACCACCAATACTACTACTCTTCATCCGATCCTCCTCCATCATCTCCTTATGGCATCACATATCTTTACGACAGAATCCCGTCATTTAAAATTTTCGCTATGCCTGTCCACAGTCTGAGTAGCTTGTGGTTTTTGCGGTTTTTAAAAAGGTTGCTTCGCTTGACATTGATTAATTTTCTTTTACATGATTTTTCTAGAAATGAGTTACGTACTCACAGTCCTGAGAATTCTATGGTTTTAACATTTTCATATTGTCTAACGTGAGATTTTTTGTATATAAGTATTTGGGTGTTTCATTGACTAATTTTTAGGCTTGATCTGTACGTATTAATTTTTTATTTTTTATTTTTGAGAGTTTGATAAATTGACATTGGCAGTGAGAGATGGAGAGTGAAAAAAATGACTGGACATTTAATGCCCGGGGAATTCAATTCGAAAAGAGAGAAGAACGAAAGTGGCTTTGGAGTCAGGGAAAGTGCGATGCCCGTTTAAATTTTTAAAGCTGTTCAAAGAATATCCTGCTGTATCTTTAGATCTTTTTGTACGTTACAACGAATAAACGCTGACGCCCATCTTTGCTTACATCATTCTTATTCGCGGATATCGTGCCGATCATCACGATAACTTCTGCCACTATGTCATCCACGTTGACCGTGACGATAATGATGACGATGATTCAAATCATGAAACACTTTCGTATCAAAACTCATCTCAATTTCCATTATTCCTTATCTATCTCAAAATCAGAAAAAAGTAACCTTAAAATATCTGTATCCTCAAATGTACAATCAATACCGTATAATATACAATGGACCAAGTATACACGTGTATTTACATAGATTCATAAGATTAAAGGTTGAAATAATAGCTTTCGTAAGAATACAAGAATATGCCTCATCTTGGCCCGCGGCTGAAATTCAAAGCCCAAGAAGAGAATCTACGTGAAGCGAGTGTTTTGCAACAGAGCAGAATCACTCACGACATTATATTCTAGCACGATCGGTATTTAAAGGTTTTATCAACACACTTTTCTTATTGGTTAATAATGATCATCCTCGATCGTCATTAGCGAAGTGAAATTTAGTCGTCCTCATCATATTGATTAGCCAAGCACCAATGAGTGAGTGAACGGAAATGCTTTCATGATGAAATTCAATTGGGATATTCAGATAACATATATATAATATATAATATACATATATTCTACATATTGAGTTGCAAATATTCATTAAAATATCCTCGGAAGCTAATTCCTCGAGACAACCGATAAACTCACCTTTCACGCTGCTTCATTCAATGATTCACTTTAATAATTCCCATCTGTACTGCTATGTAATGCTTATGATTATTATATTTCATTTGGATCAACAATGGATGAATGAGTGAACGTTAGGAACTGTATTCTACGACCTGAAGGCACTTTTGTATACCTATATTATCTTGAATGTAGTATATCTATATCGAGTATAATACTAGGCATATGCATTCTACAACGTAACGTGGGTGTAAGAAATTTTTTGATGGCATTATTATAGGTTATATTGAATTACATGGGCCATATTCGTCTAAATGAATAGAACTCCCGATACGTTAAACACTATCATTACGCGATTGGTGTGATAAGATCCCGCGTATAGATTTAATGGAATATAATACAGATGCATTATCCCAGACATTATGAATACTATAATTAGTCAGATACTGTGCAACGTATATTTGGGAGTCTGAGAAATTCATTATGTCGACTAATAATAATCGCGCGCTTTAATGGCGGACGGACTCCGTGAAACGACAACTGGTTTCTCTTTCTTGGATAAATTAGAAACAATTAGTGAATCGACAGTAACTGGCTGTGCCGTTAACAAGTTAGTAAATAGTAAGTAGTTGGTTGTAACCAACTGTTGACAGTTTAAATAATGTGTAAAGAATTCACACCAGTTGTGCAGCATCATTGGCAACAAATTCCCAGTTAGTAATTGCTCCTCACGAATGATGAGCTTCGATCGATCTCTACACCGATGGATATAATATCTGCTGAACCGGGTGGTTTCGTGTTATATTATAATAAAAAGAGTGGTTATGTCAATGTCGTAACTCGATATTGATTTATATACATATATCGATAATATATCGATCAAACTTCGAGTATGACGTGTCGATTTTCAGGTTGCGTATCATTCTTGACATTTCCTCTTGACGATTGAGGTTAGATTATCCTGATACTTATTGTGTATTCATCCTGTGACAAATTGAGGTCTCTCTATCTTGAGCAGTGAACTTTTCTAACCTTAAAACGAGTGAGCAAACCTTAAAGTTAATTCTTCTTCTTCTTCTTCTTCCTTATTGGCTTTATGCTTTAGAGATCCAAGTGCTGGTAAAATTATTTCAACTTCATTCCTCTGTCGTGTGCTGTATTTTTTTTCCTTCGTCCATCAACATGCTGCGTTCCACTGTGTCTAAACTCACGGACGACAATTACTCATTGGCTGCTGTTAAATTTTTCGTGTACCTACATCGTGTACCAAGTCTATTACAAACTACTCACTCGGAATGACAACTCGAACAAGGCGACCTTTTCGCACGGCGGTAGAAGTTAGCTGCTTTAAAAGAAGAAAAAAAACAAAGCCAGAGAAGAGGAAGAACCGATTGGTATTCCCGTCAATTGGGATTCCGGACGCGTTCGGGGACATCGAACTGTTTTAATCAAACTCGTGTAAGTCTTTTCCAGTTTCTCTCTATCTTTTTTGCACGCTGTCTACGTCATACCTTACAGCGCTTGGCTAATTTGCCAGTTGGTCAAGTGCATACTTTATAATGTGAAGTGTCAAGCATTCCTAACAATGTCGTCCACTACTTTGTTACACAAACAATCCATAAAGAAGTTCGCAGTAAGTACCAAAAACAAGTGCGCAATGTATTATCTCAGCGTGCCTCTACGCAAATACACGGTAAGTAAAGAAATCAAAAAAAATGTTGCCTACATTTTCGACTCGTCAAATTTAGTCATCAAGAGCTCGTCAAGACATTAATTACGTGAAAGGTTGGTAGAACGTCATTAAAGACAGTGAAGTAATGATAAATTTATTAATAACTCCTTTAACACATATGCACACGGCTTGCAAAGTATTAATATTTTTTTCTGACAAAAGGTCCTCGTAATTATTTGTGCAGCATATGAAATTAGTACTTTTCAAAATTAATATTCAAACAAGACCCTGATAAGACACATATGTAAATTTTAATGAGACCCAGCGTTTAATCATCATCGTATAAAGTACAGTGATTGTCAGTGACGAATACAAAATCAAAATGACATTATTGTCTTTTGATATGAAACTTCCAAAAATCTTTTTTATTAATATCACGTTAAAATTCGTAAAGAGCATGTACCATTCTGTTGAACCAATATTGAAAAAACAGTCATGGTCGTCATGGATAAAAGTCATTTATTTTTATCTGTTCCTGTTTATATGTATCTTTTTAATGCTTTTTTTCATGTCGATCTGACAACAGTCACCAGTCTGACCAATACCAGTTAGTATCTACTCACCTGTTACTTGGATACAGGTGATGTTACTTAATCATCATTGGGTCTGTGAATCATATACCTATATTGTTAGTATACCTATATACGCTTGTATAATAAATATGGCTTGGAGCGAAAGATTCCCCAGGGTCGAAGATACTTTAAGATAATTAGCCACTCTACCCAGCACACGTGTAAAGAGATGGAATTAGTAATCCAGGTAACTTGAGTAAGGACGAGTAACGTGGGTGGATTAGAATGCTGTCACTCTGAGAAGTTTAATACTTTTTTTTTTTACTACATCTCGATTCGTTTCTTCTGGTTTCCCTTCATTTTTATCTGTCTCTCTTGCTTTTCTCTGTTATTCGTTCAATGTCAAAATCCATGGGTACGTTTCACAAGTTAATCTAAGATACCTGCGAATCATTACGTCACTCGTATCTGTGGAATTGAAACTTTGCACCTTGAGAAGATACTTACTGGATTTTGTCATAGTTGGCGAATTCAATGAGATAATGGAAATAGGGAGCTTACTGCGGGATGCTGTGGTCATGTTTGATTTATTAATATTATTGATTAGCCAATCAGGTAAAAATTTTCGAAATTACGAATTTATTGAAATTGCCATTTTGTTTTCCATGCTTAGAAGATTCTTTGGGAATTTTGTCATAATTTGTGAAATCACTTAAATAAACGATTCGGGCTTTACGGGAGGATGCTGCGGATACAGTTAACGTTATTGGTTACTATTGGTAGATTTTGTAGAGCGATAGTACAAGTGGATCTTATGGCAATTTTTTTTAGACTGAAAATTCTTCAATATCGTGGACTATGGATGCTAACCATAGGAATCTGTTTATTATGATTATTTAATGTCACCAAAGAATACTATGGGTGTTTATGGTGACTGTCTGGACCTTATGGAAAATTTTCTGTGTAATAAATATCTGTATATCTCTAATGGCGAAATATTAATATATACGTGTACGAATCCATGGAAACTTGAAATGGTCAAGGACAGATGCGTTCACTTATGTGAAATATCATATAAATTAGAATCGATTCTACATAAAAACATCTAAATTCGTATGCGCATTTACCAGATAGCTAAATAAAAATGTGCAGAGACGTGAAAAAAATATTGCATAAAATTGCGGAATATCAGAAATTTCACTCGATTCGATATGAATACTCAATATGTTTTAAATTCCCACGATGATGAGCAACCTGGTGAATCCCCGATGGGAATAATTTTTTTTATGAAACTCTGCCAGTGCCAATTACACCTAAAGAGGACCGAGGCCCATAAGTTCCAGAATCCACTGCTTGCAACCATTCGGTGTTAACTACTCGATAACTTTTTAACGCGAAGGTCATACAAGTAACCCAAATTCTTAAAACTTAATATTTTTACTTTCACGTCATCTCTGGACGGCAGATGTTACATTCTGGATGCAGGAAAATTTTCCATCAAAATTGAGATAAACAATTAAAAACTTCATAATCTCCAGCTGCAATCGTCACTGGATTAGGTTATACGTGATATAGAATTTCAGTGTCTTGTATTTCGCCTGCAGCAGTGTGAATCGACCTTTATCGCTTTACGTAAGAGCCGTGTAATAATTTCATTAACGATTCTTAAGTTAATAGAGTTCAGGGTGAAATTGTATTAGCTCGTATTACCTTGGTTTATTTTATTGTTTTCCTCTATCATTTTTTATGTATTAAAGTAATTTTTTTTCCCTCTCATCATTAAATCTGCATCTCCATTACCGTATGAAATTTTTGTTGCCAAAATTTACGTAATTTTACCTATGCGTAAGGATGAGTACATAAAGTTTTTTTTTTCATCATCGTCATCAAAAAGTCAAACTTGACTTTATGGCAGTTCATATTATTTGTATGAAGTTCAAATAATGATGGTACGATACTGACTGTGGTACGCTAAAGATAGTGAGGATGTCACAGGTGGCTGCAAACTGATGTCAGAACAGTTGAAATGACCAAATGATTAAGTTCGGCTATTGTCGTCTGCTGGATCATCCTTATTGGTTTCTTCCTTCAAGACGGGCTTTTCGCTGATTTATACGACGTGCCGTCGTCTAAATGATCATTTATGGCCTAGCACTCTTTTGCGTATTATGGGTATTGAATCGAGAGCATGAGATTCGCGAAGATTGCTGGTTAACCGTGGGTGTGAATTTAGAAAAAAAATAGCTCATTAATTTTCATGATTTTGGAGGGAAAAAAATTATATTTTTTTTATTCTTCCTCAAATCATATATTATCGAGTATTCAAGAGTGCAGGTTTTGAGTGCTTAACTGTATCGGACAAGCGGGTACTAATTGGCTATATTTTAATCGGCTAACAGCATCAATTAAGCCTTGAGTAATTACTGTAATTATAAGAACCCTCGCTCAAGCGACAGCCATACGTTAGATCGAATGCAGATTCAAGTACATCACGATTCTCATAAATTCGGTTTTCGCGATCGAGATAAATAATTGTTTATGTATTCGGACTGCGTTCAAGGTTCCAGAAATTTGGTACACGGCTGAATTTATAACGTGCATTTCGGTACCTAAGAATTTCTATAAGTAACGTCGGATAAGGAGAGAATCGAAGAGAGAGAGAGAGAGAGAGAGAGAGAGAGAGAGAGAGAGAGAGAGAGAAAGAGAGCGAAAAAAAAAGAAGAAATAACCAAAAGACGGGTCAATGAAAGTATCAAATACGTGAATCGAGTTCGCAAAGTTTCCCATATCCTGTAACACCCACACGTACATTTTTTGACCATATTTGGAAAGCCATGAATATTTAATAAAATGCTGAAAAATTCATTTAATAAAAAAAAAAGTAAGTCTCGCCACGACAACCAGAGTACATTTTCCTGTAAATTTATTCGATAAAATATTTAATGACAGTTTGACCTTTTGGGTCCTGACGGATTCTGCGTACTTTTTATAATTTTATGATAAATTATATATATATATTTAACAGTCAACAGATTTGAATATGTGCCGATGACAAGCATTGCCGTAGGTGTAGTTACATGTCGCAATGCATGTCCCCGTCATATTGACCTGTTAGAATCGAGTGAAGCTTCGACGGGACTCGACGTTTTCGTCGTCATCGTCGTCGTCTATGGGGGAGACACCAGCGTCTTCAGTATGTCACATCTAGCACGTCGCAAGGTTTCGGCTTTCGTATAAAAGCGAGTCTTCGTCCAGTCCTTCCTAAGATACGACAAATCAGCACCGAAGACATCAGACATGGACGCCTTGGTGAGTCGGACATGTGTCAGATATGTCAGTACATTTCGAGCGGTGTGTCAAGTATTTTCGATATTTTGTCTTTAAAGAAAAATCAGTATCTATACGGCATTAGTTCGTGTTAAGTGTTGCCTTTTGTTACCAGTGTCGCCTTGGCAACGGATGACCGATAGGAGTTTTGAAATTGACTTTACAATTTATTATTGCGTAATGGATATGCATGAGTAATCTTTTTTTTTGAAAATTATCGTATGTAATGAGTCGATGTTGGAGAGTAAAAGAAAAAGTGAAAAGATATTACACCATAGTTATATGCTTGTTACATAATCGTTCATTGACACCTCAATGACACGGGAACGTCGCATTAGGCTTTTTTCACATACAAATCTTTTTTTTTTTCACGAGTTCGGCGAACTTGTCTTATCAATGATTTTACGGTGAAAAATTTTTCTAGCAATTTAGTGTAATAAGTGAAAATGTGATTGAGCATTTTTTCTTCTTCTGATTTTCATAACCTATCGGAAATTTCATGTAAGTGTCGTGGGCTCATTGTTACTCGAGTATTTTCGTGTAAACGGTGGAATTGGCTGAAAATATGTATTTTGACATTTTGTTAATTCTTTGAGATCTGATGGAAACTTGCTTGACTCTCTCTTAAATACACAGCCGCGCATAGCGGAAGAGCAATTGTTTGTCTAGTCTCGTTAATAACGAACCTGACAACCATTCTACAAATTTACTATTGAGTCACGCGGTAGTCGCATCGATTCTGACTAAAAAAAGATACAGCAAAATAGTGCAATTTACATGTAATGTCGGGAGTTTAATAATTCTTAAAATTGTCATCTATTATTTCAGAAATCATCAATTCTCTTAGCTCTTCTGGCAGCAGCTGCCGTCGCGGCGCCCGTTGACAGTGAGACGCCGATTTCAATTTTGAGTCGCAGCGAAGACGGTCCAAATCCGGATGGTTCCTATGCCTGGAGCTTCGAAACAGCCAATGGAATAAAGGCCGAGGAACAGGGTCAGCCTAAGAAGGTTGACAATGCTGAAGATTCAAGTCTCGCGGTCCAGGGCAGCTTCAGTTACAAATCTGAAGACGGTACACCGATTTCCCTGAGTTACACCGCAGATGAAAATGGCTTCCAACCTCGTGGCGATCATCTCCCGGTAGCACCAGAAATTCCCCCGGCAATACTTCGCGCCCTGGAGTGGATCGCCGCTCATCCTGAGGAAGACAACTTGAGAAAGTGATTGGCTGATGGATTATCTGTGATCGATTACGTTCTGGTTATGGGCCAATCTTGAATTCAACTAGGAATTTTGTTTGGATGCTTAATATTAATTTATAAGATTCCTCGAGCGTTGTATTATTCTATTGGATCAGTTCTAATCGATATTGATTAATAAGATTGATCGGCTCGAAAATGGCTGACGATTTTACAGTCATTTTAAAGTCGATCTTGTAAATATGCATATAAAACTGTAATATCACGATAAAAAACGTTTATATTAAACGGCCTGTTTTGAATTTACATATCTTTTTGTATTCCAGTATTCATTCATCGATATCGAGCCAATACCAATCAATGAATTTTAGGATTAGGGGATAATCGAATAGCGGATAAACAGTCCTTGAGAAAAGTAATAATTTATTCTTAAAGCGTCTCGCATGCTTATGAGATTATTTCTAAGCAAGTCGAGGTTACTGTTTACCATTTCGTAAAACGACTTTTGAGTAACGTAAGAGGCTGGCAAAAAATATTTTAAAAATACACGTAACTCTTACTTTCAATGGCCAACAGCATCATTCATCTTATTCTCACCATAGGATATTTTATCATCCATACTCAATGAGTCTGCCTGAGATTTTAGCAGGTTCTCGGACGATCAACGAGAATATCACCGAGTGCTGCCCATGATGGTCCGTTAACTTTTCCACGAATGTCATATTTAATCATCTTGAATTATCCATAGCTTGTTACAAGATTCACTCATCCCTGGCTCGATCCAGACATGCTACAGTTAGTTGGGTGATCATTGTAATCAGTTTATACCCTATTATAGGATATAGAGTACATAAATTATTGCACAGCAAAGAAAGTGAATTTGGTACGGTAAAGGCCAGCCAGGTCATAGGGATGCGAATTACGGTATCTAAGATGATCTGGACCAGAAGATCTAATTATCATTTGCCAATAGCTGGCTATCTTATATCCCAGTTACTTTATACAAAGGAGAAAGTTCATCTTCCTAGTTCGATCTTAAACTCCTGAACTCTTCCTTGTCACGATTCATCTTGGAATTCCTGACGCCCATTATATCCAGCCAGTTGCACAATTTTTGTTTTTATCAATATACTCGAATGCAAGGTAATAAATTGTTAAAGGTTACGCCGGGTGTGTGTAAAAATATATCCAGCGACTTTTACTATAAATAGTATTTTTATTATGAATAATCTAATTAAGTCACTATATTGTATCAGCCAATGATCGTTTAGAATTGTTCAGATTCTCTGAACTTTTCTTAAGGACGATGAGTGTTTCCCAGAGTGCTAACAATAGGTTGAGGAACTGGATGTGAACTGGATGACGGATTAGGGTGGACCTTATATCCATTTTGATCAGCAGTATAAGTCATGTGTACAGGAGTGCCGTCAGGAGCGATCCATTGGAAACTACCCACAACAGTGCCATCTGAATTTCCTTGTGCACTGGCCTTTATTCCATTTTCAGTTTCGTATTGGAAGTTAAATGAACCATCTGGTAGCAAGTCCTTTTCATCTTGAAGAATGCCGACAGGCTTGCCAACGATGTGGGATACATCAGCCAAGCAGGCACTGATGCAAAGGACAATGGCGAGTACCTGGAAGTCGAAGAAAATAATTAATTGGTATTCGTTAATGAGTCTTTTATGTTAATTGAATACAAATTCATGTTTTATTGTTCTTTTTCTTTTTTAGAGGTCTAAGAATCTGTCAAAAGTCACTCATTGATCATTAACAGTAAGAGGGTTGGCTATGCTCACCAGAGACTTCATGATGTGAAAGAGGAAAGAACTGATCTGGCTTGATCATCCTAGCCGAGTTTATATAGAGGCAAATGGTCGCCCCAACCATTCTACCAAATTTTCGACACGTCACTTGTACAATGATCCTAAATGTCATAGCAGTTGTTGGGTAAACTGGTTTCCTGATCTTCAGCAGGTGACCTTGTTTAAAGAAGTTGATGAATTCGAGAGGAAATAGGTTGAGAATGCATTGAATCTAAGAGAAATGAAAACTTGACTATGCATTAAATACAATGTACAATAGAAATAATGGACGCTGAGACTTTCGTTCCTTAGACACAAAATTGATAGTGGTTAGAACAACTGATGTCTGCCTTGAAAATGTGTATAGGTAAATATCTATATGTACGTAGGTGCGACTGCACTGTGTAGAAAACGACAAAAAAAGAGAACTAACAGTTAAATTAAAATTTGAGATGTCCTCCTTTGGAATCGACTGCTTCTCCAAACACCTGGAGTTCGTTGACATAAACGAATGCAGCTTTATCACTTCCGCCGTGAAGCTGCATTTTAATCAGGCTCTGAAAAGATTACACAGAGGCTGTATATGCATATTATGTGGATTCCTCGGATGGACTGCGTAACATTTGCGGTCGACAAACTTTTGGATTTCGAAATACAAGCAAGTTATCGTGAACTGGATGTATGGCGTTGTACACCTTTTATTTGTACATTAGAGATTTAAATCAACCGTTATTATTCATAAGGGAAACTTTTTTTTTAATCTTCTGTTACTGACTTGTGTTTTTATTTGTATTAATATTTTTAATCTATTACGTAATAAAAATATAATCTATCACTAAGCAACGTGTGACAGATAAACTTTCTGTTTTGAAATTTTTATATTAATTTCGACATATGATGATCATGCCATTTTGGTACAGTGGTACTTCAATAGCTCGAACTTCTATAACTCAAAAACCATCATAAGACTAACAATCTTCGAATTTTCTAATCCTTCACTTCTATAGGTTAAAAACCCCGATAGACTGAAACTACGGTAACCCGAAGTATATTTCGTTTCCCGCGAGATTCGAGTTATCGAAGTTTCACTGTAGTTATAATTGGATTTTGGAAATGTGCAAATATTTTGAGACTGTTATTTTTTCACGTAATGAATTTCAATTTATATTTTGAGGTGACAATGTGTTTGCACTTTCATGTCCTAATAGAGTCTTGGTAAATAATGATTATTGTGTAATCACAGCTGATGGTACTATTATTAGATTTAACGATCTTTCATATTTCTCAATATTGATTCCTTGCTCGATCGAAGAATACGTCAGTTAATGAACCCCGAATCGACTATTGCGTGTTTAATTCGTAGAAGACAAAATTGTAATTGAAATCAAAAATTTCTATCTGAAGAAACTTATGGCGAATTTAATGCCTAATCTATCAAAACGTATGAGACGTGTCGTGATTGTATTCGTTAAGCGTTCCAATTCTTTATTTTCAGTTCTTCGAATTTGCTTACGTTTCTGAATGGTCATTTTGCCAGTCATTTATCAACTGAATAATTCTAAGTATTGATTGATTATGTTCAATACATGATGCAATGCGATCAAAATAATAAATATCAATGATTATAAAACTAGATAACTCCTGAACCTAGTGAATTTTTCATCATCGAATCATTCACGGTTGCCAACCGGTAGGAGCAATTATTAATAATAAAATATGCACAGACTGACTTTGATATGCAAATTCTTATATGGAATACAAATGACATATTTGAACATATGCAATCGGTATCAATATGTAAATTTTATTGTACAGCAACAAAGAAAAGGTATAAAATAATGATTAAAAAAAATCCTTTTTATTATGCATTTAGCCATACAAATTTGTTAGCTGTCCAGATTTAACATAAGACATACAAACAGATATAATTTTTATGAAGTATAATTTTTCCAATAAATTTTCAAGAAAATAAACATTTTTCCCATATAAATTTTATAGTTAACCGTGTTCATTTTTGCGAATAATGGCCACGACGCCACGAAGCAATGCTGCGAAGTAAATGTCAAGTGGGTCCAGTTGCCGGTAATCGCTAATCAGCAAATCCAACGCGTTAAGTCGCGTTTGCACGAGGCGACGAGAATCGTGTTCAGGCGAGTTCGCGATCGTCTTGTGTAAGACTAGCAAGAAGATGCGTCCCAGAACGACCTTGACATATAACATCTTAAGAGTGACTGCCTGCGTACTCGGTCCATGGCGACTGGATGCAATTCATGCCGAATTCAATTTTACTTTCATCCCAGCTAACGGCTTGATTTTATCGCTCGAATCACTTGGCACTCATTCATATACACAGATATACCTGATTGTACATAATGACCAGAGCCTTCCTCAGTTGATTATACTATATTTTTTAATAACAATAATTTCAAGGTTGCATATTAAAGCTTTATGGAAATAACAGCAAAAAAACATATATTTTTCAGATTTATGCATATATTGCAGATGCACATAAAATATGAACAGCAATACTCACCCGTGCTTTTAGGTAGACGTAATGGCGATAAAGTATGTGATAATTGTGAAGTGAAGAAAAAATGATAAAAGTAACTTCTCTGGCTAGTGAAAGCGGATTCGTAAGTATCTAAAGTGCATCCTATAGTCATGCTCTATGTACATACATGAACTATATGCACACGTATAAGCATATATTACGTTGATCACGCAGATTCTGTAATTTTGTAATATTTTTGAATATCATTTGTGTCTTACCTAATGAGAAGTACTTAGGGGAGATATAAAAGTTCTTCGAATGGTCGCTGCAAGACGATCCTGTTGTAATATTTCCAATATAAAAAAATACGATTGCCGTCAACAAACTCTGCTGAACGAGTGCCTGGTTTACACTTATGTCCACTTGCATATTCGCACACATGAAGATTATCAATAGCAAGTTATTTATCCGAAGTAACCTGTATGTTCGAGTATTTTCATCTTCTGACATTTGGCCCCACCTAGTTGCATCTACGACTACATCTGATGGGTGCCTATAAATGTCCACCAGTGAACAGCAGTTCGTAGAACACAGCAAACATTACCGTTATCAACATGAAATTCGTAGTAAGTTATAAGAGTCAACGGAGAAATAGGTTAAGAAGGAAATAATTGCTATTTCATATCGCCGTTATTTTCTCACAGCTACTGGCCGGTATCCTAGCGACAACTAGCGCCGCCGTGGCAGCAGCTGGAAGTGATAAAGACGCGCCAATCGAGAATCAAAAATTGGAAGTTGGTCTGGAAGGAGAATTCACGAATGAATGGTCCGGCAATGGGATATTGATAAAGGAACATGGAACCGGAAAGAAAACTGATAAGGAGTTGGCTCAGGTCATCCAAGGTTCAGCCAGTTGGACCGCTCCAGATGGCCTTGCCATCGAACTAAAGTGGACTGCCGATGAAGCTGGTGCTGTTCTCACTGGTTCTCATTTGCCAACTCCTCCACCTCCTCAGGCAATTCCGGAATATATTTCCAAGGCAATCGAATGGTCAGCTGCACATCCATACGACGAAGAAGCAATTCTCAAGAAAAAATATTAAACTGTTTACCAAAAAATGGATCTCTTGCGCTTTTTCAAAATTTCATAGCGCTAATCAACTGCCCTAGCAACTGGTTCTGACAACGTCTTACGTTCAGTTAGAAAACTCTCAACTGTTATATATGTATAAATTTAATGTAATAAATTTCATCTAACAAAGGATATTTTGCATGCATCTGTATTGTTAATTATTACTAAATCCAACAAATTTATTCTTTATACCAATTAATTATAATTATTAAATTTTGCATGGTATTGCAACTGGCTGTTATATGACAATCCCGTGTATTCCGTATGGCTGAGTATGCAGTTGTGAATAATTACAGAAACGGCTAAAGACGGTAATGATCAATAAGAAGCAAGAGGAACGTGGACAGTAGAAAGTAAGAAGAATAATAAGAAAGTCCAAGCCGTTAAAATGATACTTCTATTTAGAAAAAAAAAAACATTTTCCATTATATAATTTTCTTAGAGGCTATTAACGCTCATTGAGTATGTGCTTGATGCTCCAACGTGTAAACAGTTGGAACTGGCGTAATATATATTATATTAATTTCTCTATTTTACCATTGTTTCCTATCGTTGTGTCTTTGTCATAAAGAACAATGAATGATTCGCGACTGAAGAAGTTAGCTAAGACGCGACTATTTATATAACCATAATTACCCGTGTGTAAATAGGAACTATTGGAGAAATTCAATACGTCATACACTATTAATAGAAATCATTGATTATAATGACATTGTAATAAAAAGTGATTTGATAGGTGAATTGACCTTCTGTTTATTTATATATTCTTCCTGTTACATTATTATACGATGTCACTTAAAAGAATGCACTTTGATTAACTATCGAATCCTATAAACGGTTCCTAATAAGTTTGCTTTGTACGGAAAGAGGTTATGTTGAATTCAAGAGTAACGAGATTCTTCAAAGATATCGATGACAGAGATTCTGAATTATGTAAAAACTACACTTCCCCTTTGACACGCAAATAACTCTCATCCTTGCAACTAAACGCATTTATTAGCAACTGCAATTGCGAGGTTGCATTTCACTATGGAATGCCAATTGCAATTGTTTGGAGGTTTCTCGGTGATCTTTGACCATACGCTGGAGGTTATGAGTCATAAATTACCTTTAGGGATGTTTCGCCTCTATAGGAATTGCCCATTTGAATTTCATAGTGCAAATATTTTACTAGAAATAATCGGTAGCCATAAGTCCCTGCCGTACGTGTATATTGTAAAGTTCGTCTTGCCGCCATAGAAGTGAATAAAGTAGGCACGGATACCATTGTGAGGTTAAATCTATGGGGATTTGCAATGGCAGTTATGGTCGTGCTGTGCGTGATTATTGATGTAATCTTCGAGAAATCGTTAAATACTTATTGGTGAATCACTATACTCTGTTCGACGTTTTACCATATGGATAATGATAATCCTTCTTGAAGAGCTCCGTGTAAAGAAAAAACTGAACAATTTGCAGCTAACTTTAAGAAGGAGTCGTATACTGCAGTTTGACCTAAGAGTAATTCCTCTAGTGAAGGGTGCTTCTGATGCTGTGCAAAATGGTCTCGTGGTAGACCGTCGTCTTCTTGGATGACCTCAAGAAATACTTTCCGGGGGCCTCGACCCTCAAAGTAATAACAAGTGTAATTGCTATGCGTTCAATAGAAATTTATCTAATTATGAAGGAAACCATCTTATGCTCAACCCCTAGGGGACCAGTTTCACCAATGTTAACCGAAGTTTAACCGGTGAGATGTCTGTATTCCTGGATCTTATTAGATAATCTCGACAGTTGAACCTCTGTTAACTTTGGTGAAACCAGCCCTAGATTACTTGGAAAATAAAAATCCAGCGAACAAGGTGGCGTTTTTGTCGAATCCTTTATCAGGATCAGGACCTAGACCGTGACTGGGGTTGGCGTTGGAAAAAAAAATTGTTCTAAGGTAAGGTATTTATGACAATTGAGTAAGAAGCATCTTCAATCGGGGACCTGATGACATTTAGCCAGTGTGTGACATGGTGATCCCCGGGAAGGTAGCCGGTGATGAACAGTGTGTTCTTCCCATACGTGCATCATTCCTTTCCACCACGCATGCACCGGGTGCATTACTGCAGATACTCGACGTACCCCACGTCGAAGATCGTTGAAGATGGTGGCCGTCAGGAACGTACAAAGGATGATGGTATTAGTGACGCCTCCGGGATATATAAACGACTGCTGCTGGAGGCTCTGATAAACACTTGCCCGTCAACAATTACTGCTGCAGCATGTACGCCATATTGGTAAGTAACGCCATATTGGTCATATAGGAGTTTTTCACATTTTCTAGTTTTTCCGTATAATCCCTGTATTCTTGAAAATTCCAAATTTACCACTCGAAATTTACCCCAAAGAAAGGATTCTTAACGCGAGGGTAGTTTTTATCACGGATTCATCAAATGCATTTTTTTTAAGTAAAACATGTGTCCTTGTTTACAATAGTGCATGCGCAGTACTATATCTTGTGAAAATTTAAATATTTTATTTTCTATCTATTCCATAAATAATATAATCATTATAAATAATTATTTATAAACGCCATATAAATTACGCCATCTTTGATATAAGCGTTTGATTAAAATCTTGCATCTGTCTGGAACATCAAACATCAATAAATCTTTTACCCGTTAAGGAATCACGTAATTCTGATGACCATGAGGGATAAGGCTGTTTTTCTACAATCTAAATAGTGTAATAGTTATTAATGATCGTATAAGTATATTAAGAATTCTCAATCAACTTTCATAGTACACAAGTCAAGTAAGAATCTTGAGTATATGTATAATAAATAAATAAATTTTCCTCAGATAACCCTGGTGGTCCTAGGAAGCTGTGCTGTGGCGGCACCAGTGGACGAGCCAGTTCCCATAGTCAGTCAAACACAAGAAGGACCCAATCCAGATGGCTCGTACAAATGGGCTTATGAGGCAGGAAACGGAATCAAGGCCCAAGAGGAAGGACAGTTAACAAATCCCGGATCAGAAAACGAAGCCAATTCTGTGAAGGGTGGCTACAGCTATACTGGCAGCGAGGGCGAGACAATAGAGTTGACCTACGAAGCCAACGAAAACGGTTTCCAACCCCGAGGGGCCCATTTGCCAACAGCTCCGCCAATTCCTGAGCTCATCCAAAAGGCCCTAGATTGGATCGCCGCGCATCCCTCCAAGGAAGATGCCAACAATGTGTAATTTCACCAGGATACGATTTGATCTCAAAGCCAGTGCCGAATATGCCGACCCATAATTGAACCAGACACCAGTGTGTTTTTCTATTCCTTTTTTTTTAACATATTTTTTTAACTGACTCTTGGTCTTTACTCTTCTGCACGACCCTCGACTCGACTCGTTGATCCGCCGCGCCCCGAAAACTCTTCTTCGAGCATTTCGATTCGCTACTGTGCGTTGTACATATTTATTATTTTATTTACTACTATTATACATTATTTACCAATATGGGTGTGCCGTGGATTTTGGATTATTAAAAATTCACAAAGCAGCCGTCCTGTGGATGAATAAATGTTGCATTCCAAGAAATAAGATTTTTTTCGAAATATTTTTCAGACCACCGTCCCAAATTTTCGTCCGAAAAATTTGACATTTTTAAGAACACTCACCTATGTGTGTGTATAATTTTGTTCGAGTATTTATTTGCAAAACATCTCGTCCGCTTTTTAAGCACTCGACACTCTTTTGTGTCGTAAGTTCCAATGACTATTAATTCAAGTACCGTGTAACAGGTACTTGAACCGAGCTAAGTGAAAATTACCTTCCAATTTTTGATCGGCTACGATTACTATCTGTGGACTTTTTTTTCATCATCAATCGGCCACGCCGTTGACATTTCGAGAGGATCACACAAGACGGCTAGGCTAGTATTCTTTGTAACGACAGTATTATGTAACTGGCTGCTGAATTGACATTTGAACGCCCCTTCAGCTAAACTTCAAGATCGAATCGAGTTGGGAGTATAAAAAGGACGTCGCAGCTTCCCAAAATATCAGTCTTTGCTTCAGCAGAGGATACTCAGAACTAAACCACCGTCATGAAAACTGTAGTAAGTAAAGATATAAAGTAGCCCGTCATACATTTAATGTTTACGTAATAATTATATAATTAAATGTAATTATAGATTTTCGTCACCCTTCTGATCGGAGCCGCCATGGCTGCTGATGACAAGACTGCACCAATCGAGAGTCAGGTCAACGAAGTAGGTCTCGAGGGCAACTTCAAGCAAAGCTGGACCGGAAATGGCATCGCCGTCCAGGAACAAGGTACCCTGAAGAATGTTGGACAAAAGGATGAGGCTCAGGTTATCCAGGGTGGAGCCAGCTGGACTGCTCCAGATGGTACTCCTGTTCAGATCTCCTGGTCTGCTGATGAAAATGGTGCCAACATCCAAGGATCCCACGTACCAACTCCACCACCGCCACAGGAAATTCCAGCTTACATCCAGAGGGCACTCGAATGGGCTGCTGCTCATCCGTACAACGAAGAAGCTGAACTTAAGAAGACCTACTAAACTAACTGATATACAACCGGAAGTGACCAGCTTGTGACAGAGAATCGGATTTTGTTTCAATCGTTAATGGCTATTGATGCTAGGCGTGCAGTGAGATTCCTGAGATTGCAAGTGGGCAAGAACACAGAGTTTTCTCAGAGAGAGTTATTTTTTAGTTCAATTCTGTAAATATCTTGCTTTTGAATAGAATCGATATGCACAGATAATGTTTGCTATAAAATAAAATACGTTTTGATAAGAAATATGAATTTTACAATAATTTTTACTCGAAAGTAACAACCCATCATTTTTGAAATTTTAAAATGTATCTCCCTGGTAACAGCAAGAAAGTTTTGCATATTTACTTCAGATGTTAGCACATACCGGTCTGCGCTTTGACAAGAATTTGCCACTTTCCTTTTCGCCAATTATGAATTATAGGTACAGTCAAAGAGAATTAGCAACAATTACTATTCGTTATTGTCTATTACCAGATATTACGTATCAACAAGTTGTCCACGATATCTACTTAACGATATTTATCTATCGTTTGACAATTATCTATGATAATTTCTAAAGATGTTTTATTATCTCGGTATATCAAAAGACAATAATAACAATTGAAAATGAAGCCATGCAACATTAAAATAATTTCAAATTTATTGTATCAGTAGAAGATAGTGTACGTATGAACATCATGAAAGTATTCAAATAAAGAAGCCAGTTCGCATCAGCTGGAAGCTGTCTGAAGAATTCTACAGCGTCGCGGAGCGTCCATCCAAGAAACTTTCGCAGTCCGACAGTTACGAAATCTTTCTTAGCCGCAACGCGATCGCTGACCTCAATTTTATATTCCTATAAAAGATCATGAATATACGTGCGTCTACATATGATAGCTGAACATGGAAATATTTTAATAAAGGGGATCGTTAAAATCATTGAAAATATCGACCAGTGATAGCATCGTAGAAAAAAACGCAGTGAAAAAATATAAGTATCTATAAGCTACAAATAAATTTCGTACATTTACTGTTCAATATTTGTAACATATGAGAGATTAATAGAGAGAGATTATAGAGAGATCAATAAGACTTTCAGCCTTGAACCTGATCTCATTTACAGTCATTCACTAAGTAGTAGATCTCGTTTAGTTATTACCAATTAAATCAGGTTTTCTGTATTAACTTGGTTTTCAAAAGAATTAATGTTATATTTAGTTAACGGTTTACTTATTGTCACGTATGTATAAAAATGATGATAAAATGACGTAACTTTGTGTATGATGATCCGTCATTACTATATAAAATCAGTAAGATCATTCTTCCACCTTATATAACACCAGTGAGGACTAAACGATAATAAACTTGCGAAACGCTTTATAGAAAGGTGAAATTTGGGGAAATCAGTAATTTACTACATTTCGAGAGTAAGATAATTCTTTTAACAATTAAATGTAGGCAGTTTGTGATTTATTATTTGACAGTATATTCATATAAAGGGATTTAAAAAAAATGAAAAAAAAACCAATTCGGATAATTTCGTCAATCGTGATGGTCAAGTAAAATTTAATTGTCTTCCTTGGAAGGATGAGCGGCGTTCCATGCCAGAGCTCTTTGGATTAGAACAGGAATTTCCGGGGCAACCGGAATATGACTACCCTGGAAGACGGCGCCATTCTCGTCGGCGTTCCAACTGAGCTGAACGGGGACACCATTGGGATCTGTCCAGCTGGCGGCACCCTTGATGACCTGAGCTTCGTCCTTTGTTCCAGGATTCTTCAGAGCACCTTGCTCTTGTACGGAAATTCCATTGCCCGAGACCCACTTGGTACTGAATGATCCATCAGGACTGATATCCTGTTCCTGGCTCAGGATCGGAATGACTTTTTCCGAAATGTCAGCCATGACAGTCGCCACGAGGACACAGGAAATAACGAAAAATGCCTTCATCTTGAATTACGTTGTCTCTTGATACTTCTTCTTGTGACAAGATTTTTTTCTGGACTTCCTATCCACTTGGGCTTAGAATTTCTACTGACTCCCATAACAATTTCTAGGCTTTTTATACTGAGGAATTTCCTGAAATGTGATTCGGGATTTCGTAAAGGTCATCAGGTCCCCACGACTATTAGGTGTTGGTTCCTCAATTCTCACTATGGAGGTGGAAATAGGCCGTATCGTTCGAGCAGCTTCATATATAATGCATTTGACATTAATGAGTATGACCTATTATGGATATGAGGACGCTGTCAGATAATTGTGACTAAAACACCCATGGATTAATATTTAGCTTAGACCTAAAATTTATTTAAATAATAGTTCCCAGTGGCCCATCACGTGGCATTGGATATATGCAAAGATCACAATCCCTGAAACTAAAGGAATTTCAATAAAGCAACATTCGATAAAGTGTCATCATAATTCTTTATTTACATATAAAAAATCACAAAACGTGTACATGTTTATATCCTTTGAAAGAAGTGCATCGCGCTCGAGTGACAGGAGCGCGTTGCACCGAGGCAAGAAGTGCATCGTTGTATGAACGATTGAAAGTTGTAATTAAATATTTTATAAAGAAGATTTATCACGCCTGTGACACGGGAATTAAGTATCACCATATTCCAGTGAAAGAGGTTATGCGTATATAATCATGTATAATAAATCATACATGTATAACGATAGAATTTTGTTTTTTCTTCTTCCATATTGTTACGATGTACTCTATTATAATATATTCATACTATAATTATTTCAATTATTTTATATATGCATCGGAAGCTCGGGTCGGTACTGTCCATGGCAAGCTGGCTCCTTAGGTCAGATCACGTTCACGGAATAATTCAATTGATTAACCTGCGTATAAAATAATTTCAAGTAATACAAAATTCAAAAATATATAAATAGTAATCACGATAACGCAATCAATTAAAATAATCAATTCTTCTTTTTTTTTAACCTCTCTGAGGTGGTCTGCCCTGTCCAGCGTCGTCTTCTTCAGGATGAGCTGCATTCCACTCGAGCGCCCTCAGGATCTCTGGAGGAATTGGTGGCGCCGTTGGGATATGGGAACCCTGAACCTGGAAGCCATTCTCATCCGCGATGTAACTGATGCTGACCTGCTGACCGTCAGGTGCAGTATACGAATCTTGACCTTGAGCAACGACAGGAGTTTCGCCATCTACGGACTTTGGCTGTCCCGATTCCTGATGACTGATCCCATTGCTTGTCTCGAAGCTAAATCATCATTAATCACTAGTCAATTCCACGCAGCCACGACTAATGATTAAATCATTTAAAATGACTTACTTGTTCACATAATTCCCATCGAAATTAACTTCAAGCTGTTGTGAGGTGATCACTGCGTCTTTGTCAGCACCACTGTTTGGCCTCTGAGGTGCACAGAGGGTCCCTGTTGCACATAGTGCAACCGCCAGCAGCACCTTTAATTGAGAAATAATTGTTAATGAGCAAAGGAATGCAAGGGTAGTCATCTGGGTTATTCCAGAAGGTGGATCCGTACGAAGGTCACGTCATGTAATGGGACTAGGATGTAATTCGTGAAAGTAAATGTAAAAGAGCATGTCTCTAATGGCAAAGGGCACCAGGCGAGCAAAGGATTGTAATGCTCTTTTGTTTTCGCGTTCCATCATTCCATCATTCCATCATGCCTCTCTTCTCTTGTTCTCCAGTGGAAGCTGACTATTACGTCATCCGAGATGACATTATGAAATACGGCGTAATCGCTGTAGCTTGGTAGGCAGATGGGTATAAGAGAGAAACGACTTCCCAACGCAGAAAAACTGCTTCGGTATTTTGACGCCAATGAAATTTCTCCGTAAAAATATTACATCCGAATTGCCTCGCCTTTTTCTTTAACACACACGAGCCACGTTTCTATCTATATATAAAGTTTGCTTTTCTTTATCTATCTCATCTATTTTCAATGTATTATCCTTTTCTTTCACTCTCTTTACTTTCGTAAGTCCCACACAGTCTCATCACGCCATTCACATTTACTTCGTCTTCATTCGCTTCGCCACTGCGCGCGATTTGCTTGCGAGGCTCTCATGCATTATTGCGCAATGATTTCGCACTCGTGATACGCCACTTTCGCACGTGATTTATCCATTTATCCTCGGGACGAATTCTCATTTTATGGTGCATCCCCTTTTTTTTTCTCTTTATTCCTTTTCTCTTCTTTCAGTGATTCTCAGGTAGATCGGGAGACATTCTTTTTTTTAAGTCCATTCATACCTTTTTAGCGGGATTGGAATTTATCATTGGATTTCACATGGGTTATCATGCACTGAAATTTTCTCAAATTGTAATTGCGTATGATTTCCAAATAACGTGTAGAGTGAACATTTTTTGAGATAATTTTATATAAATTATGAATATATATATATATAGGGTGACTCGGAACAAACACACCACCTGAAGATGGTTCCACCATAGAAATCAAGTGGAAAAGCAAACTTCGGGTGATTCATTTGTCGTAAACAACCCTGTATATGGTTAAAGGTCGCATAGTGGATTTAATCGAGATGCTGCAATAATTATGCAGGAAATATTACAAAATTTATGCATATCTGTCATAGTAATTTTTTTCTTCAACATGCACTATTACGTGATGACGATCATAATGCCTGCAGTATGGAGAAGTGTTATCGAGTCATGATTACGAATAAAAATTTGTTAGCGATTAATAATCATAATTGTCAGGATGATCCTTCATATTTACAATAAAACGATGCGAGTGATTAGTATAACGTCAATAGTATGGAAATATTCTGTCCTTTTTTAAAAAAAATTACAAAGGTTGCAAGAGACATTTACCATTTTTACTATTACTACTCTTACTATTACTACCACCATTATTATCAGCCATGATAGAATAATTTTATTACTTCGCAGAAGTTATTGATGTATGCAACGTCATTGACGAAACCTATCATTAAGACTGATTCGAGAAATCGTCCTATCTGCTTCCGCGAGTTGGCCATTTTAAATTTCAATTTAGTAACCCACTACGAGATGATTTTTTTTTCCTCGATCCAAATACGCTAATAGGATCATTTATCGATAACTTCTTATCATATGCTATACGACAAATTTGATAACACAATATGATCTTATGGTACCATAAAATGTGCAGGTTAACACAGCATAGTAATGATGGACCAAAAAATTAAGATAAAATCTAAAGATCGGGTGCCGATATAAATTTTAATTCTATAAGATAATTTATTCATATTTAAAAAAAAGGTTATTTTTCCCAGATCTTAAGAGAAAAAAATTCGTTATCCTTATAAAAATACTCGAGTGAATGTCCACATTAAAACTTATGCACAGCCAAAGTGCATAATTCCAGATGCACTATCAGATCTTACCTTAAGAGTATACATAATCTCCGTGTGATAGCAGCAAGAAGTACTAGAGATGCTGATGGTTTGGTACTTGTGATTCTTCCTAAGAGGCGAGGCTCTTTATATACACAGCCCGATCCAACGTGGTGCAGTGAAAGGGGTCATCCCTGCCCTCTTCACAATGCACTTCTTCTGACCGTAGCATCCTCGGAAAACTGCAAGGCGAATGCGCTATCAGGACCTCGAACTCTTTCACATGTCTTCAGCTCTGAAATTCAGTAACGAACGACTGACAAACTCCATACATCAATGCAGGAATAATTAAAATTATTTATAAAAAAATTACAATTACCAAAGAATGCAAACTGCATCACGTTGAACAATTAGTACCTTGACTGATTACATGATTTCCATGATAATCACCTCATTGATAAAATCCCATTAGAGATACACAACGTACGATCCATGGGTATCATAGTCCAGATCCAAAATGGTTTCTTGAATTTTGTAACAATGGAGGTGATCCTGAGATGCAAAATAAAAATTTTTGATACGAAAAACAGTTACGGCAAGGTATATTTAATTAAAAGAAGAAAAAAATTAAGATTAATCACCTTCTTCCTTATCATCATCGTTCCCTCGGCTGTTTCATTGAAGCTTCCATGGTGCAATACAGTCAGCTACTTTAATCGTGATCATCACGTAGATCAAGGTCGTCCAAAGTAATACAGTACAGATTCGATCCAGGAATGATTTCTGCCTGTGACAATAAATTATTATATAAAAGTCATTGTATTATATGGAATGTGCATTACTTGATTGAATGACGTACCTGGACATTATTAGTTTAACATGGAGAAGTAATGGGGTCGTGAAAGGTGAAACGGAACAAATGCCACTGTCCTTTCATACATAACGAGTAACGGGTAACAAGTAGTAATAATAATTGAAATCATTGATTTTCCTAAATGTTAATCTTCAATACGAAAAGTCAATTACGTGTGTGAAAACCGAAAAATATTTCCCCATAATTATTGTCATCCTCGTCCAGTCATTGTTACGTTTAAATGTAAAGACCATTACGTATAATAACCATATACTAATAATTTTAGTGCGAATAGTCATCGAGTGATGGCGCTGACTAACATTACAGTAATAACCAGACCAATTACTATGATAATTAGCATAGATTTCTATTGCTTCTATACTGTTATTATGATAGTACGTAAAATACACAGAAGTGTATATCAACAACTATCACTCTATCGATGATTAATTAATTTATTCAAATTAAATAATCGATCTGTTGTTCCGTGTTCACTTTGATAATTTTCCTACGACGATATTATAAATGCTAGTAAGGCGAGTTGTAATACAAGATGCAACATAACTGCATATGTACCATAGGACATTACGAAATAGCGAAACAGCAAGGCACCTTCTTCTTGCAGTTTTTAACATTAGTCACAGCAGGATTTGCCTCGCCTCGGGTTACTTGTCACAATTAAACGATAATTAAGCCTGCTTACATCTTAAACCTTTCCGTTAGCATTATGACCCTTACGCAATCCTGGTACTATTAAATAAATTGCGACCAGCAAAAGCCATTGGTATACCCATCGAATAATTAACAGAACTACAACTAATACTGAATAAAAATTCTACGTGAGATTCGTGCGATTAAATAAAGATTAATTAATTAATTGACTAACGCTAATTGTCTCGTTATTTATTGTTGCTGCAATTGTAGTGAATTACTGGGTTAGTTGGATTCAATTATTGATACTATCTGTAGCAGCTGACTGTCGTGGAATTCTCGGTTGGCTATTACATATGATTAGATATAAGATGTGTATATTAAGATATATATATAGTGTTAAGAATGGATTCTATAGTATGTAGTGCAGTAGTTTAGTCGAGTATATAGTAACGTAGTAGCGTGAAAGTGAACTGTCTCAAGGTCTGGGATAAGCCAGAGTTCCTATAATACTACATCGTTCTAACTAGACTTGTTTCAGACAGCTTTCAGATTGTTTCCAGACAGCGTGCCAAGAAGGCTACCGGTCACCAGCACGAGTGTGTACCTATTCGAGTTAATACCAATCGATGACTTTATCGGGTGAACGTACTTGTGGCAATAGATAAATTCTGTAACGATGGAATTTTTTTTTTAAATCCTTGACACTTTTTCCATTATTCTTAATCGTCCTGGATTCTTTTTTCACAATTATTTTTATTGTTATTCAAAATTCGAGATCTTTCATGTATTTCGTTTCTTTTGTTCAAGTAATCTAATACTAGTTGTACGTACTGTACAAAGAGGACGAGTATACTTGGAATCTAGTGTTGTAATGAATTGTCTTAAATGGTGGGCGGAAAATACAAGAAGCTACGCATTTTAATCGGCGTAGGTAAAGTATTCGTGTTAGGATGTCGAGAACTCTGGCTGCTTGACATTACAGTGGATATTTATATATATACACTGTGTTATGCATATATCATTGTAGAAGATCGATGACATTATACCTACCCGCCAAAACAATTTGTATTATTTCTATTGTGAATATCAACCGCTTATCCCACGTCATTTACTTGGCTCGCGTTTCATGTTTATTTTGAGAAGTTTCAATGAAATTTTACAATTAGATGAAAATTCAAGCAAATTTATTCATAAGTATATAGCGAGAGTGTCTAGGACGGATCAGATATAAAATGAGTCAATGGATTATTCCTTGATTGACTAAGAATTATTTTGTTTTCAGGCTAAGTTGAGGTTTCTGCACTTTTTTGATCCTTCTCCACGTAAGGATGCGCGGCAATGTATTCCAGGGCCCGTATCACCGATTGGGGCATTGGATGTGGGGTCGGGATATGTTCACCCTGAGGCTGGAATCCATTCTCATCCGCGACGTAAGTCAGATGAATTGATTTCCCGTCATTATCGGTCCACGACACGTCGCCATTTACTACAGACACGTCTTGATCCTCGACGTGTTTCAATGTTCCTTGTTCTTGGACCTTTATACCGTTTTCGGATTCCCAAACGTTGAAGAACGATCCATCCGGATTGACTTCTGATTCCTGGTGAAGAATGGCCACTGGTGATGTTGAAATTTCCGCTGATACGGATAACGCAATTAGGCATATGAATACCTGTGGAGAAGATGAAATTATTATTTTTTTTTTTTTTTTTTTTTTTTTTTTTTTTTTTTTTTTTTTTTTTTTTTTTTTTTTTTTTTTCAGGTAAGAGGTTTTTTTCATACGGAAACAAGGTGCAGCGTCTTTGGTACGCAAATAGCGACATTTCGAAAACGGTCTAGCTCGTAAAAATCATCAAATTTACTTCTGGTGTCGTTTACGGAATTACAATTGAGCATTTTACATTTTTAACACGGTTTAGAATCACATATTCGTTTTGATCGCTTGTGACATATTCCAACTTTTCTATTCGTAGTCTTTGCGAATACACGTTCGCATTTGAAGATTCTACGTTCATGGATCTTACTTTTGAGAAAAATTTTTTCAGTTTTGAATTTACTCTCTTTGGCATTTTGAAATTTAGTTACGTGCTTTCTCACCTATTGTCTCTGGAATTATTCGCAGGTTGTCTTATACATTACGTCATTGACTTCTGTTACTTCTCTACGACCTGATACGACCTAACCTAAAAATCCAAACAATCTGCTTTACAGTCTTATTTTACTTACAATAAGTTTCCCCATGTCTCCAGCACTTTGTTCTTTCCTTGCACTCGACCAAATGCAACTGACTGACCAAAAGGATGGGCTTCTTTTTATACTCGCTAAAATGTAAAACACTCAAAACGTCCTCCAGTTTGCTTGCTCATCTTCACCAATTCTTCAGTTATTTTTTCACTATTCTCATCACATACATATTATGACTGCATCTCACTTCTTTCCACTGTGGCTATACGTTTATCTACGATTCTTTTTCCTCTTTTTAGCATATCGCCGCTTATTATGCACCGTGAGTCAAAATACTGAATGCTCTCGGTCTCACGTTTCAATGCTGCGAATACAAACGTGGAGTCGACTGACTGATTCGTAGCTACGTTCATGTCTCGTCCTTGATTTTCGACATGTGTGATACGAAGATTCCACAGTCATTTTTTATCAAGTTTTTTGTACACTAAAAGTATTTCTCTCTTTTTATTAACAAAATAATTGTAATACGCGCCTCGTAATTTTCATCAAACCAATTTTTTTGACGTTTCAATAAAAATAGTTCCTATAATTGCCGTGATGGCGTTACGAACGTAAATATTTGAAATTGCTTCTACGTGTACGCGCATTCTCATAATATTTCAAGGGAGCTCCTTCATATTTTCATATTAGATATTTACGATGTTGCTTTAACTACTTGAGATCACTTCCGTGATACTATTTAGCCACCAATGATTTACATATAACATATATGTATACTCGTCTACCTGTAACGTCACATTTTTCTTTTATATCTTGATATCAGGAATAATGGGTTGCAGTATATCCACCCATATTTTATTTTGAAGTATTCGATATAAACGCAGCTTCACTATCATCGCGTGATCAACACAATGCATGGCGATAAAATATGAAATAGTTAAAAATAAAATAAAACTACGTAGATGCTGTCGGAAGGCATCTGATGACATTCTTAGGTGACTATGCGTTAACGGTTGCGGCAAGTTACATGTATTGAATTTTCATAAGTTACTGTACACTCTTCCTTTCGCATATTTGCTTAGATTTTCAGTTACACAGTAACGCCGTCTGTGAAGAGAATGTAAATACATTTAATTAGACGAACAAGAGTGTCGGAGAATATCGGATGCGATTTATTTAATTGATCACGACGCAGACGACGTCTGAATATTTTCGAATATATTAATGACGTAATGTCATTGAATTTATGTACGTTTTAGGAATCAGCTATATATATCACTGGATTAAAAATTTTTTGTTTTACTGTAACTAAAAGTCCTGTCGGAATTTTTTTCGAGTTTTTTTCTTTATTTCCTCATAAAAACTACTAAAAGTTAATAATGTTTTGAACACTGATGCTGCTTCCTTAGTATAGTAGTATAGTTAGTATAGTAGTATAGTAGTATAGTAGTATAGTTCTTTAGTATATTAGTATATTAATTGATCTATCCCGTTAATGATTGTATTATAAGAAAAATTTTTTGCATTGCAGATTACGAGTGGGGTAAAAACATAGTTTAAATAGAGTCAGATGTTTTTTAAAAATCATCGTCCATTTTTATATCGCGTTGATAAAAGAATATGAATGATGTAGTGAATATAGAATTTTAATACACTAATTGGATCTTATCATATATATAATATAAATAACAATGATTCAATAATATATAGTATGTATAACAAGATACTGTACCAATCTTAGCAACAAAATTTATTTCCCAAGTAATCAAGTATTGGTTAATGATTTAATTAATTATTTATTAATCAAATTCTAGTTCCGCTACATCTCTAGCTAGTGCACCAGCTGATCCGGAACAGCCCATCGCCATTATATGCCAAAAATCGAACATGGAATAGAACGGAAACTTTTGACAGTAAACATGAAATCACAAACGGAATTGCGGTGAAGGAACGTGGCAAGATAAAAGTTGTAAAACGATGAACCTCCGTCTTTTTTCTTTTTAATTATTCGCTACTACCAATAAAATTTGATCTTTACCTTCTACATGCAGCTTATCCGTTTATGCATACAGATGCTTTTTTTTGTCTGTGCAAGTTTTTCTTATTTAATCCTAAAAAAATACCAAGGACATTTGTTGCCATTCGCGTTGCATCTTGAGTATAAAACTAGTTATTTGGTTGATAGGCTTCTGGCGCTGATCCAAAGTCTCTAGACATGATTCAAGTCACGAGTGGCAGCGCCTCCTGAATTACACTGGATGGTACTACTATTAATCTTTCTGGGTAGCCGATGACAATGGATTCCAACCTATAGGAGTTGATCTGCCCAGATATCTGCCGAGCGAACCGCCGGTATTGAATTACATTGTGAAGGCCCTAGAGTGGGCAGAGAAACAACCTTACAATGAAACATTGGCTATGAAGACATCTGCGAAGAAAGTTTAGAACGTTCCGAAAACGCAACCAAATAAGCTCTATAAATACATATGTGAATATATATCTTCTGCTTCTATTATTATAATGATATAAATTATTATTAATATACATATATATAGCAGAATGTCTATTTGTTTGTATGTTCGCTATTAACTTGTAAGTCAATTAACAGATCTGGACCAAATTTTGCACAGTTACTCTTTAGGAGCTTGTATTCTATGTATAAGTTCGTGCAATACCGGCAAATTAATCATAACATAGATATTCCTTATAATCGTTATACCTTTGACTCAGTTTATTTTATAAGTTTTTATTTTGTAGAAACTTAGAGTTATCAATATATACAATCAGATCTGGTATGATTCTTTAGATTACTGAAATCGTGTAATAGGTAACAAAAATTGAGCAATGTTTCAGCAAGAAATGAAAATCAAAGCACTCTCGTTGCAGACACAATTCCAGTCAAAGTTAAACGTATTCAACTTTCTCTCGTTATCGTTATTTATTGTGTTTATTTATGTCATCACAGCCGTATATTTGTCATATTTAAATTTCCTGAGAAGCTGGCGCAGCCTTAGGTAACTCTGTAGACTGAGGATGAGTAGCTATGAATTCAAGAGATCTCTGAATCGCAGCTGGAATTGGTGGTGGGGTTGGTAAGATGGAGCTTTCAGGCTGGTAGCCATTTTCATCAGCCGTCCAGCTGATTTGAACTGGAGTTCCGTCCGGTGCCGTCCAGGATGCTGTTCCTTGAATAACTTGAGCCTGTGTATCCTGATCGAGTTGCTTAAGCGATCCTTGAATTTGTTCGGAAATTCCATTTTCAGTTTCGAATTTCAAACTGAAAGTCCCATCTGTTCCAATGTCTTGTTCCTGGCTCAGTATGGCAATGGGCGCCTGTTCGACGGGAGCTGCATAACAGCTAACGGCCAATGTTGCAAATATTGCAAGAAACTAAAAATATAATTTCAAAAAATAAGACATAAAAAATTAATAAAAGAAGTAGCGACAGTTTGCCAATTGAGTACTTACGATTGGATTCATGATGACGATTAGTGGTATCGTGTCTCTGGGAGACTTGCACTTTAACTGACGTTGATTTGATGATGAACTGCCTCGAAAGGCCTTAATATAACTGGCCTGTCCCCACCCATCACATGTGGAATCACCCGTAGGACTTACCTAGCCAACCCTGAACCAAGTGTCAGTACATTACGATAATTAGTATGTCCTCGTTGGTTAATACCGCTTACTTTTTAGTTGGTCAATTCGAAAATCTGAGTATTCCTTGTGTTACTTAGAGAAATTAACATATATTACTCGTTGACAATATTCGCAAAGCGAAACTTATCACTTTTGAATATAATTCAAATTCAAACTGTAACATACATTAGCGCCATTTCTGACGGCGTCCGTGCGGTCTCTTTGGGAACTTTCAACGTGTTGCTACCCCAACGTATTGTAACGCACGTGTCATGTGCTCCTGATATTACTTAAGGATTTAGAAGACTCAACAATTCTACAACACCTTGATTGACACCTACTTATTCGGTGAGTGTTACCTAAAATTCATATTATATTGTCCATCTCTTATATCATTGTTTACGTCTAAAGGGATTCGTCTAAAAATAAAATTGACTGGAGGCTTCTAATACAATTATGGCGTTTGCCGTACAAGAATTAGTCTTTTTAATAATTCGCGTGACAATCTCTAGGTACTTTCTATTTCGTCTTTCAAGAGTTGCTGTCGATAATTTTTTCGTTTTAAGTAATCTCAGACAAAATTCTCTTTGGCGTGTGTCTGGCTCGCTAGAAAGTCTTTCGAGGCACGTGTGTCTGCACAAATATTCTTACCTAACGCGTAACGTCATAAACGAAACATCAGTGAGTTTAGAATCTTAGAAAAAGAAGAATTCAGAGTTAAGTCTGTCTGACTGTGAGTTTTCTCAGAGTAGGAATTTCGTGTAGGCATAATCATGACGACGAGAAAATTACCATCTCCCTTGAATCTCATCCTGTGGCTTAAACGTAATTCGATAATACACTTATTATTTCTGGTTTCGTTTCGCAATTTCGATTAGCATGACGATTCGATCGGAATATCACGGAGGAAGGCGTGACTGGCATATTCTTGTAATCGACTAGTCACATAGTCAACTATAAATGACACTTGCCAGCATCCTGATTTCCTCTTGATTAAATATTTGAATTAATCATTCATAAATTCAAAAATACTTTCATTCTCGTTAATATGTCATTGACATAAATCCACAAGTTTGATAAATTCCCACCGTTTATCTAAGCAATTGAATTTACACGCTTTATCCGAATGTTAACCTCAATTTTTGTTCTCACACTTGTAGTTAAAATTACTTAAAACACTGTATCGGTAATCATCCTCCACTGTTGATTGATCATTCCTGAAGGTCAATATACTTGATCCTTTCTCAATGGGTAATAAAATCCACAGGGCCGCAAGCTAACATTTATCCACATTACAATTGTCCCCATTAACTTGACATTTGCCAACAATGATTTCACGGGAATTCGTCATCCTTCCCTTTTCAATAAAAAAGAAGTCTCTACATCTTCATTTCCCGTGCACAATCATTTATCAAAAATCAACCTTTATTTATTAAATATTTTTTTAAGGTCCTCAACTGTCCTCATAAAAAAAATTCTTATCATACCCGTCTTATACTCATTAATATTAATCAATGTCACACGAAGTAGGTGCTGTTCTCTTATCAGTTGTCTGTTTTAAATAATTTAAAAAAATAAACCAAAGACGCCTTATGCTCGAGTGAAAAGAAGATGCTGGCGAAGATGGGGCAACCTTTCGCCTCCGTGGTTATGTAAAGGCCTCCGGCTGGATGACCTTTAGTTCGTTTCATGGCATGCGGCATTTACGTACTTGGACGATTATTACGTTCTATCAGTGTTTCCTTTTCATGGTGCATGATGCATCTTAACATACGTATTCTATTTTTTTTTTCCTTTATCGTGTAACTGAACGACATTTTTTGCTCTACCTGATAGCTTCTGCCTAAACAGTCTTTACGTCCGCGAAGCCATAATAAATGAAGTAAAATAATACTCTTAAAAAAAAATACTAATATTATGTAAAATTATTTTTAAATGATACGATACACCTAAGTTTGAAAACACGTAATTTTTATTCGTTTTCTTATAAAGAATGTGGCCGTGTATATACGATTCTGGAATTTCGTAGGAAATTTATGATAATTACGATGTATTAGGTATTCGTCCGATTTTGAATTTTTTTATTTACGGAAATCCAAAAGACTCTCTAGATCAACTTTTATGGATGTCACAACGTTCGGCAAGGTTGCGTGTCTTATGAGTGCTCATCTGATAGTGAAACTTGCTAAATTAAATGGTGGCAAGAAAATTTGACAACAATCATCAATGTTCATTACATGTAATGCTTCAATCATTGTGCTTATAAATGATAAATATTATCTCATTTATGCCCCATCCAAATTTACCGTATATATTGTTTAAGTTTATCTCATAGCGTGATAAAAAAGAAGTTTTTTCGATAATGAAAGATCGATAATGCACATATGCTTCGTATTCGAATCATGCTATGATTGTTTATGAAAAATGTCTAGGGTACATCTACATATACAAAAGGACTGTAAAATACGTCAATAAAGCTGAAACCGCCACAGTGGAATATCATAAAAAAATCTATGCTTTGTTTATTTTAGTTTTTTTATCGTTTATGTTATGGCGGTTTCAGTTTTTTTTTGAGCTAGGACCGCCACGAGTTTTGACCAAATTTGACTGCCGTATATCTTGGAGCTCTTGAATCCTAGAATAGATTCCAAGTGTTAAATCACCTTAACTTCGATGTGGGAAGGTACTTGTCAGTGGTGACCAAAGCGGGTTGGGGTTCGTTTTTGGATAAGGGGACGAGTCTGGCCGTTGCATATTTCTGAAACATTTCTTTGAGCTGGCACCACCACAGGTTTTTACTAAAAAGGGTGAAGCCCTTTTTTTGAACGCTTTTTACTTTCACGATAATTAATTAAAATACTCTATTTTTTGTATAAACTTTCTGTTCATTTTATTTTATAGTAAATCAACATTTTTTAAATTATTTTCTGAACTAAAATAAATCACAACGCGGTAGATGATTAGCAACTCTGATTTTGACCGCTTATAATTTTCAAAGAAATTTGATCGTTTTTCAAAATCTGCGGTGTACCATATGCATTTTTGTAAATCATCGTGCTTATGTGGGTTGTCATGCACCTGAAAATGAAATGAACGAAAACAACAAATTTCTCAAAATTAGTATGAATTTCGTTCACGTTTCTTCCTTCCAACTTGTGACATGATCGAGTAATTTATTTTTTTAAGTTACATCTAATTCTTTTTTTATCGGTTTTTGGGTAATGGGTGCGATGATAAAATATATTGTGCATGCTTTACGATCATTTCGAAAAGTTTAATGTTTATAAATAGGATGTATAAAAATTGTAATGAGCCTAACATTATAAACATCGTACAGGCGCGTTTTGTCCTCTAGAGAAAAAGAGATGAAATAACGATAATCGTGAATAAAATTGTTCTCACAAACGCGGACAAGTTTCCCCATAATTTTGTGTGCACTTTATAGGGTCAAAGGTCAGAAGCACTGATTTCTCCTCTCGTCCCCTTCTTCTCCAATATATCTGAAATCCTGTTTACGCGTCCAGGTAAACCGGTAAGTTCTCCTGCTGACGAAGCAGTGTCGCCAACGCTTTTTCGACATTTTCTGGTAAATGATCCAGTAGCATTCGTGGCATTACCGAAAGTTCCATAAAATCTTCAGCTTCGGCCCAACGCATCTGATATTGGCGTTCCTTGGCGGTTTGTTTTCTAAAATTGGCCAGAAATAAAATTTCAAAATTCTATCGCTCTTGTATTTGGAATAGCTTTGTTAAAGATTTAAAAAAATACCTCTTTTCTTTCTCCACCGGTTTGCACCTGACGATATGAAGAATTCGACCAGCTGTATACAGTCTCACTTTGGAGTATCGTCTGCGTGTCACGTCCTTTTCGAATATCATTGTTTCCTAATTAAAAAAAAAAAAAAATGGTAAATTTCAGTGCTTCCTTTTTTCAAGTTATTATCGATGATTCTTATTTAATTACTGTTTGTCGCGCTGGCGATGACTCTGTGAGCAGTGGCAATTGTCCGGGAATCGAATTAATCGTGTTACCATTCCTCCATGTCCTATCCAGGTCTCTCTCAGGGACACCAAACAGCATATAACCCAATCCATTCAGTACGACTCTGTACTGTCGAAATGATAAAACTATTACTATTTTGCTTTGCATGGTAATTTTATTCATAATGAAATTAAGCCTGAAATTCTCTACCTTGGGCAAGCGACAGGCTTGCAAAGCTATTAATAAGGACGTTCGAAAATTTTCAGTGCTGTCCACACCTAGTCTCATTACAAGATCATCACCCAGTCCAATAGTCAGCACAAATTCTTCTGTAACTCTTGCAGCCTCTCGACTCAGCAGTCCTGCTGTGATTGATTAAAAAATTTAATATTCAAATTTATTACAAAAATTGTCTGAAACTAAAAATAAAAATTACCTGGCGTGGCAAATGCATACACTTTCAAATTTGGGTAACGTGGTCTGATCATTAGACCTAATAGTACGGACAGTCCTGCACCCAAGCTGTGACCTTCGGAAAATAAAAATTATATTACCTAATTTTTGTTTACAAATTAACATTTTTTTTTTAATAACTGACTTTTGTACCTGTCAACGTTAAATTGTAGTGTGGATACATTTCAAAAGCTGTTTCCAAAATGTTCGATTGATCCAATTGCTTCAGAAGGACCTTTGCACCGATTATCATGCCTCTGTGCGCCTGTACAATTATTCATTATGTTATACCAAATAGAAAAATTTAATTAACCCTTTTATTAATAGATTCAAATTCACCATGCTGCCCGGTGGTAAACCTTCAACCTCAAAGGAATCCGAAGCTGCTGCGATATCAGTTATTAGATCACGGAGTGATATTGATCCTCTTATAACAATAACTATACTGGATGTCTTGTGATCGGCTATGACACAGAATGGAACCTGTTGACACGTATGTAAATTTGATATGACTTCTCTTTGCATTCTTATCTATAACGTTATCTTTTAGGATATTACCCAACTCCTAAATTCTATTGAATGATTTGACCAGATATTGAATCATGATAAGGAACTGATATCAATGATCATCTGAAATCATTGGACGAACCTCACAAAGATGATTTCTGAATGATGCATACAGTATGTCCTCCTCTGGTAACTGTGATAAATATTTGACACCAGCCAGATTACACAAACAACAATTGTCATCAATCACAATATTCCTTTTCCTCCTGAAATGTGACGTATCGTTCGTTTACTTGAATTGATAATTTGCAGTACTATCAACGATTTGTCATTGAGTAACCAACCGGAAGCAGGCGCAGCAGGTCATTCTACGAATCAATCGAAAGCATCCGGTACAGGCATGTTTGTAAAGTACAAAAAGCCATCCGTACGAAGCTATAGAGAGTTTCAAATAATGATTGGCCCATTCCAAGGACATCCAGCTTGGAGTGTTAGCGAATATAGCTTCTGCATCTGTAAGTATACTGATTAGCACACTATTGGTTGATTGTACAATTTATTTAAATATTATTTCAGTACCGTCACTGTATTGAGGCCTATTCAGAATATTTAATCTTCGAAGCTCCAGGGTTTCACGTTTCTGTCGCACCCTCAACAGAACGCAGCCCGCCATAACGTCTGATGGAACCAGGTCTGTCCCACGAAAAAGTGCACTGAGTAATCCTGAAAGTGAGGAAGAGAGTTATGAAAATTATGGAACTGAACTAAATATCAGAGACTGTACCTAGGCATTAGAGACTACAGCCTTGACACCTACAGAATTGTATAAATATATTTTTCCGGAAGTAGAAATTCGTTTTTTTTTTTCAGGAAATACACTGCTTTTGGATATTTCATGCATTATTTTCGACCTACGTAAGACATATTGGATTTTACAGTATGTATTGTATATGAAAAATTTAGTAGATATACTTAAACGAATGATGCATTGGTTATGTTAAATTAATTAATATTTTAAAAACTTTCAAAATTTCAATGATTTATTAAGTAAAGAAGCATGGATCTGTTAAGTCTCTAATTGTGTTGACCTCAGTCGCATGTACCTATGTCTCACCAGCGACATGTTGAAATGTTTCGCTTGCGCTTTCGTCCTTGTGCATCCACCAGAGGAACTTGAAACGTCGCATCCAGATCCTCGAGACTTTACGATGCTCCACGGAATCCTCGACCTCGTGAAGTCCCAATGATCCTAGTGGATCGAAGACTAATGCCAGACCCAGGATGGAAAGTCCTATGAGTACCCAATCGAAAAGTACCAAAGCTTCGACTACGGCTATCGTATACGATTCTTCGTTGCATTCGACCCTTTCTTTGCTGAGGACCCAAAGACTTCCTAGAATGTTCCACGCGACTTCCGGTAGTACTAATAATATCCTGTAAGACGATTACTTCGCTTACTTTACATACTATTGGTTTTATATTTCATGCTATTATACAAATATGTTTCAGTACTTGACGGTCAGGAGTGGCTGGACGAAACGACGTGCATACGTATCGGTTATCGACCCTCTTGCACTGTGATTGACTATGGCAAATGTTAGGATTATCACTACTCCCAAAATAACGATTTCGCCAATAAGGAATACTCGAACGAGTTCGCCGCCCATTCGACAGTTCCACGTCTCTCCATAGTATCTTGCTAAAGCTATACTCATCAACACGATCCTGAAACAGGACAATAGATTAATATGACGATATCTTTTTTTTTTATCGATTTCAATATTGCAATTTACGTTACCAAACTACTCGAATGAAAAGTTCGAACAGTCCTGGATAAACAAGATCGTCCGTTGCTGCCAGCCATTTTCGTCCAAATAATTTTAACGCTGGCATCCTCCTGCAAAAGAAAAGTTATATCTTTTATTTCATTATTTGCGAATCAAGATTGTTTCGAGGAAATTCACGGTTCTGCGAATGCTCGCGTGCATTTCTTTCCTTCCTGCTTTTTTCTTTTTTTAAATGCTCTTTACGCATCGAACGCCAACACATCTGTTATGCAATTTGGGAAAGTGAAACGCGTCTCGTAACAACGAGCCTGTAGCTGCAGCTGCACAGCCAAACATGCGTTTATAAGAGAGCGACAGCTCGATAAAGCAACTGGCACCGTAACATGGTATAATACGTTGCATTATCGTGCATCATCGATTCTACCTGTCCGACAATGACTGAAGGAAGGACTTGACAATGATTTAAAATCTTCATTTACATTCCAATTACTTGCACATATCCTCTTCTTATTTGACGTATGTGTGAATGCATTTGTAATGAATTAATCCGAGCAAGTGAACTTGGGTCGTGACACCAAGATGCATTGTTATCCATGACACGATTGTATTTGGCAGTATTCATTAATTACTTTTACGTCATAGAAGCCATTTTCTAGTAAATATTGGCCAAACGAACCAATTAGAAGGCCAATATGCGAATCGACGCGTTTCCAGTGCGTGATTACACGTGGAAGTGTGAAGCAAGAGAAGGAAAAAAATAAAGCAAAAGAAAAATGGCGGTAGCCAGAGAAAGGCAACTGGGACCTTAGGCGCTTTAGCTTTTGCGAAATCGATCACTGATTTAATAGTAAAATTTTATAATCGAACCAATGTATTCAAGTTCTTTAAGAATTTACTTGCACAATGTTAGAGAAATCTGTAATTCACATATATATTTCATTGTGTTTTAGTAATTCTTGCTACTGCCCACTTAATGTATCATAGTCGTAGTACTTGGAACTGTATCGTTATAACGGCTGTGACCTATATGGTAAGGTTACTGTCAGAAGTTACCAACTTAGACTATATCACTGTGTTATAAGCTACCTTGTGCTAAGTTTCTGCTCCACATATTATGAATTCATCAAATCGTGACATTATACCGGGTGATACGCGTAATCGTTCTGGGGAAGGTTGCAGGAATAATTTTCTAGTTGAATATCTCTACGGCTGAATGTGGCTTGGTGACCTGAGGTCGTAAGGGGGGATCCACACGTATCAGTTCAATCGTGATCTCAGTGTCACTATCTTGATGGCCATTCAAGACAAATTGCACAATTATTTTATTATTAGTCCGCTTTACTATTAATAGCTGTGACGTTAAATTGATCAGAGAGAACGAATCTTTTTCAAAGATACCTTTATTCCCTTTTTTTTTTTATAGTGCACCGATGTGCCATTGCATTTTATTTAAGATTCTGGTGTTGCTGCTCGCTCACGTGATTTTTTTGTAAATTGCTTTTAGCGTTATTACTCCTTTATATTCTGTATCTGGTTAATGTATCACTGGGTATATATGAATGTATGGTGAAAATGTAACTTTTCAAGAAATCAAAAGCGCTACGTTTCTACTCTCGTGCGTGGGACACGTAGAGGAAATAAAACAGGCTCGAGGTCGAGACCTTCTTTTCCGTAAAAATCTTAAAAACAAAAGTCACGGAAGTACCGAAATGATCTTCAACGCTGATATTATTATTATCAAAGTTCGTGTGAACTCCGAGGAGAAACGGAAATTTATGAAATGTTTCGAAACGCAGACTTCTTTAATTCCACAAGTCTTCAATAAAATATTTCACACGGTCCTATTCATATTTTTTACGTAACACGTATTTGCTTAGCATAATTTATTACAGACAATTTTTCAATTGAAGATGATCGTGCTTGAGTTTGGCTTATTAATTTGTTTACTGTAAAAATTGTCTTATTCACAGGATCTCCAGCATCTACGTTTGGTTATTGTAATCTGATGAATGCATAAAAAAATTACTATCCACAGGGTCATATGCTAAACATGCTTCTCGGTGGACTATGGCAACGCGAGAAGAAGGGAGAAAGTGCTAAGAGAAAGCCCAACCGTTATACCACGTTATGGTAAATATTGAGCACCCGGTAGGTTCGTTTGTAAGAAATTGAATATACGGTTACGAAAAGTTATTCAGCATAGATGTAAATCATTTGAATTTTACATAATATCAGTAAACGTAATTAAATCCTTGCATGACATCTATACACGTGATTCTTCTGCTGTCATCCTTTTATTTTAATTATATTGAAAATAATTTTTTTATCTCCTCACCGATTTTTTACTCGAAACTTGTAAACGTAATGTCAGGAATATTTCTTATGCCAGTCATTCGCAAGTTCATTAACAGATGCCCCCTTTAATATCATCCAAGAGTCTGTTTAAACACTTCAAAAATAAATAGCAAATATTTAATTTTCTTTTACGTAAAGAACGTTAATATCTTCATTGGTCGTTGATGACAGTCTCTGACCGTTCTTTTTGGACTTTCCCATTTGACGACACACTTTTTCAATTATTTCCTCACGTTATGCATACGTTGTGCAATATTACTATAGCGGCTGAAATTGAAAAATAAAACGACTACATTGATCAGCCTATGTACCAGGATTGCTGTCACTTAGTAATTTCTTGTTCAATAACACTCACTAAAGTTCAGTGGGAAATACGTTTAGCATTTTACATCACTGTACTGTGCTAACTGTTTAACACGGTTAAAGTATATCCGGAATCCAAGATTCCAGAACGTCATTATCACTGCTTAATCTAACAAGCAGCTAATTACGGTGCAATTATTTGCACGCGATATATACATCGCATACCTACCAAACATAAAAATCCTTTCACGTCACGTATGTCATCAAAAACGCATCAATCCCACTTTCACGCTTTGCACGAACCATGCATTTAAAAAAAATGAATTATTCCTATGCGAAAAAACATTGAAAAAAAAAAAATTCATATCTCCACACCAAGCGATATTCTTTTGAAATATGGTAAACCGGTTTTTTTCTCAGCTAACTCTATGAAAATACTCTTATAAGATGGACGCCTATGCTCAACTACAAGCGTGACTGTTTCTCATTGAATAACGATGAATTTATTTTCTATCAAAATTCTTACTCTTGGACGCGTTCTTTCCAACGAGGTGCAATTTAAACGCATTGGAATATTCTGCTTTGTTTCTTCAGTGCATTCCCATGCACTGTACATTCAAGGTACCGTAAACTGCGGCTACACCGGTTCACCTTGCAGCGCGACTCGAATGCGACTGTCGTTACTTCGAAACCTTCCTTCTACCTAGGGAGGACTTCCACCACCTTCTACCACCTTGGCTTAACCATTGCCGTGGAAAGGTACCGTCCTGTCACCGTTGCGCTTCGTCGAATTTAAGCTGCCGTTCACAACGGTGGCCGTTGCTCGTTCACTATCGGTGACGGTTTTTAATATACGATCAAATGTAGATTACTGTAATGATATTTTTATAATTTTAATTTACATACATTTATTTATGTAATACGTCTATGGCTATTTTCTAACGACCACAGTTACGTTTATTTCTAACCAAATTTTTTTCATGATACGTCAACAGTCAAGTTTCGTGGGAAATTTTTTTTCACGGTTTCTCGATTGATTTTTTTTTTTCGTAGGGAAAATAATTTTTGTTTCTGGCTTTTAATTGGTAAATCATACAGAGATAGTATCTGTATGTGATTTCGTATTTATGTTTTGTGAAATTTAGGAAAATTTTTTTGACTATCTTATTTATGTCTGCTTCCATGTTACTATTGTTTTTTTTTTTCTATTTCGGTTATACACAAATATATACAATTTATATATAATATATACATATTTTCTTCAGATCTGTAAGGTGCACAATCCACCTTCACTCTAGGGAAGAAGTAACCGAAGTAAGCAAAACCAGAGGCAACAGTTGAACCGTAAAATGTTTTTTCTTTGTTGGCGTTTGATCTGATTGGCTGACCGTGACGTATTACCAATTCTATGCTATGGTAGTATCGTTACCATCTTAAATTGAAAATAGAAATATTTTTTTCGATAACAATTTCTTACGTTTTTCCATATTCTCGGCAATGGATATTTTTATTAAAATTTTTCACCACTTTTATGCCTGTTGAACAAAATATATGTCACACAGTCTATTGCGACTTGTCGCGTACAGAGCATTCTTATAATAAGTCCTTTATGCTAATTTTTTTGACAATCGTGTAGTCGTGTACGTCAGAGAACTAACCGGTATATTTGTTTCATGAACTTCTATTTAAATTTCCACTTATCCTTCAACCATTTACATTTATCTTTTTCTTTTATTTCCCATAAGCATCATCGCTCAGGCAGAAGGCAAAGTTTCACGATGAGCATCGTCAAGCTGCAAAACGTAAACGTCCATGTTAACGAAGCGTGAGCAAGAGTCGAGCGTGGATAAATGCGAATTTTTCATCTTGCAAATTTTCCATTACTTCTCAAGTCGAATAATAATAGCTGAGTCATAAGGAAATAACGATTAAATACGTGGAATTTCATTACAAGAAAACCACTGCCATTAGTCAATCTTCATTTTGCACGACTATCGAACATTAAAACCGATTATACCGATACCAAGGAAAAGTTTCCAATAGTAAAGAATAAATAATTTTCAAAATTTCAAATAACTCTATTGTACGAAGAACCGTAATTTGATAACCTAGTAATTATGTTATGCGACTATATGCAGATTTTAAATAGTCACTTAACTATGCCGATATAATATTCGCACGTCCACCTTGTATTTGTTTGCATAAGTAACGTGCGAAAATAAAAGGGAAGCAGCGATGTGGTCGTCTATGCGTACGCAAGAGATTATTGCGAAAACAAGAAAAAAATTGACTTGTATAAGAATCGTTGATTTTTGTTTCCTTAAATCTTTCATGTAAGTGATGCTGAGATGAATAAGTTATAATAGCGCCTAAATAACTCTACATGACTAATTCTTATGCACACGGGTAGACCTTGAATACTGCCCAGTATGTTTTTTACATCTATATTTTCGGAATCGGCTGGTTATTAACTCCAATCCAATAATAATAGCAATAACAATGACGTCTTTATAGTCAACGGGTTACAATAAGCAAAAAATCAGTCACTCACGCAATTAGAAAACATTATAATTCTGTACTTACTGATCTTCTGGACATCGTGAATAAAAAAGATTTTGCGAAGCAGTTCTTTTGATCATTTAGCAAGGCATTTAGCGCCTGCCGATACAACCGTCAGTACATTTGACAGAAACGTGTTACTCTTTTTTCTGTTTAAACATTTTATTGTTGTTTCCGTTTCTAGGCAACAAAGTCTTCGGCGGGACTTCCAAACGACATAACAAATTTTCATACGAATCGATAGATTTTTATTTTATTATTTACTTTACTTTATTATTGTGACTGCCGTCCATTTCTAGATATTGTCAGTTGGTCCTAACCATGGACTGAAGATAAATATTATCATGCTTTGTGTCGGATGAGTCTAGACGTTGCCAACAACTGCAGCCCTACAGATGTAGATCGAGTTACCGACTGAGATACTAACGCATAATGTAGTAACAGCTGTTTCGATTCACAGGTGGCAGCACTCTCGACAATGGGTCAGTCTGTCAGAATATGGTCAGACACGCGTGAATACCTAATCCATTTGTCTGCGGTCAACGATTTAAGATAAACTAGTCTAATATCCGTGACTTAATATAAATAAACTAGACATGCCCATGTATTCTGTGCTTAGCGATTCCCATATGTATATCCATATATAACATGTATATCCATATATTGCATTGTTGGCAATATCCAGGCTCGCGTGATACCACAACCCAGATCCCTAGTCAATTTTACCTCTTCAGCCGACGAATACACGTTTCGAGCAGCATCGAGTAACATTTCGCCTTAAAAGTTCACACCATACCATACAGATGGCAGCACGTTAAGCGAAGAATAATGCGCACCGCGTATCGTTTAAATAGCCGAAGAATTACAACAGAAGCGATGAAAGCTATTTCGCGATCTTGTATGGAACGAAGAGCAACGACAAAAATTCCCAAAGAATAATTAACAATAGACGAATCATTAATCTTTACAAAAAGACTCACCTGCACCATGGAAGAACCTGCATTCGCTATTCACAAACGATAACTCAAGTGCAAAAGTATCCAATAGCCGCATCTTCAAAACGGACCACCTCTCAGATGTATCTTGGGTAGAAAGCGCAGCGTACAGATTCAGCGAATGGACAGTTAACACTATAGCTATAGCCGACGTATCTAAGGTGCAGACATATACAAAGTGGTTCGTAGGGGGTCAGGGGGTTGAAGCCTGTAAGGGTTGGTCGGTCGACCGGTCGGCTGGCCGTTCGGTCCCTCAAGCATTGGATAGAGGAACTAGTGGTAAGCGAGTGGTAAGGATAGGTTGT